AGGTAGACATTTTAACTTAAGGATGGAACTTAGGTACAATACCTTAGGTTACTAGCTATGCGTAGTAGGAACCTAGGATAGTGGGGTCGGGGCCATTACAGGGTTAAAGGGGGTGTGTAGATTGGTACTACGCTTCTACTGCAGCACTTCGCTGCACGAGCTCAACCGCGTTAGCTCTATATCCACAGGGCTCTCTAAATAAGCTAAAAAGGGGTCCTCAGCGGAGCACTTGCACTGTGCTCCGTCTTCAGGGCTATATCCAGGCTGCCCAGAGGACGCCTAGAAGAGGTACATTTTCATGTTGTATCGTATCTGCAATGCTAGGTCGACTGCTGGCTTTTTTTGTCCGGTTTAAAAGTCGAGTCGCAGATAATACTTTGCCGGTACAAGTTAGGACTTACACGCGACTTATACGGGACTTGCACCGGTACAGCGACCTGGCCAGCCTGGATAATGTTATTATTATTATTAATTTTTCTATAGGTGAGTAATATCTCAGGAAAGATAACGAAAGTGACCTGACGCGCAGGGGTAAGAACAGCACGGGAAAAGAAAAGGAGATTCGTGATCTGGGTGTATGCATACTACCAGGCATCATACTATCGTGGTATGTACGTGAGTAGGTATGTGACTATCTACATAGGTAGTAGTAGTATGTGAAGCGAATGGCTCTCCGAAACTCGCTTATACGGTGCCTGGCCTTGACACATAGCTACCTGTACCTACATACTAATAGTGTATGTAGGTATGTAGGTATGTAAGATACGGTTCACTCAAGCGCTGCCGATTCAATGCGCTCAGCGCGTATGACTATCATCTATTAAGGTTCGCGTCTCTCACTGGTCAGAGCTGGTGCTGGACCCTACAGATTATAAGTCGCTGGAGCCGTCGAACCGACCAAGAGATCCTACTATATAACAAGACTTGAACGAATCAAGCTCGAGATGCGCCGCTGTGGAGCGCGCGAATCGATCTTCGCAAGCACGGCCCCGTCGAACAGCTTGAACGATCTCGCTCTTGGCATTGGCTAGAGGTTGCTAGAGCTTCTTGCTAGTCAAATTAGCGCTGATCTGTAGCCTCCACGATGGCCGCTATGCTAGTGGCCCCAGGATTACGAAGTCCTGGAGAGATTTCCTACTAATTCCTAATCGTCTTAATCGTCTTAATCTCGAAGCAAGAAATCCCGTCTGCTGGATGGAAAGGAATATCCCCCAATGTCCCCAATGCCCCCAAATGCCCCAATGCCCACATCGTCCACTCCTCGGCATCTATATGACCAGAGCTTTAATGGCCGGGATTGGCCAACGTTAGCCGCGTGAGTGGGAGATCAGAGGCTCAGGAAAGTTATTATATGGCCCCCAATCTTCATCGGACGGACATCACGGGTAATTCTGCTGCCAATAAGTGCAGTTCCAAAATATCCAAAGGGTCGTTCCTTTGGAAGAGCTTCGCCGGTTCCGTCTATCCTTGATTGCGACGCGCTCGAGACATATGTATGTATGTATCGTACGTACATCTCATACGAGGATCGTTTGCTGTTCCATCTAGGCTGCGTTGCGATTTTTTTTTAAAAAATACGTGTTATCAGAATTATTGCATCAAAGTCCGAGATGGAATCATTAATCCTTGTCTCTCGTTATTCTTTTACTTTTATTCTTTATTAGTTGCATGTTTAATAAAGAGAAAAACTTGAGAAGTCCCCGCGTCTACGTGGACGTGTAGAATGATTCGGTATGATTGACCAAATCCAGTACCTGTATGTACACGGGTCTCGCAAGATTTTGGGTTGGATTCGATGCGTCGTTTAATTCTAGAGGATCTGGAAAATTCTATTCGAGGACAGTTCTTCCAGAAGTCGAAGAATGGTTGGCCACATGCAGAAGCAACTCAACTTCTGCGCGTGTGCGTGTTCCTATAATAACGATCTACTAGGAAGAAGTACCGGGTTGGTCCGCCCCCCCGTGTGTTGAAGTTGCACTCTAGTGTCTCCGTACGTTGGTTCGGACGATGATACCTGCATACACAGCATACACCACACACATACACCACATACATACCTACCTACATACACATACATGCTTGCTGTCGGTGGTACTTATATGTCAACCCCCACAGATTTATTATGTAAGGTAGTGGGAGCTGTGGGAGGTTCGATATCAAATCCTCTTACACATACCTACATAGGGCATACACATAGCACATAGCACATAACGCACAAGCACACAAATTTGAGCTAGTAATCTTTCTAGCGCGGCTAAGGCTCCTCTCTTTTTTCGTGACGCCGACCACTTATACGACGCATAATTGTTTTTTGTGCGTATAGTAGGGAACTGCCGTCCACGTCTCATGAAGCGACCTATTCTGTAACCGTTACCAGTGGATGATGCTGTCTGCAGGCCGACTCTAGCGTGTATTTTAACCCCTGACGATGATATTGACGATATGTACCTAGTTTTAAGTACCTAACTCATTAACCACGATATCTGCAAGCGGTCATGGATATTCGGCATCATGAATCCCGACGCGGAATCTTTTAATCATATTCCCTGGGTTGCCAGGAAATAAAACGCTGAATTATGGCATAATAAAAAGATAAAAAAAGAGAAACGAAGGAAAAAAAAAAACTCTCTCATCAGGAACGGGCGATAAGATACATGCACCCTCGCCGCAGAGACCAGGCAGGGCATTGGAAGCCATGGAATCTTGAGGCTTGGTTGTCATTCTGCGAGGGGTTATTGTTCCTCTGCCGCTGCAGCTTATTGTTTCGTTAGATTCGCAAGATTTCATATGCAGGCTGCAAGCCCAAACAACGACCTGCCGATTGAAGACTCTTCCCGACAGGGTTTGGTAGTTGTCGTAGTCCCCAATCCTGGTATCCGTATTCGCAGACGACTGCGATAGATGGTCGTTCTGATCTGTCGGCCGACATCAATAACAAAATATGCGCGAGTCGGCCTCTGGCCAAGGTTCCCCAACTCTCGCGAGTGACATCAAGGGAACACAACAGCACCATGACACCTCCGATGATGTCCTCGCCCGTCTTGTTCGTTACACAACGTCAGGACGCGACACGACAGCATCGCAAATAGGGAAAAAAAAATTGAAGAGGGGCATATTTCCCCGGCTGGCGACCCCAACCCCGACTAGCCTAGGGTAGCTACTCACACACTGATAGACTGGGTACATTATAAGGGGGTATGATGTATGTGTGCTATATGTGCGAACCAAAGTAGGCGTGGCGTGGCGTGGCAGCAGCGTCACACGACAGAGCTTCCCCTGGCAAAGGTCCCTGGCGAGGATCGCGAACTTCCTGTCCGTCACCCGGAGTATTCAGTGTGAGAGAGAGGGAAAAGAAAGATGAGGTTGGGGTAAACCTGGGACGATCTCGAGCCATTGGCCAATGACCTGATTTACCGTGCCGGCATGTGTAATATCGGGCCTTGTTCCTAGCATGGTTCCCGGGCTGCTCTGGCGCAATCCGGATTCGGTCAGCGTCATGTACCTTATTGAAATGTCATTACCTACAGATCCATCTACTTTCGCAATCATCAATGTATGTACGTACATGCAGACGTTGTAGATCTCTCGTCTCCTCGAATCTTGATTTCCCTATCCCAATGTATCTGCCGCGGAAGGACGGTGTAACGGCTTGCTGTATGACCTACATACATGATGCCATACTCCAGGGTACGCCCAATCATCTCTGTCGTATATTGCAACCATGCGTTGCATCTCAACCACGGGCGAGCGACGACAATCGAAATTCATCATAGACGGTCGTAGTGGGATGGGGGAAATCCGAGGTCCCCGAGCCCCACGCAAGCAAGCGCGGAAGCTCATAGTTCGAATTATTACATAGTATCATACGTAAGTAGGCAGGTAGATAGGTAGGTAGGTTGGTAGATAGATAGGTACCACCCTTTATGTATCATGTGTAGATATTATTATAGATCATATGTAGATATAGATGAAGGTTACTGTATGCACACTTTCCTAAACAAAAAACCAAAAAACGACGATATGTAGGTATATTCTTGCTTTTTGTATGTATGATTATGGTCTGATCTGTACGTCGTTACTAGGTAGGTACATACGGGATTCGATTTTATCATACGAACTCCGGATGGCTTTTCCATCCATTCTCTAATACCTACACTCTATACGATTGCTTCTACATACTACCTAGGTAGGTAGGTACTAGGTATCCATTTCCCACCATAGTGCTATAACTATCACCGGTGCATATTTCCTCGCTGCGTGGGGATGATGCCTTTACGTACAGATGCACCCGGACGCTTTTGGACGAACCCTGGGGGCACTAAGCTATGATCATGCTAGTCATCTCAGGGATAGGCGTACATAAGTCTCAACAAACCCTGCGCCGGCTAGTTCCAGGTCCATAATAATAATAAGTCCATATAGCTTTGTCATGAACTTTTTTGATTACTCTCCTCTACCTCCTCTCTCTTCCCTCTCACTATTTCTGTAATTCGGTCTTGATCCCACGCTTCTCCTAGCGTGATCGCCGATGAGGCTACCTGAGCCGTGTATGTACTCCGCGCTCCGCCCGTCGTCTGTTTCATTTCTAGCGTCCCATCAGCCATGCCTTTCCAAAGCACGCAACCACGGAGAGTCGAGAAAATCTAATGGCATTTGGGCATGGCGTGTCTTGCAAGCATGTCGGCCGGAATGATACCCTGACCATACCGGATATCCAACAATCTTGAATCGGGACTCGCCTGCAAGCTAGTGTAGCTAGTATCTCGAATCATGTCAGCCGTGCTCTCGACGTCGTCGGCGCGAATGCGCCGGTTGTATGACATCTTTCTATCAAACCAGGTTTGGCGATGTATTACCCTACGGTGCGATGTAGCCGACGGAACTCTTCGGTCGTGCTGAGGTGCACTGCATACACTGCATACACCTTAGCCTCTTTACTCTCTTTCCTTTTTTTTTTCTTTTTTTTTCTTTTTTTTTTCTTTTTCTCGTCACCTCGATATTATCTGATATGTCATCTCTTTATTTTCCTTATTACTTGCTACTTGGATACCAGATATCCATATGCTTGCTGCCTTACAATTCAGCCTGGAAGGTTGTTTTCTCTCTCTGGCTTGGTCTTCTGGCTTGGTTGGGGGATCCCAAGCCTCTAGATTAACACCATAGGCACCTTGCCACCACTCAGTGATGGATACCCAACTGCAACTCCGTTTATGACTTCTTCTTTTAAATATAATAATACATATAATATAACATGCTCTACGGTCAATATCTTAGATTTTTTTTTTGCCATTGCGGCTTTTGTGAAGGGGAAAACACGAGGTATGTAACCAAGTAACTCGAAAGACGTCGTTATCGTTACATTACGTATCGAATTAGCGACTCATCTTATTACCTTCATTATCCATATCTGACACTCGGTGAATTTTACTGTAGAACAAGGAAGACGCATGGATCCATGACCACCCCGTCGCCTCTTTCGTGCTTTGATGATCAGGATCTTCCCGCCACCATTTTTAGCGACGGGGTGATTGTGGAGACAACTCTGGGCTAATCCATGGAAAAGAGCCCCCATCCTGAAGGGGGGGAAAGAAGACCGTTGTTGACCGTGCGACCCCTAACCGCTTGCCCACAGACCGAACACACAGACCGAGCGGACAGACCCATGATGGGGCTCTAATCTGGTCGTTCGGTTCAAGCAGCATCGAAGGAACGTGACCATCGCTTCTACTACCATGGTTCAATAAGCACCAACCTAGTAGACGTGCCTTGCCAACGTGCCTTGCCGGCCGAATGAGGTATTTCTCAATGTTCGATAAAGGAAGGCATTACGTTCACCGGTCACGGAGATATTATATGCTCATTTCGCTGTACGGCAGCAAAAGTTTGGAAATGCGATTGGAGGAGTGTGGTTTAAACAGATCGGTGAGCTCTTTTCGGTAAAGGTGTAATGTTTCTAAATTGCTCTTCACCATCCACACATTTCCAAAACGCCCTGTATGTTCTAGGAAGAATTCCCGTCATTGTGGCTTCGCATTGGTGGCTGCTCAAGCGAAAGGCGATAGATCTCGATTTGGAACTGTACATGTTTATTAGGTACGACACACAAACGGAAAGATTGTCGTAGCTATAAAAAAAATCTAATGAATTCTTTTTTCGCTGACCGAGGACCGCAGGTCAAACAAGTTCTACGAAACAGATTTATTTTGGAAAAAAAAAAAAAAAAAAAAAAAAAAAAAGCTACCTGCCAAGCATGGCCGTAGGTAAATATTTTATTACATATAGAACAGCCAGTTCCCAAAGCATGGATTCGGTATCTTCGGCACCGGGATTGCAATCCTAACTGACGAAAGGTTGAAGGTCAAAATGACATTCCTCGTCAAATACTTCCTACCTCTATACCTTAACTCCTTAATATTGCCTCCCCTATAGTTACTCAAAACGTCGTACAAGAGCTTGGATCCACCAAGCAAACAAAAAAAAATTCCGTGGAAGCGCGGACCGTACACGATCAGAAGGGGGTGAAACGATCGTGTCCTCTCAAGGTCGAGAGATAGAGAACCAGACAGAACCCGCGGAGGTTCGTGTACGTCCGGGCATCTACAGATTTTACCGCATCCTCCTAACAGAGGCCGAGTAGATGAGGCGGGCTCCGATAGCAACGACGTTGCGCTGAACTTCTTATTTCCATACCAACATCATCAGTCTATCACGTCAGCAGCTGGATTTTTTGACCGGAATACGTATAAACCTACCACATATCGCCGGGAAGGAAACGAGCAAATCATCTTTGTTCCATCTCATATCCTCATCCAGCGTTGGGTTCCAAGCGGTCCTTTTGCAACCACAACCCTCGCTTATACATACGACAGGGCCTGGATTAATACCTCACACCCTACTCGCAAGGGCGTGATCTTAGCCAGACTTGAATTCTTCCGAGAAGCATGGCCTCCCACGTTGTTCCTCGTTTCATTTCCCTTTGCAGTCGAGCAAGATAACGAGGGGGGAGAGGTACTTGCAGGTACTCTTTCGTACCGGGCTGCACGTCCAACTGTTACATGGCAGTCTATGTCGAAGCAATGACGCGGTTCGCAGCCCGTCTCTCACCTACATGACACCAGTCCCAAGTTGTCTAGGCGGTCCAGCATCCCGCCTAAGCAACGTACGTATGGGCTGGAGATAGTAGCGATGGTACCCAGCAGAGAAAAAGAGAGAAACCGAGTGAAGTATCTCTCCTGCAAGGACCTACCCGAGACGGTAGAAAGCTCGCTGTACCTAAGGGACTCGTTGGCTTCTGAATCTTACCACCAAGCACCAGCGCATCTGTATTCGGCAGCTCCAGAGTCCCATTAGTCGATGGAACCTCGACCCAGATCTAGAAATACTAATTTGGCCCACAGCGGGAGACAAGGCTCGCGGAAGCACGAGCTCACATCCGGGAAGAAGTGATCCAGATGATGTGCATCCATCCAGAACCACTATGTGGCGAAATTACTGTGTTTGCGGATAAATTCAGCAGTATACTTTCTGACATTTCACAACATATCTAGATCAAGAAGCTATATCGTGTCTATCTTTTGCACGGTAGCCTCTATGGGTACCATACTAGGTATGCTTTCGCTAGCGAGTCGAGTCCCTCCGCCTTCTCACCCTCCGGTTTACGTCAGGTTCATATGATCCCTTCGCTTTTGCATGATCCTAAAGCACAACATGCATCCTGCAGCGGTACTATGAGTTGTTCTACTATGCGAGAGGCCTTTCTGCCGGCCCCGTGGTAAACAACCCCACGTTTCGTCCTACGGTATGATATCAAACCCACGAGGGTCAATACTGAAAGGAATAGGAAGAGAAAGAAAAAAAATTTTCCCTTTTCTCCTCTTTCCCCTGTCACCGGAAAGCGATGTCCCTTTTCGGCAGGAGTAGGCCCTAAAAACCCTCCAGGAATACGGAAACCAACCAACCCATCGCCGTAAGTCGCTTGGCTAGGTAGCTACCCCCTGTCAATACAGCACAGCACACAACTGATCTCATCAGTCTAAGGGCCATTTAGCGGTCAGCGCAATGACCATTTTCACTAAGGCGTCCAACGTATACTCGCAGGTCGCGGTCGACGGTCCTCATTCGTGACAACTTATTTCGGCCTACATACTACGACAATATAGCAGATGCACGTTGGTCATTAGGAAAAATATAAGCATTGAACCAAGCTATGGAATGGACCTTTCAGAAGGAGCCGCGGATATGGCCCGACTTTTCTGCTTTGTCGGCATGGCATGAGGGTAGCAAAGTGGCTAACACCTGTGGCGAGTCCTGCAACGAATCGAGCCCTTAGCGTCGCTATTCGCTGGCCCGTCGCCCACAACGACCCGGGGCGACGAATGAAGAGCCGTACCCGCTCTCCGTCCTATGCGTAAAAGGACTCAGCTGAGGCCGCGGCCACGACCATTACCATGGTAATAGTCAAGACCGTCGAGACCCATTCGGCCAGTGCTCTCCGACCATAACCCCAACGAGCTGCGCGTCTCCGAGCGATCGATGCTGTTTTGGTCGAAGGCAATGCGGGACCGGACAGAATGTCCTAGGCAAAGGAGGAGCGCCATGCTCTTCATTTTCCGCATTTGAACTCGCCGGGAACGCGCCGGGCCACTCGGCAGTGCAGCTCTAGATTCTCACTTGCCGGGAACCCCGGTCGCAGTTGTATGATAAGCCGTTTGCTTCTCGTCACTGCTTTCCCCTCAATAATAACGCCGACTTGCCAAGCGCTAGCATACTTTCGCGACGGTTACAAGAGGGACGATCTTTGCTTGTCTCCGATATTGAGAAGTGTCAAATGGGGTGGCGAGCGACTTAGAGGGGGATGGGGTTCTTTCTTGTATAGAGGCGAATGACCGATTAGAAGCGGTAAGTACTTTACAGTACCGTAACGGTACGACGAGATGTTCTTCAGGTGGTGGTGGTCCTAATTCTAATCATCTAGAGATGAATTGTAATACACGGTAGGACATAACGAAGTAGAGACATTCGATCGAGAGCCGATGTACGAGCATTGCCCCCGATCTGCCGTAACACAATCCGCGGACCATAATCTTCCTCGTGATCACGATGACAAATTGTCCAAGCTGTTCAGAACTAGAAGTTTGGGGGGTCCTAAGGACTCCTGCATCATCTATATTCGAAATGCTGTCGAGGGTGGCTAATTACAAGGCCACGTATGCTCACATCTAATAAATATGCCAGCGAAGTGTGGCAAGTTCAATTATCACTAAGTTTGAAACGGGAAATTATCACGATGGTCTTGTTCCTCAGAGGCTAAAAGCTCGAATAAATGTACGAGATATCCTCTAGAATCTTTACTCCCAACATTTACCGCTAGTCCGCATGAATTTAAGACATGTCTGATAATGAGACATGTCCCCGAAGAGGTCAGCACGGAAGGTCGTCGAGTATCTGATGATGTAAAAGAGAGCTCTCGTGCGGACCGGCTTTCCGATTAAGGGACATGGGACACACATTCGATACCTACCTAGTATTTGCGCTCGCTCATGCTTGTTAGCTGGAAAGACCATTACCCAACAGCATCACTGTCACTCGGAATCGGCCAAATGACATCTGTATTCTGTCTTATCAAGACGTCGATTCTTCATGCAAAGAATTGTCGAGACGATCTTACTCCCAAGGCCGACCCCGTCGTTGGCGATCAATCTGAGACATGGACAGGGGTGATCCAGACCGGTCATCTCATACAGGGAGTTCGCATTATCGCCGGTCCGGACTCCGAGAGCGGGGGGTCCGACGTTATTTCCATCGGCTCTAATAACCGGCGACCGGTTAGAGCGACCACGCGGTCTGGTTTCGGCAGGCAAAGTTTCAGATAGACTTACTCGCATTGGTATAAAGAATGAAGGCAATATGAAATGGACATATTAGTCAACAACAACAACAACAACAATAACAATAACTGACACGTTGATCCGGCGGGGGCAGTGAACGAAACCATTGCGGGTGTCATTAAATCGAACTTTGCGTTCTGGATAACATTTCTCAGTCCATTATTCCCGAGTGCTTGACAGGACAAGAATCTTAATGGGGGCACTCTTCGTCCGTGTCGATCAAGACACTGTCAGTTGGTCGTCGAGAAGCCTAGATTAGGCGTCACGGATGGTTGTTGCGTTCCGGCTTGTTCCAGTGTCTAAAAGCCACGCCGATATTTCCATTGACATGACGTCGGGAATAGCAAGATGGCTAGGTTACGAATCGTGATCTTACAACGGATGCTCAAATCAAAGTATGGCTATTGGTACGAGATTTTACAGCTATGTCCTGTCTTCGCAATTCCCGAGGTCTGTTGTGTGCCTTATGACCAAGCCAAGGGTGGCGGGGACCAACTCCTGCGGGCTTGTTTGGACGATTTGTTTGGACTCATTTGAGCTATTTAACACCTGAGTAGGTAGGTACCTACATACTTGGAAGACGCATTCGAAACAATACGAGGAACATGGGAATGATGTCGCCTCCTTTCATTCAGCTTCACTCAGCGTAAAACCTACACGCCGAAGCGCTTATGGTTGTCATATTACCTCTCATCTTACCGAAGGAGCAAATGGGAATCTCCTTAATAATTGATGCTGGTTAACAGACACAACACCAACATTAAACTGGGGTGCTCAGACGATATTCTTAACCCTTTTACTTTTTGCTTTCTTCAAACGCCACACAAGAGGAATATTGATATTGTAAGACGCGCTTGGCTTCTTTTTAGACACCTACATCATATCGTCACCGCCACGTCGCTCGGGTGTGTCAATGTACACCATCTGAATGAAAATTCCGATAAAAGCTCGATCTCTGGCTGAGCTCCGCCTCATCCTTCGGCTGGCTCCCTCTCCGAGGCCATGCTGCGACGAATTACGCGGCTAGATGTTAATTCGCAACTCTAAATACTTACCTAGGTACACAACTAAGCGACACGCGGGCTTTTACATCAAGTTTGACTTTCGACTAAACATCAAGCCGGTGGCTTGTGACAAGGATAATGCAGTTTATCGGGTGTGGGAATAAAGAGGGAATAAAGACCTTGCCGAACTGCCTGTCTGTGGTAAGTATTAAAAAAGTCTAACTTACCTATGAAGATTTAGGTTTTATTAGGTATCTTTAGATATTATGAACAGACCACTCGGTAGGTATCTACGATCATTTCGATCGAAAGAAGATTCCGCGAATTAGTCTAGAAACATTTATTGACTTCTCCCGTGTCATACATATTCCAAGGTTATGCAGAGAGTATCTACAGCATATCATAACCACTTGACAAAATTCCAAGGTAAACATTCCAAGGTTCCAAGGTTTCCTTTCAATCTGTCAATATGTTAATATACTTTTTATCACGTACATATGAGGATCTACACGGATCCCGCCGGTGATGCTAATCTGCCTAGCAAACGCTAAATCGTCAAGCCAGATAGTAATCGCCAGTCATGTTAATCATGCATGACAACATTCGTTAGTCTTTCACCTTCACCCCTCCTTTTGCACTCTTTCGGAGCTGAGGAAGATTGGGAAGATTGGGAAGATAAGGGGAATAAGGGGGATTCAGCTATTCCTTTCGCCTCCTCTCGCCTCCTCTTACCTCCTTTTTGCCTTCGTGGGTATTTTCTCCTGCGCATGATACGAATCTAGATGGCGGATCGATTATCTACTGGCTGATTGATGGACTGACCGATTGACCGATTGACCAACTAGCTAAGTACACGGCTGATTTGCTGATTTGTCGAGTGGGATCGGTTCATGGATGTGGCTTCTGGTGGCTTCTGGTGGCTCTAGATCTGCCCAGCTCGCCCAGGCTTTCGCTCAATATGTGCTGATCAGCTAGAAGACTTCTGGAATCCAACCCTCTTAGTGGTCAATTTCCGCAATCGATAAGAATGAATGCCAGCGAACTTAGACCATCCGAAGCCGAACCCTGTTCCGGCTTCGTCGTTACCTACCGCTACACGCTACCTAGCTGCCTGGGTACCCCGACCCGTCTTCCCCTCTTTAGAAGGTGCGCTGGATGTGTTAGAAGTTAAGTTGTTACTAGTCCACGTGCAGCGGGCCAGTAAGAGGCCAGTGCCAGTCTAGTAGTCTAGTAGCAATGTAAGGTAAGGAAGGTGTATTATGCGTACGGTAAGCAGCAGGCTGAAGAAGCAAGCAAAGCAAGCGCAACCTTTTAGCCTAAGGATACTACTACTGAAGGTAATGTTAGTAAGGTTCAATAGGATAGCTACCATCTCCAGTGCTATGGAAGGTATGTAATTAGTACCTAGGTTACCTAAACCAGCAGTCAGCTGGACCGGATCCAGGTGGCCGCCCAAATACCTGATGAAATGGAATGGTGAGGCTGAACATTCAATGCTTAATGTTGTTTTCCCTCTTCCCCGTCCTTTCCGTTTTGGTTCCCCGTCTCCCCCGACCTGGATCTGCTGGACCTGCCCGACTTACCCGACTCTTTGCTTGCAGAACAAGCAGGCAAGCAGACAAGGTCCTTCCTCCTCATTTCCCTTGCCTGGCCAACGCTAACCCTGGAGCTTGTGTAGCCTTCCATCTAAGTTCTCCGCCTCTTCCTCTTTCTAGATCCCATTCGCTCCCATTCGCTGCGTAATCCTCCCATCATCCTTTTTACATTTCACGCAGCTATCACCGCCTTCTCATCCATCTTCGCCAATTACTTTTCTTATTTCTAATAGAGGGTACACCGATACACTTACACACTTACACACTTACACACACACATACACATACATGAATCGAGAATAAAGATTTTTTGTCTATTCGTTTTAGTCTCTGCCTACCTGTAGATATCACTCTACCAATCATCCTCGGATGACCGAAACTTGATTTCTGTGTTATTGCGTTGCGCGTTCTCATTGTTCTTCTCACCGTCATGTTGTATTGACCGATATTTTGACCAAGCAAACGTTGTTTTCCCCTCCAAAATACACAAGGCCCACCAATCCGTTCTGTCCCTCCACGACTAGTATTTTATCAATCACATGGTAAAAATACACAACATCGAGCAATAATCTCAACTTATCGGTTGTGACGGATTGGCCTATCGTTGATGTCACTTTGATCGCAACTCTCGCTACCCTCCTTCGTCTTAGTCATCTTAGCTCTTTCTGAGTGATTTATTATTCAAAACACCACCGTACCCTCCATACTAGGTACCAGGCACCTGACCGTACGTGCCGATCCCGTTCAATGTCTATATGCCGGTGATTCCGCATCTCTGGCTGTTTGCGAGCCCCCTTCTGCTCTCTTCCTCTCTACCGGTAGCACGGCATTAACCCGTCGGTTGCGCCCACCTCCTTCGAACGGAACCCACGTATCTTCCTGAATCGTTTTATTTACAATCTTCGATGGTTCCGCGATAACCTACGAGTATATGTATGCGTGTGTATAGTTAGGTTTATATACGCTTACATATACGTAAATACGCCGTTACTACTACAGCCATCGTTGCGAACGATGGCATCTATACAGAGCCTGTCGGGGCTGGGATCTGCGTCGCATAGCTCGAGTAACAAGATAGGCAAGTCGAGAGCTAAAACAGCGGTGAAGCCAATCCTTAAAAAGCTATCAGCCCAGGTAGAAAAGACTTCGCTAGACTTGGATAGAGGATGGCTGGATCAAGAGGGGCAATATCGAAACAGCGACAGCTGGGGAGGAGGAGCGGGGGGCTCGTATGAACAGCAGTTGGGGAAGGATACTAGCATCACATTCAACGAAGCAGTCGGAACCCGTCGGTACCACCATTCCAGATCGATAAGCGGCGCAAGTCACATATCTGTCGCAACTACGAGCAGTTCTGGTCCGCGTCATCATGTTGGAGCACCGTTTGTGCATCCTTTCCAGCAGACACCTCGAACTTCGACCCCGCCATTGTCATATGCTAATTCGCAAACGTCCTTCTTCGACATCACAGAGGATGATGGCAATGACAATGACAATGACCCGGATAACAGTAGCAGCAGTCACAGGAATAGCCTCCAAATTCATCCCGTCAACGCCAATCCCCATTCCCACTCGCAGCCAAGTCTTAGCATTAGGCGACCGGCTCTAGCAACCACCCAGCGCACCACGTCCTATTCCGAAGTGAAAAATGCGCATTCCTCCTCTCCCAATCCTTCTCACCATCCGCCGTCCCTTAGAATAAATACTTCCCGTGCCACATCAGCTGCCCCAACACAGTCCTCGCGTCTAGCTCACGTCGAGAGCCGATCCGATCTTCAACTTGAGTGCATGTTAGAGACACCCAACTCACTAACCAATGCTCCGTCGAACCATATCTCGTCGCCAGCTAGCTCTACGGCCCCGATGTCTCCGCTTCGCTCTTCATTCGACGCGACCGGGTTCCCGCGCCTGCGCGCCAAGTCCGACTTGGATACCGCAACCCGAGCCGAACATCTCCGGGAAGCTCGGCGAAAATTTGAGCTAAGGGAAAAAGCGAAGGAAGAGAAATACGCGCGAGAAGAGATCAAACGTCGGGAACGTGCCGATAACAAGCGTGCCCAAGAACAAGAAAAGCATGCTGCGGCGCTATACAAGGAGCAAATGCAAGTCAGAGCCCGCCAAGAGGCGATCGAGCTCGAGGAAGCAATCTCTCGGGGAAAACAGAATAGGAAAGCCAGCGCTACAAGCAGTGGTCGTCCTAGCTTAGCCATCTCCCGGACTAGCATGTCCCGACCGGGCACGTCGCGCAAGAATGCCCCTAGCCCCTTAGCGGAGGCGGACAGGTTTGCCAGTAGCAACTACGACTCTTTAGATGCGAAAAACCCTCCATCATTCGGTAACGAGGCTGGAGGGGTTCATGACGTCGTTTTTCAGCCGTCTAAACGAAGGAATACAGCCAGGAAAAAGACTCAGAGTACTTGGACCATGTTTATCTTGTGGCTAAGGACGAAATTACTCCGAGCCGGTAAAGGGCGATGATGCCTCAGCTTTTCACCGACACATTCAGGAATTCAACAATTTCTTCCGTTTCGTACCAAGTGCATTTCCCTTGCAAATTGGGTTTGCCTATGAATATATATATACCAACAATACACATATCACTACACAGCATTGTCAGGAAGACACAACACTTGAACGAGCCAACATTGTGGCAGAAACGAACTACGCTCATCAATCATGACATCAGCAACAAGGACATAGCATATGATATCCGTTGCATTCGCGACTTTCACTTTCAGCATTGTTAAACCAGGCGTTTTTGGAACAGGAGTTATATCAAATCGGTTGCTTTTTTTGGAAAAGCCGTTCCGCGTTCACCGTACCTGGTTGAGGTAGGAATTCAGGAAATAGGAGGATGGCTTCGTTTTTATCGGAGTTGGATTACAGGTTGCGATATAGCCAACAAGATCAGGCTGGGGCAATTGGTGTTAACATTCGTTTTCTCTTCGCTTCCGCACTTCCGAAGACCACTCAAGTTCTCTGGGCAGATGGGATTGTTCTTGTCCTTTTTCTAAGGTACGGCCAAATCTTGCTAGTGTGAAACTATTTCATTGGCAAGTTGGGAGAGGTCACAGAAGCTCGTCTTGTTCATGCGTCTTAGGAACCTCTAGGGTTTTTGATCGTACAGATCGGTCTTCGAAGTGAAAACTACCGATCAAAGGCATGGTGATGGTAACATCCATAGATGGAATAGGTAGAATCGGATAGGTCAAATAGCAGAATCACAGATCGCGGCGAACTGCAAATCCATATTTTCGAGATGCTGCATCTAAAACGAACGTGCAACGTGGATTGAGTATGCTGACAATAGTTTCGTTTTCTTCGCGAATACGACCGCTCTTGCTTTACGAATCTTTCGACCGTTCCGATTATATTCTGCCAAGTATGCCTAGATATTTATTCAGTTGCGTGTATGAACGTGGTTGGGTAATGCCTATCTGCCATTAAGTCGTCGTAAGTCTCCTCGCATTAAAATGCCCAATCTAGTATTGGAATAATACGAGGAGAGATACGAGCAGATTATGATCTTACTCGACGAGCCGAGACTCACATAGCCACACTTACATAAACACACCAGGTTCTGTCAGTGTTAAAAGATGTTAGAAGTTGTTAGATCTTACATCTTCGAGAATATTTCTATCGACAAGCGCCTACCTAGATCTCTCGTTCTCTGGGAGAGGCACAGCAGAACAGCAGATCGGAAAGGACGGATTTATGAGATACACCTGAAATACGAAGGTACTCTAACCATGTCTCATTGGCTTGTAATTCTGGCGCGCGCCTAGAGACCTTAATCCGTCTGGGGACTAGTGCAGCTTGGCGGCTCAGGCGCCAAGATCTTCAGGGGTACGATGTACAACGAGCCTTCTGATTGCTCAATTCTGAGGGAGATTCGGCGGTCGGATACTGTGTAGCACATGCTTGACAGGCTTGATCTGTCAGGATTCAATGATCAACGGCAACTACTACCTGAGTACTTCCTTAGCTAATATTGAAAATCTCAACTTTTCTTTTTCAGCGTTCCAATATGTTCATGTAGAATTTTCATCTCTCAACCCCCAACTAATATGGTACAAGTTCGAACAAGTTCCAAACAGGTGCTGACTCATGACAAAGAGAATACGAAAAAAACTGGAAAACGAAATAAAGAAATAGGTAGGCTTTAAGTCTTGGTAATTCTAGGCGAAGGGGAAGCTGGTCAAATGGGTCTAGATGATTCGTTCGTCCTGGTTTTGGCCCTTGTTCCAGTGATCCCATTGATCCCATATTTTCCCGGCGAACAATCTCCACGATGGTCTGGGCTTTTTCTTGGCTAGCCAACCCAAGATGGGTTAATCTTTAGTCGACGTCCCTTCGTCTGTCACCTCCTGAATCCAAAAAACCTTGGCCAGACATTCTTTGCCAATGTAATTCGCCAGCTGACTAGGTGATTTGGTTATTGTCTTGTCCTTTTTACCTTTTTCATCTTTTTATGTCGTTGACGTCGAGTTCCACTCTCCTTAAGTCCCAAACCCTCTCGTCACCGACCTTGATAAAATCATAATAATATACATTCGTCCTCTACTATCACATGAGACGTTCATTATCGCTACTAGTCTAGATCTAACTAATTCACTTCTTTCACTCCTTCATTCCCTGTTTTTTTCTTCTCTTCCCGGTGATTCGTTGGTTTCGCTCGTTGCGCCCCTCTTCTTGAACAATACGCAAACAAACAATACGCATTTCACAAAATCATGGTGAGACTATCAACACCGCTGCTGGCGGCACTGGGCCTAGTCACCGGCACAGCATATGGAGCCCTCGATGTAAATCTCGATGATCCAGGTATGTACCTTTCTAATCCTTGATAATCCACGGTAAGCATTTTGTAAGTGAGGGAAGATAACTGACACCTCATCCTCATTAATTCAGCTTCAATTAAGTCGGCAGCTGCCTTAGTCGCTGAAGACCTTCTCACTTTCTATCATGGCGACGAGCCGGGCAATGTTCCCGGTATCTTGCCCGGTCCTCCCCCCGACGGCGACTACTACTGGTGGCAGGGAGGTGCGCTCTGGGGTACGATGTTAGACTACCGACACCACACCGGCGACAAATCCTATGACAAAACCGTGTCACAGGCACTACTGTGGCAGGTGGGTCCCAACGAGGACTTCATGCCGCCGAACTGGACGGCATCGATGGGTAACGATGATCAAGCGTTCTGGGGATTGTCTGCCATGCTGGCTACCGAAGTAGGATACACCGATCCACCGACAGATCAACCGCAATGGTTGGCGTTGGCGCAGGCAGTGTTCAATGAGCAGACGCATGAGGATCGAAGAGTGCCTAGCGGACGATGCAAGTGGGGTTTAAGATGGCAGGTCTATCCGTCCAACAACGGATACAACTACATTAACAGTACGTTAAGACAATACACTCCCTCATAGAGTATGGTGGACAAGGACCCGGGAACTAACACGACTGTAAGCCATCGCAAATGCATGTTATTTCAACATCGGTGCTCGACTAGCCCGCTACACGGACAACTCGACCTACGCTGATCTTGCGAACAAGACTTGGAATATCATTAGTGACCTAGGTTACATCTCAGACAAGTGGGATGTCTATGACGGTGCTCATTTACCGGATTGTACCGACATCAACAAAGCACAGTTTTCGTACAATGCAGCCATGTTGTTGCAAGGTGCCGCCTTCTTGTATAACTACGTATGTTACTCTTACCCCTAAGTCCTTGTATCATGGGGTTTTTTATGGATATCATGATATTTGCAGCTTTTTGGGCTTCGGTAATCTGAATCAGCTACTAACCGTGATTCAGACTGATGGCAGCCAAATCTGGAAAGATCGTATTGACAACCTAGTCGACCGCATGATTGAAATCTTCTTCCCTAACAACATTGCATACGAACCATCATGCGAGGGTACGAAGTGTAACGCCGATATGGAGTCTTTCAAGGGATATACTCACCGATGGATGGGCTCGACAATGCAACTAGCTCCTCACACGCGAGAGAAGATCTACCCCGTGCTGAAGGCCTCAGCTCAGGCAGCCGTCAAACAGTGCACGGGTGGTGATAACGGTCGATTCTGCGGTTTCCACTGGACCACGGGCGTCTTCGACAACAAGGTCGGCGCCGGTCAGCAGATGAACGTTCTTGGAGCTCTAATTAGTCTTCTATCACCTGATGCCACGCCGCCTCTAACCAACAGCACCGGTGGTACATCCCTGGGTGATGTGAATGCCGGTTCCGACGATCCTCTTGTGCCCACTTTCGCCCCCATAACCGGCGGTGACAAGGCAGGTGCCGGTATCCTCACAGCTATCCTCATTGCCGGTTCGCTCTCGGCCTTCGCGTGGATGAGCTTGGATTAAGTCAGACTCGGGTCCTAAGGGGTTATCGCAAAATTAAGGTTGAATGTACATCCGGCGTTGCACGTGTTTTGCAATCAATGATATTTTTTAGTTCAGGAATGAGAATACCCAGGTTTTCACATAAAAAGGAATTGTACATAGGCTCGGGCTCATAACTCTCCCGTTCTTCCTTTTTCAAGCTTGCCGTATGTCGTCTAGGGAGTTGCGAGGCGTACTTGGGTGATAGACCTTGAAATAACAAGAATACCTAGGAAAGAGAAGAGGACTAAGAAAGGGGATGAAAGGGGAGAGATGAGGGGAGGAGAATCAAAGAAATAATTAGATAAGATAAATTTGATGATGTCTAATTTGCTGCGTGCTGCAGTCCCGGATTTGTGTCATCGCTGTTTATCCTGGATTAACTAGAGTTAGATGGCGCGAAGGGAAGGGAATCGCCTCCGGCTTCCACACTTGTGATACATAGGTAGGTATTTTATTTATTGCGATGTCGATAAATCAAGGCTGCAGTTGACAGGCTGGGTTCACAATCCCACTAGCCGTCCTTACGGACCTACCTAACGAAGAAAATAGAGGGTGGTATCGATTATATTTCGAATTCAAATGTGTAGGTATTGGAATACTTCGATAATCAGTTCACTTCATGTAAGTTACTATGGATAGGACTAAAGCCTATGTACTATAACTTACCTAGGTAATGATCATGATTCAGCTTTGACTTTCCCGAGATAAATACCTAGATAGGTAAGTTGTATTCATGGGCGAATTCGAAGTCTTTAATATCCATTACCATTACAATTACAATTACCATGACAATGCTTTACGTTGTTTCGTTAGAAACCCTACGAGTCTTTCTTCTCACTGTAGTGTAGAAATACTTAGGTATTTACTTGTTCAATGATGCTCTTAAACAAGTTTCCATACTTCGAATTCCACCCACGACGCTTTTCCATTGCCAACTGGTATTTCTTGGAAATCGAGAAAAGTATAAGTTTAACAATCATTTCTTACTAGACCTGACAGATGAAGTCGGGGTGGACATATTTAGCCTGTAGCCTGTAATTTCGTGAATGTGAGAGGATCGTCCCTTGAAAGGTGGCACAACATACTGCCACGCTGTTTAGATAAACGAAAGCACTCCGCTGATTCGCATTCGCAAACTAGGTTCAAGGATCTTATTTCAGGCAAGATAATAATTTCAGCTATTGTGAAGCCTCTTGCTGAATTAACCGAGACCGATCCTTATGTGTTAAACCCGAGCCGATCCCTCGGCGGCAAGACATAAATCGCGGAGATCCGAATCCAAGTTTCAATGACCTTAATCTGACTTCAAGTCATCGATGGTGTTTATGTCTGTCCATAAAGCCACGTCAAGAAGAATTGGGCCACATTCGTTAATTTCGGAATCGGGTCTAACAATGTAAGGATGATAACTCGGCTCTAAAGGAGTCATACAATGACGACTATTGATACCGTGGTAGTGTTAGTAAACCTGATATTCTTATTGATTGATGTTGGTAACCTAGAATAAAAAGAAATATACATGCTGAAATGTGTAGTTGTCGTCATATGGAAACCCGAAGATTTCATCTCGAGTAAATAAGACGAAGCTACGAACATTATAAGTAGTACAAACATCTAGAAACTACGTCATTGGTCATATATGTGCACTATCACACGTGGGCTCTAAGGCAGGAGCAAAAACCTTGGCAGTTGCTTCGCAATTCGACAGGTTAGAAACAGTCACATTATGACTCGTACATTATTTAACGTTTAACTTTGCAAGGAAGTACCTGGTTGTAAGTATCAGCTCTGGAATGCCACGCTAAACAACGCTAAACCTCCAAGTTGGAATTCTTCTCCTTTTATTATACAGCACAGCCACATCTCTATCCATCTCACAAACGTTTAGACATCATTTTTTCCTACAATCTCTTCTTCCTTCCTGACTTACCTATCGATTTAACAGTAAACTTGTCTAGGAATTACCGTTTGAGAAATTCCGACTCCGGACCCCACATTAGGACAATACATATTGTCTCTTCTACATAGAATCTAGAGCCTCGACAGTCGAGTCTCCAGCTCTTAGTACAATTTAAAGAAGAACCGTCGAACGCTACATAGGTGGCTCATCAGCCCTACGTACGCTCGTTGGAGTTAAGCGTGGCACACAGTGTGTAAACTGTAAGTCCAATCTTCACCTTGTGCCTTTTAGAGAAGTGAGGCGGTGTTCCCCTGCCAGCTGCCAGCCTACATACCTGAGAACCCCACATCTCTAAGCTTGGTTTGTTTGGTCTACAAGCCGTTTAGCCGTCTCCCGTAGCAGCGTAGCAGTCTAGCAGCAGTCGCAACAAACGGGTCGGAGGTAAAATCTAAAGCTGCGAAACAACTTCGCTGATATCACTGGACAGAAAGCACGGGGGACGCGTTACACAACCGCTGACGAGAAAACGATAGAAGCAGAGAAGACAGTAATAGAGCTTGTGGGGGGTGTTGGAGACACAAAGCCTGATTAGCTTATAAGAGGGAGTATTCGTCTTACAGTTAGACGATACTCTCTCTTCGGGGGTTGATCGTGGAAGACAGAATGCGTAAGTTCTTACTTTTCTTAAATTTTATTTTCTTTTGTCCTATCATTTCTCTAGACTCCGGTCCTCTACATTATATTCCTTACACTCTCCGCTCCCTTCGGACACGTATTGTTATCGCCGCTTCGAATGAAGTCACGGCGCGGTGGTGCTATTCCGCGTATCTAGGTACCTACTAGGTACATACATTCATACGCACGATGGATCCATCCATCCACACACCCCAACATATACATTCAACGCTACGTTAATTCCGGCAAACTTCTGAGTGGGGGTGATCTTCTGCCGGCTTTTAGTCTTTTGGGAAACATATCTTGGAGGCGGTCGATATCGTTCCCATACTTCAAGCTCAAGCTCATATGCGGAGCTTATAATCATTGTTACCGTAAAGTTCGGGAGTTGCAGTATATCCCCTCTTCATCCCCTCTTCTCTTTAATCATACCAGTCATCGAAGTTAGAACAAAGAAACGGAATAAGAAAAAAAAAAAACTACTTGATTCTTTATTATTATTATTATTTGATTACGTCTTGGAAGTCAAGCCTCATATGTGGATCAACGCCATCCCAAAAAGCAAGGCGACAAAGCTAGTACACTACACAGTTTAGCATACACGTTATCAATCCCCAGGGGTCCAGTGACCAGTTGCCAAGCCGGTCTACCAAACTTACGTCGCCTCTGCTGGAAAAGGTTGATGACTGGCTTACAAGCCTTTGACCTGGGAACCAATCCGAGGACACCACTTGGGCTACCCCTGATAATTCAGATTACGCCTTGATCTTTCCCAATCAGAGCACTCCCCACGCCACCGTCCCGCCCCAATTTTCCAACTTGTTCTACGCCTATTTAGTCTAGGCTTCTCTCGCTCTCGCATTACATCCTCAACACGTTCCCCCCATCTTCCCGTTCTCCTTACAGAACAACCCACGACCTTGGCGTCGAATCTGCCAAAGCCGCATACATCGATGAAGGAAAGCTCGACTGATAAGGCCTCTCACATAGATCGCATACGCTCTTGGGCACGAGGTCACGCGTATGGAGGCTCAACACGGTCCACCGCGTCCAACAGTACTCCTGTTCTACCCTTAACTAACCCAACCGCACCCAATTCCCAGCACCACTCGGAAAAGGGTCAAGATGCTAGCGCCGGCAACCTCGCCGGTCACCACCAGGACCTCCCTAACGGCTCCGCAGACCACAAACTTCACCATGCCGGACCGAATAACGAAGATGCCGGTAAGTCAAGTTCGCCGGCATCTGAAATGGAGGGGACGGGGCCTGTCATAGACGAGAATAGTAGCAAGAAAAAACCAAACATTTTCATCGAAACTTGCCTTGAATTTAAAAAGGTCCTTCTCCATAGCTGGATCAACGTATTCTTGGTCTGCGTTCCGATCGGAATTGCCATCGCAAACATTCCGAATAGAAATGCCGGAGCTACATTCGGCGTTAACGCTGTTGCCATTATTCCTCTTGCGGCTCTCCTCAGTCATGCCACTGAATCCGTAGCTCGCAAGATGGGCGACACAATCGGCGCATTGCTTAACGTGACGTTTGGCAATGCCGTCGAATTAATTATTTTGTAAGTTGGATATCCTTGAAATTATGGTGTTGGATTTTACTAACAATTTGATAGCATGTAAGTTGAACCGCCATGACATTTATGTCGTCATTTCACGACTTGGTGTCGACACTCCACCGAATGTATCATCACTAACGTAATATTCATTTCTACAGCATTGCATTGGTCAAGGTAAATATACATACTCGCCGTCTCGTCAATCACGTCGCTAATTATATCTAGGGTGAAATTCGTATTGTTCAGGCCTCATTGCTAGGATCTATCCTTGCAAACTTGCTCCTTATTCTGGGCATGGCCTTCTTTTTTGGTGGTCTACGATTTCGCGAACAGGTCAGTCGAATGGCCACATTGCCCATTGTACGAAAATTGACATGTTCTAGATCTACAACAGCACCGTCACTCAGATGAGTGCTTGCCTGCTCAGTCTAAGCGTGATTAGTCTTATGTTGCCGGTTAGTTTTCTCGAGTTTTTTTTTTCTCTCCTTCAATCTATGAATTGTGCTTAACAAATTTGCCAGACTGCATTTCATGCATCGTTCAAGGACAAGGCCGAAGCAGACAGCGAGTCTCTCAAGATTAGTCATGGCGTCAGCGTCATTCTCCTTTTGGTTTATGTCATCTATCTTGGGTTCCAGCTGAAGTCTCATGCATACATGTATGAATCGACTCCTCAACACATCATTGATGAAGAAGCGACTCCTGGACCTGCTGCCGCATGGCTCGAATCGTCTGATTCTGACTCGAGCTCCTCTTCGGATTCGGACTCTGATAACTCGAATCACTCGAGAGAAACAATGTCAAAGCGGGTCAAACGTGTTATCCGTCGTGGACATCGCCGTAGAAAGTCTAGCGTTGCATCTATCGACACCGATGTGCCTCGTACACGAACTTCGTCTCTTGGAACTAACAACGCTAGCCCCACCCACGAAGGGTCTAGATCTAGTAACTCTGAACACGGCCCTGGCTTACTCCCTCGATTAGGTTCTAGAGGTAGTGACGAGGCTCTCGAAGAAGATGATGATGCCAAACCGCGCCGTAAGCATAAGCGTTCTAAACGCAAACATAAGCGTAGTAGAAAGACGTCTCTCCCTGTTGACGAAGAGGCCGCTCAACCAGAGAATATTGCTGCCCCTGGACCAGACGACACACACAATCCTATCACAAATACTGGAGAGCCTCGCCGTGTGGATTTCGCAGATGCGGTTGCTAATGTCGAGGGGGCATACGAAGTTACACCGACTGGTACTAAGCGTCCTTTCAACAACCTTCGTGTCCTGTCCCTTCGACCTGTGGCTAAGAGCCTAGCGCCTCCTGTTTTCACCCAAGGTTCTGAGATGGGAGCTACGCCTTCTGTTCCGCCTGGTCCCGTACCACGCGTCAGATACGGAATACGTAGAACAAATTCCCTTCCGGAGAGACTTAATCAGTACCAGTATCGACCCCCAGGAGCCATGATGCCCTCCCAAGTTCCAGTGTCGATTCTAACCGGCGGTACCGGTAAAGAGGGCGAGGAGCACGGAGACGACCTGTCACGTGGCGCGGCTATCATCATGTTACTCATCTCCACAGCGCTTGTCGCTTTGTGTGCCGAATTCATGGTGGATGCTATCGACGACGTGGTATCGAACAGTGCTCTCAAAGAAACATTTATCGGGTTGATTATCCTTCCCATCGTCGGTAACGCCGCAGAACACGTGACAGCCGTTTCGGTTGCGATGAAGAACAAGATGGATCTGGCAATCGGTGTGGCTATTGGTTCATCGATCCAAATCGCTCTATTCCTGACACCACTCGTGGTTATCATTGGCTGGATTATTGGTCAGCCTATGACATTGTACTTCACCCTCTTCGAGACCGTGTGTCTATTCGTATCAGCGTTTATAATCAACTTCCTGATCTTGGATGGACGAAGCAACTATCTCGAGGGCGCGCTGCTCTGCGCTACTTATGTCATCATTGCAGTTGTTGCATTCTTCTATCCTGAAGGTGATGCTGCCAGCTCTCTGGGTGCGTAAGAGGAGTTCCATCGCCCCATCGCAACAAAACGCCCTATTTATTTAGCAACGAGATACCATGATATTCGACATGAGCATGAGATATGTCTACCATTTATCACTGCTTTGGTATTCAGGGTATTGGGGGTTTCACGCAGATGGGTGACATGGTACATGGAATTTCGTATTATAGGGGAGGTACATGATTTTACGATTCTCTGACGAAGGTCGCTCGTCCTTTCGGGTCGACTTTTAACGATTGATTAATTTGGAATTTGAGTGAGCATTTGAAGATTTGCAGGAGACTAGCTGAGCCAGCCAACTTGGCCGCTCTGATCGGGATTGTGGTAACAAATAGCGCGTTGATAAAGACTCCGATTCTATTTGAGTCGTTTGAGTAAATTGACATTCCTTTCGACATACTTTGGATTTAATCCTGACCTTGAATAAACAATGTGATTCTGTAGTTCCATGCTTCCATGTATCAAGATAGTACTCGCAACCCCTTATTCATGTAATATTCATCCAAGTTTTTCTAAATTGTACCTGCCTCTCAATTACGTCACAGGTACCGTTGGCCTTCCTACATACGGTAGGTTCCTATTAATGGGTTGCAGTAGTTCATGTGTTAGAGTTAAGTTTGAGTGGGGTTGGGGTTTCCAGCCACGCGGGTCTTAGCTAGAGACTCTCATAAGGGTTCCAAGATTACCTATTTTAGATCGATTCGATTGAGGCTTAGGTAGAGAATTAAGTTCATGACAAATAACTTCAATTCACTCCAATTCAACTTGACGCTTACTCTTTGTTCTCTGTCACCTTTGCCATTCTATCTGAAGCTAATAGCAAACACGGGGCATATGGATTTGTCAGTAGCACAGCCTGAACAAGCAAATACTTCATTTGAACTTGCGTAACGCAACAAATCAGCTCGCTGTACTGCCCGTTTGGCTTACCCTTGGCCTCAGTCAGCTTGATTCAAGGTCTCACATACCTACACATAGTACATCGGCCTACATAAAAGCCAAAGGTCGCGGCAATAGCTACAAACGTCAACTTCTAAACTATTAACCCTCACCTAAACGCTCTATCTAAAATCCACTTAGTCTAGCTAGGCAGGTACCTACCTAATAAAAGGTAACTATACTTACCTATACTATAATATCAACGGTCTTGAAACACTATAATGTGTTTCGGACACAAAGATAACGCCGACGATACCGCTCCCAAACCCGCTCCAATTCGACCATCATCAAGCATCACAAAGCCAAAAGCCAGCATGCCGCAAGAATACGCGCCTCCGCCCGGCCCGCCGCCGTCTTACCCATCCCAATCTCAGTCACAGTCTCAATCTACCTACTATGCCCCACCGCCAGGACCTCCTCCTTCCCATTCCCAGTCCTACCAGCCTCCAGCAGGCCCACCGCCATCAGACATCAAGAATAACCCGTTCTTCAACCAGGGTCCCAATGCTGGATCCCAAGACGAGGAGTACGCCCCGCCACCCGGCCCGCCACCATCTCACGGACAGTCATCAAAACCACAGCACGACTGGGAGACAGCGGTTCCGGACACGGCACTACTACCCCCACCGCCCGATTTCTTCGCCGGATACGACCGCTCGCCCTCAAATAACGCATCTAAAGACGAATGCGAAGCAGGCGAATCCTGGTGTCGGGAGCACCCGCTCTACCACCCCGCACCTCTAAACGCCAACACAAGCGCCACCACAGCCGCCGTGTCAAGCGGCAACATAACCGTCTACGCACCCCCCTCCTACCTCGCGAAAGGGGGCACCCTAACGCAACCCGAACCCGGAGTCTGGCGCGGCCAAAGCACGCGCGGGATCCCAGACTCATGTCTAGCGACCTGGCCGCCCTTATACCAAGCCAGCGCGCACAGTCCGCTAACCACAGGGCGGACGAAGATTATATACTACGAAGTGCGCATCCTACACGACACCTCCCGAAACCCCGAAATCGGCCTCGCGCTCGGGTTTTCCGCGCCGCCGTACCCGGCCTTCCGACTCCCCGGATGGCATCGCGGCAGCGTGGCTGTGCATGGCGATGATGGACACAAATACATCAACGATCGATGGGGCGGGAAAGATTTCACGGGTCCGTTTCGGAAAGGGGAGACTATTGGGATAGGGATGGAGTTTGGGGCTAGGGAAGAAGGAGGGATCAGGACGCAGGTTTTCATGACGAGGGACGGGGTCGAGAGGGGGAGGTGGGATTTACATGAGGAGACGGATCGGGAGCAGGATTTACCTGTTACGGGGCTGGAGGGTTATCATGACTTGTGTGCTTCGGTGGGGTGTTTTGAGAAGGTGGGGTTTGAGATTGTGTTTTTGCCGGCGTTGTGGTTGTGGAGGGGGTATGAGGGTTGATTTATGCCTTTGGCTTGTGTGGTTGCTGGTTTGGGGGATGAGGGTTAGCGATGGGTTTATGGTGGCTAGGGGTACGAGCGTTAAGGAGGGAGGTTGTTATTAAGCGTAGGTAGCGATGTATATACCTAGAGGCTTGGTGTAAATTTGATATTAGCAATGTTTGCTCTTTTGCCTGGATTACACTTGCAGAATTTATGGAATATGTAATCGACCTGTACACGCTTCAGGTATTGTACGATATTTTACAGAATAGTAATGGTCACTTCAGGTCAATCAGTGATAGTTCTTGATAGTTCTGCTTCCTTCACGGACAAGTCAGACTACAGGGAAATAAGTCCAAGAAAAGTAAAGGAACGGATGGATATCTCTGTAACTGATTCGGTACGTATCATGATTCCCCTCCCTCTAGTAGGAAAGAAGATAGCAAGTAAGGAGATCTAATCAGAATTTCTCCCACGCTATAGGACTCCCATATCTTCAAAGACATTGCCGTGTCCTTTATCCCCAGCAACTGCGTAACTTATCAACGTTCGTTCAATCATAACCTGCCCGCCATCCTTGTAGCTCCGTTAGAGACATCATTGTCTCTGAGAAGTCAATCGGAAATTGTCTGAGCACCCTCGAATGCATCGCTAGGGTCAAGGGTGATCCAGCCCTTAACAGAACCGGCTTCGATACAGATCATGTTCTTGAAGCCGTCCTTAGGCTCGAAATCGCCCATTCCTGCAGCCTTGTCCGTCCACGGGTTCCAGACCACAACATCCTTAAGGTTGTCTCTGACGATGCTGAAAACGGTTTCACCATCCTCCGTGACGACTACTGGACTCGAGGGTCCTTTAGCCGGAGAGTAAACTCGGTCTACCTCGCCTGCGATGGTTACAGCGCCAGACTGTTTCTTCTCCTTAGCGGCATCCACCTTGTCGACGTAGTCTGATTCCTCAAGACCCGTGACCTGGATCTTGGAGATATCCTATTCGGCGAAGTAAACGTTAGCTAGATTCCTTCGAAATTTAGGTTATACGCCAAAAACTAGAATATGAGATATATTTACCTCGACTCGTAGATAAGTGTGCATCAGAGTCTGGAACTCGATGGGCTGGTTACCGTCATTAGTAACGACGATACTCGTGCTCAGGTTTTCCGGAGTCAATGTGACGCTGTAGATGATAGAGAAGGTGTAAGGCCACAGGCTCTTAACCTGGTCGTCGAGGGTCGCGGAAGAGAGGCCGAAGTCTAGCTTGACGGAGATGTCGGAAGGGCTGGCCGACTCGGAGCTCGACTTGCCTAGGAACTCCCATCGCGAGTTGCGCGCAAAGCCGTGCTGCGGTAATTTCGAGGTCGCGGCATGGTCCGGAGCTGTACCGAATACCTACGAATCGGTTGATATTATTAGCAAACGGTTCACTTTTGTTTTCACTTTCACTTTCACTTTCGCTGTCGCTATTGCAGCTACCATACTTGGAATGACTCCACATAACATATAATTCGCCAATGGAGATGCATCAAATTATACGGACAAAGAAAGGGAGGAGGGGTAGCTTACGGGAAACACCAAAGGAATACCACCTCGCACGGCTTTGGATCCGTCAAGCTTGGCGGCGTCCGATAGCCAGAGCTTCTCGATTCCGAATCGGTTCTTCCAGCTGATGACGGTCGCGCCGTAGAGTAAGACTTCGACACTCTCGCCGGCGGGCAACACAGCCGTTACGCGCGAATTCTCATGAGAGAAGTTAACCTGAGGCTGAGGAGGAAGACCCGGGGTGGTGGCCAGCGCCGTCGGTCTGTTTCGTCTGTCAACCATCGTCGCTAGTCGATTGCTCTAGTCACTTGGTAAGTTCGGGACGTTAAACTAGGACGGTTTAAATTGACGACTAAATAAATGTGTGGGTAATTTCTGAAATAGTAGATGGTAGGATACAGTTTAGTTAGAGGTTCAATAGAAGATGGTGATGTCAAGAAGTATAAATAGACAAGGAAGGTGGTAGTATCGTAAGGTGAATGCTATGGCGGGGTACGAGTGATAAATGATAAAGTAAATATTCCGTACTCCTGGGTTTTGTTGGTGGGGTAATCGCACCTGCCCTATAACTTCCTACTATTAAAGATGCTAACCGATAATCGAGGCAGGAGCCCTTAGTTGTTTGTTAAGCCGAAGTTTCAGGTAGCTGCTACGTAGGTATGTATTAACTGTCGAAGAAACGGAGAATGATCAAACTGAACAACTATAGAGGAAATTTGTTTGGAATCCGGAAACGAAAGAAAAATTGGTGGAGATCGAAAAGTCAAGAGGTTTGAGGTTCGGTCGATCTTCAGCTTCAACCGAGAGGAGCCACCAAATAAGGTACTTAGCTTACAGATCCGTTAGAAAGAAGGTGCACATGTGGTGGAGTATAACGATACATTCGTATACTTTGTAGTAGCACCGCATAACCTGAAACGTCTATCTTCTCCCCTCCAGTCCCCTACAGTCCCTTCCTACCCGCACTACCGCAGCACCTACCTATGGGAAGTCGGCACCTAATCGGAGCACGCCCAATAGAAGGAATATTTTCCGACTATTCTTTATTTCAGGTGCGTCCGGTGCGTTGTTATTTGGGCTTACCTCATCTCAAGTGTTACCTGGTGCTATTACCCGTTGTTATACCTGTTGCTATACCTGTTACTATATAGGCAGTTTCATGTGATATCACCTGACATTTTATCAATTGACTTTCAACTTGATAGGCAGTATTTAGCGGAGGAATATGCCGTGGCAGCCTGAGTCATTTTGTCGCCTCTGATTTTCTGCGTCATTTTAGATGTGGTACGTAAGAGGTTTACGGTGAAGCGTCTTTTTTTTGGTCAGGAGGGTGTGTTGGCCGTGGTGATCAAGACGATCAAGGAGCCTTGAAATATTTGGCTTTAGACGACGATCTAGCTGGGCAATGACGTTGGCAAGTCATAGAATGTCGGTAACATGGTAGTATCTTGCGGAGTTAGCAGTGGAATCAGCAGTATCTATAAATCAACTCCCGTAAGTAGGTAGCACGTATAGCAAGCATATCACATAGGATCCTAGTCGACAAGTAATAGAATAAGTATAGAAGTAGTGTAAATGAATTCGATTCATGTAGACCGGTCGTCTACTTCGCGCCTTAAACTCCACGCCAATGCCCGTCATAAACCGGTCCAGTCCAACAGGTAGGAATTAGTTGTCATTCCCTTCCAGTCATTTTTATATATACCTCCCCGTCATACAACCTAGTGTCGGCCTCGGCTCTCTGCCTGATATAGTTCCTTTTTGATATCGAAGAACATATCCTCGATCTTGTTGACCTCATCTCGGGTCAACCTTGCCGTACGAAGACCCTCGAGGCTACCCTTTAGAGCATCCATGATTATTTCTGCCTGGGATTTCTGAATTATTGGTTCCTCAACGTGACGTGGCTCTTCGATCACCCTCTGGACTGTGTCTGTTATTTCCTTAGCGTCTTCTGCCTGATCCACAACCTCCGCGTCTGCGTTGACGATTTGCATATCTTCATCCATCATTTCGGCGGGAGTAGGCCCAAATTCTGATTGTTGAGATGCTTCGGTAATGATCTGTAGATTGACCGCTTCCGTATCAGACTCACGTTCAGATTCTCGTTCTATGAGACTGTCGTCGAAGCTCACAGGTGACGAGTCTGGCTGGTCTTGCTGGACTGGTCCTGTAGCTATGGGTTCTTGTACCTCACTGAAAGACATATCTGTGTCTAATTCCATGCCTCCGTCCACTGCCACAGTAATCTTATTTGCAACTGTAGTATCGTCTTCGGAGATATGGCTGTTATACACTGATTCTGTGTTTGCTTCTGCTTCCACTTTGGTCTCGACCTCCGCATTAGCTTCAGCATTCTTACGATGTTTCCGCTTCTTGTGGCTGCTGTTTGGTTCGTGACCTTTCTCCGCCTGTCGCTTCCTCTTCCTCTTCGATCTTTTACTCGATGAGCGTGGGGTTTCTATCTCTGCAGATGAGGTTGGAGCAACAGGTGATTGGAAATCTCCATCCTTCTTGGATTGGCTTCTTGTTTTTCTTGATCCTAAATCAACTGTAAAGGATTCCACATCCGACTTATCTGCCCTTCGTTGTTTCTCCGGTGACTCTTTGCTGGTCTTGGATTGAGAACCAGATTTCCTAGAATCAAGCTCGACAACTAGACGAGCAAAGCTTCGCTCTTCTCCATCACTAAGTTCGAAAGAGCGATCTTTAGGTTGAGACGACGACATGGTGTTTTCCTCGATCTGTTTCTTTGCCGCCGCATTGCTACGAAGCGTACGAGGTGTTCTAGGAACTTGACTGCTAAGAGCGTCCACAAATACCTCGCGTTCAGATCGGAGTGATGATCCTAGTGCCTTACCCATCGAACGAGTCGTTCGCGGCGTCAGCGCTTGGGTATCGGGTTGGTCTTGGGCGCTATATTGTACACCTCCAGAATCAAGTTCTGATTTAGGTTTGGCCCTCGGTGTTTCCTCCTCATCATGGTCTGATGTTCCCATATCACCTTGATCAATTTCCATATCTTCTTGCTCTACATGAGATTCGCTGAAAAATATCGGTTGTTGTTTTGGCACTGGGGATCCGGGCACAGGCGAGGATGATACCGGGAATTCTAGGAACATGGCGCTACTCTTAGACTGTGGCCTCATCTCCTCGAGTAGGTTTCGGCGTGGTTCAGGTGGCGAAGATGGGACGTCATCAACCATCTCGTGGTCATCAATGATGGGAGCTTGACCACGTCGTGGAGTCGGTGTCGAAGACACGTAATCTTCAAGTTCGCGACTGCGCTCAGGTGTGGCGGCCCTTGTACTTTGAAGATCTTTCTTCTCCTGGTGTTGAGCTGTAGGATGAGGCGACTTTCGTTTCTCTGCGCTAGATCGGATATGAGGGAACATTGCAGCATTTTCTCGTTGCCGCTCACGGACTTCTTTTTGACGATCTGTTAACATTTGAGACTCTGCTACGTCTTGGCTAGGCGAGGACGATTCGATCGGGGCAAATTGAATCTGAGAATCATCATGACGCGGTCTAGGAGTAGTGCCCTGTCGAACCGATCTTGGCCGAGAGGTATTCGGAGTGATGTCGGGCCGGCGTTCACTAGATAGCGAAAGCCGCACAGGCTCAGGTGTGGCAGATCGCCTCGAAGACGGTCGATCCGTTGTAGGTGTTTGATGGAGGCTTGCATTGTCTAGGGGTGGATTCGACACCTCCAAATCATCCTGGGATTCGACGAAGGATATTTCTGGTCCAGCGGATCCATACAATGAAAGATCCAAGCCGGGAAGCACAATATCAACACAGGAATGAATGGAAACGAGTACCTCCTTAAGCTTCTCCGGATACTGTATCTCTTCAGCGTGTTCAAAAGTATGATTCCATACAGCTGAAACGGCGTTTACGATATCCTTGTGTTTACTTAGAAAGGCGGCACATAGCAGCTCCTCGATAGCGTCAAGTTGCAAGTTGTCAGACGAATCTCTATCTGAAAGCAAGCCGCAGATTCGACTCCACAAAGCCTTGACCTATTAAATTGTTAGACGAGATTGTAAAATAATTCAAAGATGAATTTGGCACTTACAGCTTCAGACACTTTTGAGGACTGCCTACTGCTATACTTGGTATCCGCGTCTTGAACCCAAAAGCTAATTCCGTCTTGCAGCTGGAGCAGCGATTTCAAGACGAGTGAGGGATTACATCGAGCTAGAAAGCTAGTAATTTCTGTGAGTAAAGGTGCTATAATCTCATTTTCATCGTATTGCACGAAGTGAAGATATGCGATCCTTAGTAGGTGGTTCGTGAGACGGTAAAAATTGTCAAAGGGGTCGAAAGAAGCAGATCGCGACCCAGCAATCGATGTTCCCCAGAGACGCCGTCGGGCGGCATCGAGTGCCTGTCGGTCACGGGGTTGCCTTGCGGCGGCTACCAACTCGATACTAGTTTTGAATAGGTTATATGGCATGGCATCTTCGCATGATGAAGTGAACTCCCAAAGGCTCTTAGCAAATGGTTCCACTATCATGATAGCACATCCAGCCTCGCCTGCTTCATACGTAACTCGAGTAACCAATAGTTGAAAAAGAGAATGCCACTGTTCCCAAGGTAAATTGGGTGTTGATTTAATACCCCTTTCGAGATGTTTGACGATCTCACGATATTCGTGACCGATCGTCGTTGGTTGGCTGCTGGAAGTATTGGTCTGGTAACTGGATTGGCTGCTTTCTAGAGATAGAGAGAGAATGTCGGATATGAAGACCCATGACCCATAGGAACAAGAGACATCTCCCGGTAATGTCTGCATCAACTCCCGTGCCAAGTCAACTTTTCCATTGGAAGATGGTCGGGAGAGTATGAAGGGGTCGAAAACAACCCTGATTAGGTTCAATAATCCATCATTATCTGGGACCCCGGGAGGTAGCGTGGAGAGCATGGAAAACAAATGGTGAAGAGGAGTTCGGACAAGGCCTTGGCTTTTCCCCGAGCGATTTGAAGGTGTAGCAACGAGCTTGAACGACTTCTCGTTTTGTGAATTCTGTAACGAGAGCAGCTTCTCAGTGAAAGGCAATACGCCTAGTGATTCGGCCATCGTCGAAATGTATGTTTGTGTTGCGTCTAGGAATTTTTGCTGGGAGTCGGGCTCGACATCCGGTTGCCCAAGTCCATTAGACCATATCGAAACCAAAGTATTGAAAGACTGTGCCATGAAGGTGGCCGTTTCGGAGGATACCTTCACCTCCTTGGATGCGGCAGTCGCCACGGCGCCGACAAGGGCTCGCCAGAGTCGGCAAGAAGGTGATTCTGGGTTGGCAAGTTCCAGAAATGTACTCTTTAGGATGGGTTCTACGATATCAAATACTCTTTTCGCGTTTCGTCTGACCCACTTTGGATCCAACGCGGGTAATTCGTCAGGCCTAATCAGTGTATTCTCGGCAACTCGATCTTCTTTCCATAATCGAGCTGTTGAGGAATTGAATAAGCTGGTCAACATTAAAATGGATTGAGTTAGGTTCTCCGGGGGTATAGGAGCAGTCTTGTCTACGGACTTGCCGTCCACTTTGAGAGGAGTTAGCTGTAATATTAAAGGCTGAACGCATATATTCCAGTAACTTTCGATCCGCGTAGCGCTTGAGTTTGGCCCGAATGCATAGTAGTAGAGATTGCAAACACCAGCCACGACTACTTTCCGTATTTCATCTGCTTGCTTGTTTCCACCTTTCCTTCGCAACTGACTGAGGAAAGGTTGGCAGATGGTTCCGATAGTCTTCGAAAATGAAGACTCGTTGAAATGTAGGCAGTATACCAGGCGGTTCCATGCATAGTTGGCCTCAAGCTTGGTGTGATAGTCTCCGCTATTGAAACAACGTTGAATGATCTCGAGAAACGGAGTGAAAAATTCCCATCGGTCAACTGGACATCGAAGGAGAAGGATGATGACGCTCCAGACTTGAGGGACAGAGGCGGATTCAGTTTTATCTTTCGTCATACTCATCAATCTTTCCATGTAATACTCAATATACCGTGTCTCCTCGACCTGTAATTGAAGTATTTCCATTACTCTTCTGGATAGTTGCTTTTCTTTCCCAACTGCGAAACTAGCCTCTAGACCTAGTGCGATGGCAGAGAGACGGATCTCTTTCAAGCTACTAAGCATGTCGGTGAACAGATCTAAAAGCCAATCTGAATGTGTAGCCATTTGAGATTTTGCTTGCTTGACTAATCTTCGATATATCAATATGCGAGACATGATAATGCTTTTGCCCTTGATATGCTCTTCGATCTTATGGAGAGTAGTTATGAGTCGACCGACACGATCCGCCGTCATAACCTTCCCAGAAAAATCCTGGCAGGCCACAACTTGCATCAGATGTCTAATTACGTCCTTAGGTATTAAAGGGTCGTCGAAAGATTTGATACAATGATCGATGATAAATATGCCGAAGTCGGATGATAAGGTCGATGCGATGGCGGGGAAATGAAAAAAGGTGCAGAGAAGTGTGAGGGCGTGGTTCACCATGGACGAATCGATCGTCCCGCTCGAGTCCTTTGTGGTGACATCTCGTTGAATAAATTGCATAAACAGGCTCATCTTGTCGTGAAGTGCGATTCGATCGGGCAAGTTATTCGACGCTTTCAACGCTCGCGCCAACATTGTATACGCATCGATCTTGGAATCCCGATCCGCGCCGGCTAACTGTTTAATGGTGGAATCTAACATGGTGACGATGTTAATTTGCCCGATCCCCTCGTCGCCGGAAGCTAGAAGTTCTAGAGAGTTACGCAGTATGGGGCTTGAGGTTTGCTTGAGGATGGATTTGACGGGTTTAACGGAATTCACCGATGAGAGAGCGGATGCGGGTGTAGCTTGCTTTCGAACATTTTCCTTGCCAGCATAGGTTGGAGCCTCGCGATACTCGGCTTGTGACAAAAATCCGACCTTCTTCCTCGATCTTCGGGAGCTGACGTTTGAAGGATCGGCGATATCTGAAGTGTAGTTCGGGGGTGTATGAAGGTTTAGTCGAGTATCTATAGGTTGACTTGAGAGGATCTGCTTTGATGATGAAGGGACGTCTTGTTTCTTCTCTCGCGGTGGTGTTGGCGGTCTCGTGGGCAAAGATTCCAAACTTCTTGGAACCGATGCTACTTGCGATACCATAGCTGCTTCAACCCACAACACCTACCACAAGAATTATCCAGAAACCCGGATATCGTATTATACGAGAGAGCAACCATTAATTAATCTCAATTGCAAACTGTAAACTACGAAAACTGAATGAACGGATGAAAGAAAGAAGGGGAGAAAGGACGATAAATCAAAAAGATCGAATAGGTGCTCTCTGCCAGATAATCCAGATGTGACGACGTCTAACTAAGACATCGGCCCCTAATTAAGGTCAGTATTAAAAAAAGAGTAAAACGGAAAAACGCGACGCGATGAGCTTTTTCGCGTACCCACCAGATTGACGCGATAAGTTCGGACATCCACTTTAAGCTTACTTGGGTTACCCCCGCACCACCGACGCCTTCCAACCTCGTATGGCTGGCTGGTCATTGACGAAACCTTAAAAAGCATGGTCTGTGCTCCATGACATGTCATATTTTAATGAGTACGTACATGTATGTACCTTTTTACACATGTACAATGTACATTCATACCGAAGTACCTAAGTATAGGTCTATACCCGATTCAGATGACAGCTTGAACGGTAAAAAGTTTGTTGGATTTTCGGTATCCCTGCTGCGTCATATGTACTACTTGAGGTACCTACTAGATTAATTGGAGCTTAAATTCTTATATCTATTTTGTAGCAAATCGCTGAGGTCGTATATAATTCAACGTTTGGTACAATTCATTAAAGAAGCGCATCATCCGATCTTTTAACAAACTCACCTGTGTCACGCCCACTCGAGGATCATTTCTCTATCCTCCGTGATAGGGTGACACTACCTCTAGCCTCGGACCTGTCGTGTCTTTTCGTGTGTGGAGTGATTCGAGGGCACCAATATTAGAAACTGGGTTGAAAATATCCCTTAGTATGTCCGACCTCTCCATTATCAAACACCTTGTCGAAGTTACTATATGATTATCTGCTGTCTACCAAGGCAGCCCATTTCTGAAACCTGTCCAATCTGTTCAATTTACAACCACAATCATCACCAAAACCACTCTTAAGCGGTTTGCTACCTGCTTACACGATCTGTATCTGGGATGTGACCCCGCTTCGTAACTGTATCATATCCGTATGCTCTCTTTTCAACACCGTATAGGTTTTATAGCTCGTTCATGATATGTCACGAGCATTGAGCAAGTTATCCTCAGTAATCCTCCATTCTCCTTTATTGTCTCATAACAGCACCATAGCACAATAACACAATTAGATAGTTCCGTATGTCACATGTCTTAATATCTTACTCATAATGGTTCAGCAGTCTTCCAGACTCCGGACAGGAACGTTCCGGCGGATTTTCTCGATATCACGTAACCGGCTGGCTGGGTCAGAGGAATCGTTGGTTCGTCCTCAGATGGCTCAGCCAACTCAACAAACCGCAGCTACTGCGGTGCTGGCAGGGCCTGGTTAGCCGACGAGAGCTCCCTAGGAAGAAGTGTTATGCTTACTCGTTTCACAGAAAAATTAGCGAAGGTCACAAGTCTGATGGAAAAGTTAACTGAGGATCTGGCATCTATTAGTTTGCTCCCTCATCGTGAGTTAGCTGCTATTCTCAAACTGGTAAACTCGGCCTAATCCATTATACACTTAGAACGGGATTCGGCCTTAGAAGAACTTAAGGTATATAGCAGAGACCCCCAAGATGCCGGTCCGATTTTTACGAAAGAGGTGAGCAGATAGTCGACAAACTTGTGAGGCATGAATGCCCTAGAAGCTTACTCCTCTTAGGGTGTCGAGACACTCACTCGGCACGCATTCAATAGCCCATCCAGCACCACATCCAGAAACGCCATGAGAATCCTATGCAATGTCTTACTCCTGAAGCAAGAAACACGACAGGTGTTTGTTGACCTTGGTTATGAAGCCAAGGCGTGTGATAAATTGAAGAGTGATAACCGGGATGATGAATTTCTAGCTTCTAGGATAATCTTCTTATTGACGTATGGGACAAACACAAAGTTGGTAGACCTTATCGACAAGCATCGTCTAGCAGATGGAATCAATAAGAACCTGGAGCGACACGCAAAACACCGGGCGACAACGAGCTCGATAACAGATCCTATGGAAGATGCGGCTCTCTCACAGACACTCCAACTCCTTTTCAACATTACTCATTATTGTAACAGCCGGATCTCTTCTTTTACCGCTGCCATACCTCATATCGTTACCGTGTTATGCAAGGGTTCTTTCCCAACTCAGAAACCATTGGATCCGCCAGTCAACTCATTGGTCAACGCACTCCTCAACTTGGAAACCGGTTCCAAAGATATCCAAGGTTCTCTCTATCCCCCAAATGATCCTCATGCCCTAGCAAATCGCCTAGTCGACTTGCTTGCCCGCTCAACCCCGGTATATAAAGACGAGGAATTAGATGGGTCGATTACACCACTAATTGGTGTTATCTCCGCGATCCACGAACACGCACCAACTGATGTAAAGAATTCAATACAATCGCGGCTTCTACCAACGGAGGCAGATAGGTCACAGGTGCTTGGACGAAGCGACTCGTTACCATCTTGGCTCCTAAAGAACTCGACGAATCCCGTGGCACCCCAACTTCGCGAGACAATATCTAACTTATTCTTTGAAATGTCTGATAAAGACGCGTCAAAATTCGTTGAAAATGTGGGCTATGGTTTTGCATCGGGCTTCTTGTTCAACAGGAACCTTCCAATTCCCCAAAACGCCTCGGAAGCATTCAGCACTGCCCGAGGTGGCGCCAACAGACCAGTCAATCCTATTACAGGCCAATTTTTAGATGCTGAGAGACAGCCTGAAGGTCCTGAAATGACAGAAGAGGAGAGAGAAAGAGAGGCAGAGAGACTCTTCGTCCTATTTGAAAGGTAAGGGTACACCAACCAAGTGCGTGGATATCACTAAATACCTCATAGGCTAAGAGCAAACGGAATCATATCCGCCGAGAATCCAGTTCGAACAGCTGTCCAAGAGGGTCGATTTGAGGAACTACCTGATGATTATGAAGAATTAGACTAAATCACTAATCGCTGATTGTCTGGGTACCCAGAGACACTAGAATTATTCTTGTAGCTCATTTAGGTGAGATGGATTGCGATGCTATTGTTAGCGAGATACCCGGGTAAGCTGGGATGGGCATATGCGACTGGGGATGTGTATATGATACTATGGTCATGTCAAGTACGTGTGTAAACGACAATTGCATTACGATTCTAGGGATTGGTAATGGCATGGTGGCTTCGCGTAGCAGTTTGAAGCAAAAATTAGAACGATTGCTCTTCGACGATATGTATCCATTGTCGTATACATTCATGTACTAAGCATGACGAGTAGCTATCACTCACTATATTGCTTCATTTATTGACCTTGCTTGCCAAAGTCCTGAACACCAACGTACCATGATATGCTATAAATAAAGAAATAGCTACCTAGAAAAGTAGGTGTATTCAGTACAAGCCGATACTCTGAATATACTAGTTACGTATCTAGTAGGTATGCGTAGGTACATATGTATGATACCTAGAATCCATGGATACATATCAAATATCAACATCATAAAAGAAGATATGTACCATATATACTACATTTGAATAAAAAATCGGCTGTAATTATTACAGGCAACCTATTCCGAAACAAGTCGTCACCTACCATGTACCTGGCATCCTCAGACTCATGTAAGTATCTAGGTACTGAGGATACATAGCCCCCTTTTGAGGGAGACAACGAGGTTCGATATACCATCCAATCCACTAGTACCATTGTAACTTGCGATTTTTCATTAAAAACACCACGGTAGGTACGTAGACACCTACAGCTTAGCTTTGCTGTTTTTACTGATTTCGTCTGCGTCAAAAAGTGCACCCCATCATATAAATCTCGTTTACTGCTGTCGCAAAATTCCAATCCTTTTCTTTTCCACCACGCTTCACGAACCCTTTCTCCTGCTCTCCAAACTTCGTCCACCATATCACCACACAATATCACATCATCTTCACAATCATAAGCGTCCATTCTAACAATCATTTCAATACATCGCCAAACCTTCTTGAACGTGTAAGTTTCGTTTTTTTGTTCATTATTTTCTAATTTGTGTCGCTTATGCAATGAGTTTATTTTTTTTATTTTTCAAATATTCATCCATCTCGCGTACATGTTATCACCTTTCAGCGTCATAATTCACTTAACTACTTGCCGTTCATTGAGCATCCCTTAATATATTTCAATGCCCTATTGTCGTTCGATTACTACTGCTCCTATTATCAAACGCAATGGTATCACAATCCGAGATACCACATTCACCTTCCAAATTATCGTGTTCAATTGTTAGCTATACCTATTACCTTAACGCATACTGCTTACATATTTTTACACACTCATTCTTTCATCGTTTTGATCATGATAATTGACCTCAAGCAGCTATCCCGCACAACCATGTCGTTTGCCAGTGACGGGTCGCAGGCGAATCAGGCTGCAAACCAGCTCTTGAAGGAGGAGATTGCCCCAGACTCTGTTCCTGTCATAGACAAAAATAAAAACGAAGCATCGAATGGGGCCGACGACAACATGGCTTCGATGGAGTCCAAGACCGGATTGGTGCGTCAGGCAGTGAGTGGTTGCAACAAAGAGATCCTAGGTCCCCGTCGTTCTTCACGAAAACGCCGTCCCCAGATGTTGGCAGCACTCGGATCCCATGAAGAGATTCAATCACAGATTCTTGTTTCTGAGAAGGACGACGTTTACCAGGCAAAGGATGGTACTTACCGTCCGATTCGACGCTCTATCAGACGTGGATTCGCCGACACACTCAGTAACATTACGGCTGGAGCTGTGAGTAATCTATTCCGTTAGCTGATGTAAATAAATACTAATAAATATATTAGGCGAAAAGCCGCAATCCGTCTCGTCGTCGTAGGCAGCGAAAGGCTGCTGCAAGCCAGAACCAGGCAACTCAGGTCCAAGCAGCCCCGCCGCCAGCGCTCACAGGGCAACCTCAAGTCGAGGCGATCACAGGTCGCCGTGTCATGGACAATGTGATCGAGTACAAGGTCAAATGGGCTGGACTTTCTGAAGACCAAAGTACTTGGGAGCCGGTGTCAATCCTCCAGAATGACCTGGCAAAGATTGCTAAGTATCTGCAACCCTTCATTGCATCTACCTAAGTTAAGAAGCAACCGTCATTACGCAACATAATACTTCAATTATGTTATCCTTAGGAACGAATTACGGTTATGACGAACGACGGTCAATGAGGTTGGTTGGGTTTGGTCTTTGGCGTCTGAATATGTTCACAATGGGTCAACTGGTTTGCCTGCTCGACGTCGATATTTTTTTACTTGTTGTCTGGTTACACTTGTCTACTGTATGTTAAGCAGTTCTCTGGAAGATGCTTACACTATGCTGTGTATAGGATGGAGGATTCAATGTTCGTTAGGAAGCCGGTCTTCAGGAAGTAGGTCTTCAGATAGTTCATCAAAACATGCTCTCTATTAGGTATTGTGAAGTGAAGAAGTGAAGTATGGTTGTCTTGAATAAAGTTATGAGGTGATTGGCGAAAGTGGCCAAGCTTTTTTACCTTGACCTGCTGGGGGTGAGCTAGACCTATTATAGACTAGAGTCTCCACATAAAAACCGACTGACAGGGTCACAGGCTGCCAGATTAGTATTACGTACCCAGGCATTGGCGTGGTTCCAGGGGAGTGTCCGGGTTCTTTTTTCGCGTCGGTCGATTTTCTAGGGATTTCTACTTGCATAAGGTCTGAATTCTATTTTTTTTGTGTCAGCCTCGCCAACTCACCTTCTTTGCACAAGACTAAACGTGGCCTTAGTTTATCTATGTACTTATTCCTGGGTATTTGATACTCGTCTGATCCTAGGAAAGGTGATAGATAATATATCTGCATAGCTGGATAGCTGGATATCGTGGTCTAGCTAAAAGATCATCCGTCATGGAAGTCCTACGAGACGCTCTGCAGCCTTTGCGGCCTATTACGAATGCTCTACCTACCCCCATCCGCGATCTCGGAGTGTCTATCATCGGAGACACATGCTACAAGACTTTGATCCTTGAACTTGACCCCACCGATCCCGAATGCCTCAAATTTGCTATCTCCAAGGGCCTCGGTATCGGCATCATCGGCGCGTCGTCTATCGTTAAGGTCCCTCAGATCATCAAGCTCCTACAGTCGCAATCCTCATCCGGCATCAGTTTCTTGTCCTATCTTCTCGAAACCTCATCCTACCTTATCTCCCTCGCTTATAACTTCCGCAACGAATTTCCCTTCAGCACCTACGGCGAGACCGCTCTGATTCTGGGACAAAATGTGATCATCACCGTGCTGGTTCTGAACTATAGCGGCAGGGTTAGCATGGCGGCTTTGTTTGTTGCGGCTCTCGCGACGAGCGTTGTTACGCTGTTCAACGGTGGAATACTCGATATGCAGACCCTAGGCTACTTGCAGGCTGGCGCGGGCGTGTTGGGCGTCGCCAGTAAGATACCTCAAATCGCGGCCATCTATCAGCAGGGCGGAACAGGTCAGCTGAGCGCATTCACGGTAAGTGACTTATAAAGTGACTTATGTATAATAGGACCCATGGATGATACCTGGTTCCCTATCTGGAAGATGGATATCTGCAAATATCTGCAAGATTGCCGAGTTTTCGCCGCCGATCTCATATTTGACGATCCTCCACCCAGCCATCTCTTATTCTTGATTCTTCCCCCCTCCCGACACCCTATCGAGGATCAAGTTGAGCTAATGCAACATGCAGGTCTTCAACTATCTAGCCGGCTCGCTCTCTCGAATCTTCACGACGCTGCAAGAGGTGGATGATAAGCTGATCCTGTACGGTTTCGTCGCTGGCTTTGCGTTGAACTTGGTCTTGGCTGCGCAGATGGTATACTATTGGAACGCACCTTCGGCCAAGGCTAGGGGAAAGATGAAGGAGGCCGCCCCGGTTCCAGTCGCTGCCAGTCAGAGTCAGAGCTCTGCTGTGTCTTCGGCCACTCCCAAAAGTAAGGGACCCTCGACGAGGCGCAGGGGCTAAAAAATCTCCCGCCACGCCTTGAGGAAGCCTCGTGGAGCAAGATCTCATTTTATTAGACACCAACTGCTGTAATACAATTTACGTTATACCGCGGTATTTTACTCGCTCTACCATTCCCGATGATGATGTGGCTCTTATCTATCGAATATTTTGACATGTCAGGTGTTACACTTCCCCGGCTTGGCCTACCGTGATTTATCAGCTGGGACAAAAATTCAAGTAATGGCATCTGCATGCTTTAAGCGCCATGAGCAATGTGACAGGAGTATCTGTATCTTGATGTGCAAAATATGCAGGCGCGAAACCTCCCAGGTCTCCGCTCACATACTTCCGAGTTCATTTGGGTAATAGATCCGTTACGGGAAGATTGGGAGCTGACGGCGAGATGAGAAGGATTCCGCCCCGACAGCCGCTGCAGATCGAGGCTAGGAGTCACACGTTGGCGTGTTGGGCGGATGTGAGACCGGTGACCTGTCCGAGGTGGTTGACTACCCGAACTACTGCATCGCCACGTCTGCCGTTGATTCCGCGGTTTGCTTTGAGAATATGTTAAAAATCGAATCTCGATAGGTGCCCGCATTTTACCGATTGTGCTTGCTGGCTTTGTGAGGGTGTCGAGTCTAGACCAAAAGTGTAGAAATGTTGGAAATCGCATTACTCAGTCGCGATCAAAAAAAGTTGTGATGGACTTCCAGAGTCTATACTGTGCGGTGGTCTTGCGTGAGTTTAATAGAAACTGACGTGATTGATGCTGATGTAATAATTCATTATTGCTTTTTATTACGGTCGTAACGAGTTGAGAAGATCAGAATGTACTCCGATCCTAGTTTGCATACGTACGCCTAGTACGTACAAAGACTGAGATACTATCAAGTATTAATAAGTTAATAAGACCGAAACGACCTAGTGGATATCAGATTAAAAAAACTGTCAGTTTAATATTGCGGTTTATTAGTATGAAACCTCATGATAAGAAACGTAGTATCGAAGACTTCCCAAGGGCCAAGGTTGAAATCCCCAGATTTCCAGTGCCAGACTTGCCAGGTGGTTATTATTTTAGTCTGAATATCTTATCCATCATTCAGGCGTTAAGAGGGCAATAAAGTTATGGTACTACTGCAAGCTGCGGCACGAATAGCACCTAGTATATACGCATACGCCATGGTGTGATATCTCTATATGGACTTCGCTGGTTACCCCTTGCATGGTGGAGCGAATCAAGCACACGAGTGAATTCCAATTGAGGAAAAGGCCATAGTAATAGCCTTTTATGATTGGTTAGAAATTGGCAGAATATGTAGAATGCGGAACCCCCTGAGCAAACTCCGGACTAGGTATAGTCATAGGGTATTCTTATCAATAAGTCTTCAAGGTTGCTCCACGGGGTAAAAACAGCGGTGTCTTCTCTTAGCGTTTTCGCCATCGTTCGCCATTATTACGCCAGCCACTATCCGGTTTTATCTGTGCCCTAGGTAAAGCACCGTTTCAATATTCTCGACGTCCTATGTATGTACATTCAACGTCCATCGATCGTAGATACTACATACCTTCTTCATTATATAGTACATTCTACTATACTATTATGATACGTAGGCTGTAGACGTATGCCCAGCTACCCCAGTTGGTATTTGGCTCCTTGGTTCTTCGGCTCCTTTAAATCCTACTTCTCGTCCGTCTCAAAACGTCCTTGGTTGAAAATTCACCGATTCCCCTTGCAGTTATCTAGTAGCTCTGACTGACAACCTAGCAAGCGTTACGTTTTAGCCAGCTCCACGATCTTCACCTCCGATAGTGCCTGGACAAGAGATACTAGTTGTTGAACCTCTCACGCTAATCTCTTCCAATATTTTTACTTAATTGGCTTGCTTCCCGCTTTCCTACAACTTTACCTCTTCTATTATCTTCTCTCTGTATATAACTCTATCTATTATCCTTGACTCCGAACACCGGCTGTGTTGAGCTTTTTTCAAGTTGACTCTTCTTAGCTCTGTTCCAACCTCCTTCTTATCTGTCTTCCTCTCACTTTTCTTGCTCTCTCGCTCTCTCTCTCTCCTATCGTAACTTCTTCAGCCTATTCATAGTTATTCACGGTAACTACGTACAATGGCTCCTGATATCGATTCTATTCCACGTTCTGGGGTAAACCCTAACGGCCCTCGCTCGACGGTGGCGGGTGGTGTCAACGGCACCAGCAACACCAACGGCTCTCCCGGGAAGCCTCCTAACGTTCTATTTCTCATGGCAGACCAGCTAGCGGCCCCGCAACTCAAGATGTACAACCCAGAGTCACAAATAAAGACTCCAAACCTTGATGCCCTAGCTGCTAAGTCTGTTCAGTTTGACTCGGCTTATTGCCCCTCTCCTCTTTGTGCTCCTTCTCGTATGAGCTTGATCTCTGGACAGCTTCCTATGAAGATCGGAGCTTACGACAATGCCTCCCAGATCGGAAGTGATGTGCCCACCTATGCACACTATCTGCGTGCTAAGGGTTATCATACTGCCTTGGCAGGAAAAATGCATTTTGTTGGAGATCAACTTCACGGTTACGAGACCCGTCTTACTAGCGATATCTATCCTGGAGACTTTGGCTGGGCTGTGAACTGGGATGATCCGGATAGACGGCTTGAGTGGTATCACAACGCCAGCTCTATTCTCCAAGCAGGAAGTTGCGTGCGAAGCAACCAGCTGGACTATGATGAAGAGGTTATGTATAGATCTACCCAGTTTCTGTACGACCAAGTTCGCGAAGGACCAGACAAGAGGCCATTCTGCTTGACGGTACGTACTAAGGCACTCAATGATGAGGTGTTTTCATTCCGGAGTTATGGGTAATTAGGAGTAAGGCTATAGGAATTTCCTAGACAAGTTTTGCTAATATGAGTCACCGTGCTAGGTTTCTCTTACTCATCCTCACGACCCTTACACCATCGAAGAAAAGTACTGGGATCTGTACGAAGATGTGGACATTGCCTTGCCGAAGGTTAAGATCCCTAGGGAGGAACATGATGCCCACAGTAAGAGATTGCTAAAGGTGTGTGATCTCTGGGACGAGAACTTCTCCGACGAACAGATCAAGAGAGCTCGAAGAGCATACTACGGCGCTGTCAGCTACGTCGACGATTGCATTGGACGTATTCTTCATGTTCTAAAGCAGTGCCGGCTTGACGAAAATACTATTGTCGTCTTCAGCGGAGATCACGGAGACATGCTTGGAGAGCGTGGTTTGTGGTATAAGATGAGCTATTTTGAGTCATCTGTGAGAGTGCCACTCTTGATATCAGATCCCCGATTTGCCCCCCACCGTGTTACCCAAAATGTTTCTACTCTGGATATCCTCCCGACGTTGTGCGACCTTGTCGGTACCAAGCCGGTTGCCGGCTTACCTATGGATGGCCTTTCTCTTCTACCCCACCTTGAGGGTCGTGAGGGCCACGATACTGTCATCGCAGAGTACACCGGTGAAGGAACTATCAGCCCGTACATGATGATTCGTCGTGGTCCTTGGAAATATGTCACCTGCCCGACCGATCCACCTCAACTTTACAACCTCGAGCGAGATCCTCTTGAGCTTGTCAACCTGGCACAACTTGTACATAAGAAGGAGACTCTGACTATAGAGGAAGAGGAAGCGAAAGCCAAGTTTGAAAAGTTCGAGGCTGAAGCCGAGTCTCGTTGGGACTTCGACGCTATCACAAAACAGGTATTAATGTCGCAAAGGACACGAAGACTTGTTTGGAGTGCCTTGAACCAGGGCAAATTTGAGGCTTGGGATTACAACCCTAGTGACAACGGTACTAACAAGTATGTGACTTACCAGTCTTACCTGTCGATACTGTCCTACCACGAGAAGTACCAAAGCTAACATTACCCAGATACATCCGATCCTTCCTACCTCTCGACGATCTAGAGCGTCGAGCTAGATACCCTCCTGTTGACAAATACGGTCGGGAGACTGGAGATATCGTTGTCGATCAGGCCGGTTCACATAACGAGTAACCGTCCAATTTTTATGTCTCTTATCATGGTACAGGATACGGAAAAGGCGGGAGTGGAGATTGATTGGGTATTTGGGTGGTGATGCATTTGCATTCCACGGCGCCTAAACATACCTATTCCAGGATTGGATTATATTACACCCGTGGTCCTGATCCTGACAGTTCCGATTTACGGTGTAGTTTTTAACAGGGATTTAGCGACGAGTTATGGGCGAATGATTTTTTATGATATGGATGGTTAATGGATAACGGATGACGGATGACCCTTAACGGATGTAAAATGAAATGAGACGCGCGCTAGATACCTATCTGTAACTATTACCTATACTCTGCATCGATCTAGTACTATTAGCACCGTTTGGTAGCACTATTAGACAAGTAGGGTGTATACATACCTACTAGGTAGTAGTAGTTGATAGATAACCTACCTAGGTAGAATTGATATTTTCGAGATTAAGTCAAATCTACCTATCTGCTATCACATGGTGTTGAAATGGATGCGACGTCAGTGCCCCGGTGGACCCCTGAAAATCACGGATCCCTGATAAGAGCCCCTCTAGTGGAGCTACTGCACATAGGTGTACTGACATCCTGCCAACCATGCCTCCAGGGCTAACGCTAACGCTTTAGTGGTGTAGTATTCGGCTATCGGTACTCGGGGGTTACACATATAGAATGGAGGGTGTAAACTTAATAAAAAGCGGGAGGAAATTGTCCGTGCTCAAATGTCTAACCCAACAAACCCTTGTAGATTTTACGTAAGCTGGAGGAAGCTACAGTTCGCCTTCCTAAATGTTGTTAGTGCAACAGGCGATAGGTGCGACTGGACACTGGACAAATGTTATTGAAGAATTCCAGAACTCTAACTTGTCACTTTAATGTTCCCTACCTTTCAACAACTGAACACCGCATTTAGAAATCCCATCCCATCCTAATCCATTCACCCATCCACCCATCCAACTTTAGTTGCCGGCCTACATACATATGTAGCCAATCCATGCAGATCCTCAAGTACTCTAATCTTCGCATCGGTACCTCCCTAACGATTTCGAACTATCCCTGACCTATCATGGAGTCTTCCGCCCTCACCCCAGAAGACTACAAGGCCCTCGAGGCGACGAGGCTGCGGCTCATGCAGATCTCTAGTGCTATTGGCACCCTCAAGGCGAACGTTTTATCTAGCAATCCGCTTCCAAACCTGTGCGTACCTCGTATATGTTTAGTGCGGTATTCTGTTCATTCTTACCTACTGATTATCTTACTTTGCTTGCCTGTGTTCTGTGCTCCTATATACTGATCATATCGCGTTTCAGGGAATCGCTTCAGAACCATGCAGATATTCTACAAGGCAAGATTCAGAGCGTCCTCAGCGTCATGATGCCTATGGCAGACACCTTCAACCGTATCGTGGTCCACCCTTCTACGAATTTCCCTGGTCGCACCCAGGAGCAGATACTCCTACAGCTGTTACGAAAGAAGCCAGAACCAGACGTCGCGACGGCGATGGGAGAGGGAAGAAAGATTTTCGCAGGATTGACTCAAGCATCAGATCCCTCCGATGCACACGCCAATGCCGAGACGGGTAGCGGGAAGGGGGTCGAGGAATTAGAAGCTGTATGGGCATCGACACGAGAGTTCTTCCAAAACCGCCTCGCGGAATATGTACAGGGCGAGGGAGATGATATGTTCACGGAGGAAGAGCGCGCGCGGGGGGTCGAGAACGTGCGGACGGGGCTTAAGAGATCGCTGCTGGAGGACGAGGATGAGGAAGAAGACGATAGTGACGACGACGTAATGGAGATTGATCGACCGCCGCCCCCGCCGGCACCTGGCGTCGCGACTCAAGAGGTCGATGGCGCAGCGCTGGAAAGTGTCATGCGATTCGCGGCGAGGGGCGAGTTTGTTTCTCGGTGAGAATCCTGTGCGCTTATTGGTGGCATAGCGATATTTCTCCGAGTCCCAAGGGTTTGATGTGATGAGTTCCTATGGGTACCACTTTTAAGACGGCTTTCGAGCGGGCGCTTATAATTATATGGGCGGCTTTACATACGAGTCTCCACGTCTACTCCAACGATGAGGTCACGAGGAATGAGCTGAAGCAATTGTCACAGAGTGGGGTAACGGAATCTGACTGTCCTGATCCTATAGACTTCTATAGTGATTTTCGGGGTTCTATACTACCTCACTGATCGGCGTTAAGAGCGTAACTTTGGAAGAGAGGGGATCTCTTTTATGACAAAGGTATCCGACAGTTCCCGGTCAGCCTGGAGGCCTGCGGTCTCGGACTCGATGACGGAATGAGGAATAAGCAAATTGAAAAAAGCAATTCTCAGGTATTAAGCCAGCCACCCAGCCTACTGATAACAAAAATTTTCTCGTGAAACTAATTGCGCGAATAAGCAAAGGAGGAAACAAATATTCGATTCTCGTTTTCTCAGCCTCACCACCACGCACAGCGCAGACAACGCACATAAGCCGCAAGATATAATCTAGATTATAATCCAGTAAGCCCTTCGCAGACCTTCGCAGACACGATTAGTCACCGCGTCCCCATCTCCTCCCGTTGACCGGTCACGAATGCATCCCTGTGTGACCCATTCAGCCCTATGAGAGGCCAGTGCCGGCCGTACGTAAGCGCGAACGGGATCTGACTACCTACGTAGGTACGCAATATGTTTCGTTGAGTGGTTGAGCTTGCATTTATCCTCCTGCAATGCCGACGCGGCCCGATATATGACAATGGCCTAGTCTCTAAAACGAATGGCGCCTGTTCATGCGGAGTTAAAAAACAAAAAAAGGAGTTTTGTCGGTTTTTGCTTTCTTGATTTCTTTCTTAGAACCCGGCGACTGCGAATCCTCTATATGCAGCAATACCCGAAACAACGCAAGCTAATACGTGTTGATATTTGAACAGGGAAATAGATACTTCAGAAATCCAATCGGAATACAATTTCAGGGATGTCCAAGCATAGTTAAGAATTGTGCTATTCGACGAGCCGATCAGAATCAATCAGATCGATGCTGACTCGCAGGTTTGCACCTTACAAGCGGGCCGCCGTCGTATTGCCGTTACAGAGGTGATGACTTTTGCTTACGGCACAGGCGGCTCTCCAGCGACGTGACCAAGGAACCACCCCCCGTCGTAAGCTGATGTTATATCCAGCGGGTTTTCCCACCCATTCACCTGATAATTCTTATAACCGTCCCAACTTCGTTGCTGACGGACCTAAGTATTTGATTGGTTCATTGTTCCGTCTCATCTTTGGCGGTCAACGGTTAGATACGAAACAACAACAGCGTATAACCCCGTCGATATCGTGTGTTGTCTCATATATCAAGTGCATAACTGCGATCCTGGAAGAAATTACGCGGGTGTTTCTACTGTGCCTCTCACTATTCATTGGGGCCCTTGTTCCCGACTTTTCTGGGCACGTGGTGATCATTTCATTCTACTTTTACGCCCGTTGAATATATTGTGGACGATTCTCCTTTTCTCCTTTTTTTTCTTTGTTAGATTTCACTCTGAATTTCTGGACGGTCTCAATTCTAAATAGGACAACATGATTCGAGAGGAATTCAATGACGACTGTGATTGGGAGGGCGGAAACGTCATCTCATGGAGATCAACTCAATGCAAGCAGTATGGGGAAGAGCAAACCCTTCCTGATCCTGTCGACATCATGGATCTCAAATGTCCCGAAATAAAATCCTTAAATAAGGAAAACCTATCCGAATTTGAGGCTCTCATGCTAGGCGAAATATCGAATGACGGCAGTTCGGAAGATGAGCTGGACATAGATACTACTACCTGCAGTTCCGAGGACGATGGATTCTTCCCTTTCATGGACCTACCGCTTGAGATCAGACAGCAGATCTACCACTGGATTCATCTCATGAACCCCGTCAGGTTGACCCAGTTTGCACCATGGTACCCGATCCCGGTTAATCGTGGCTACTTCGTCCAAGCCATCACGGCACCACCTTCCAATGCCGATACGACAAAGACCCCTGAAGAAGACCCAGGGCCGGTAGCGACGGGAACGGCGCCACTCCTTTCACCCTGGCGTCCGTACTCCTGCATGCCATCCTCGATGCTCAGAGTGAGCAAGCAGATCTACTACGAGAGTAGAGAACTGCCGTTCCGGAACAACGAGTTCGTCTTTGTGAACTGGTTCGCCTCGGGCCTGTGGGCGGCGCGCTCATTCGTTAAGGGCTTACAGTCTTGGCAGATGCAAACGATGCACTACGCCCGACTCGAGCTCTTGTCTCGAGATCTTGCGGGCCGGCACGTGGATGAGTGGAAAGAGTTGTGCGGAGCATGGTCGAAAGGACTAAGAGGGTTGAGGCTGAAGATTCTGAGTAGTGGGGGAGGAGGAGTGGCGGGTGGGGGAGTCTCGTGGGTTGTTGCCGGCTCGCCTCAAAGGGGCGCCCCAACGGCTGGAGTAAGAGACGAAGAGGGCAAAATAGAAGAATGGGTCGAAAATGGACTTAAGCAACTCAAAAAGCTCCGGTGTTTGGAGGTCGAGCTGTCCGCTGCCGACTGGGATGAGAATATTAAACTAGAGTGGTGTCGAAGCTTAGAGGAGGCGTTGAACGAGTCGAAGACTGAGACGGAACAATACGTCCGAGTTTGCAGTGTTGAAAGAGCTAGGGATCTATAAGGAGGCACGGAAACGATCGTTACTGCCGTTATTGCAATCGCTACCTAGAAGAGATGGATCATACAAAAGGTTGCTTATGCCCACGTGGCCGTGTCTTAGGGCAGTCCCTACCGACGGGTCCGGGATGCAGCTGCTCTAGAACGGAAAGGTTCGGGGGCGAAACGTCCAAAGTGGGTCTAAAGCTCTCGGAGCTGTCAGGGGACCGTATATGTTCAGTCCAATACAACCTTATTATCGAAAACAACACGGATAGGGAAGCTGAGGCTATCCACGGTCGTTTCTTGGGTATGGTTATTTCTCATAGCGAAACGTCGACCACTGCAGCATGGTTTCTTTGTGGTACTCTATTGGTTTTGGTTCTGATTCATCTTAAACTTTAGACTCATATAGATGGGATGTTCGGACAGGGTTGGGCTGGGTTTGGTTGATTGGGTTGAACAAAGGGGATGGGATGGTACACCGGAGCATGTTCTAGATGTAATGCTAATAATGCTAGGCTTGAGCCGACTCCTTTCTCCTTCCGGTTTGGTATACACATAATATACATAAGACGTCTATACGAAACTACGATCGCTCCTCGTGAATACCGCGAAATACCGTGATAACTAATAAATCGTCTGATCTTTATTTGATTGAGGTCACCAGCATATCTAACGCGCGAGACCTATCACTCAGTTTCGTTGAGTCTCGGTATCGAGTTCCGATTCCTCTATCACCTGATTTCATTTCAGGGAATCTAATTGTGAGTTATCTATATTTAACTCTACATTCAGTTCACCTCAAAACTTCATTCATCTTCAGCCAGCCTGACTGATTTTTTCAATTTCAAAGGCAACACATCCCACTCTCTAGATATCACATCAGATCATACCACGTCCTTATTGGAAAGCATTAAACCCGAAGATCTTCGCAATTACAACCAAATAAACCTACCTATCCGTTATCCATATACCTGATTACTAGGTACCTACAACATCAACGATCTTCCTCCTTTCGCGAAGATGACCTATCAATTCCTCCCCGAAACAACCTCCCTTCTGACGCCCGACACGGTGCCTATCTTCCCTCTCGTATTCACAGCCGTCTGCGTGATCCCCGCCCTCGTCATAGGTGTATCCACTTTATGGTACGGCACCGAGACCTCGGCGCACTCGTGCTTCATGACGGGACTCCGGTTCTTCGCCATCGGCTTCGCGTACATGATCATCGGCGTCTTCTCCGTCCCGATCTTGGGCCTGCACTATGTCGACAAGTACTAGGGATGCTGGTCGAATGTGAATAGCTCTATGACTCGCGAGAGAGAATTGGTGGAGGAGGAGGACGAGACTGAGGTTCAGGGATTGGGTTTGGAGATCGAGAGTGTGGTTGAGATGGATGGCGGAAATGTTACGGCGGGCATGTGGGAGCGACGAACTTCCGTGGCGCTGAGCGATGCGAGTCAGCCGGATCTGGACGATATTCAACCCGATGTCTTCGATACGGGCGAGGTCAAGAAGAACGAGGAAACGGGCTGGAACGAGGTGTGGTAGATGGCGTGGGATGGAAGTGGGAGGACATGGAGAGTGTCAACTATTCCATGTAACCGCTGAAACGACACAGAACGTCGGGGATCCCATCGCTCAGCATCTAAAAAGCACAAGACGACTCTTCCACGTCTGGCTATTAGCAACACAGCAAGTAACATTGAACCACACGGGTACGAACGAAACACGACGTTATGACATCGGGGTACTCTTCGACATCGCACATTGAGGATATTCAGCATTAGTTCTCGAAAGTATGGTTACAATTCGTCTTTCGTTTATCGATATCTTCTTATGGGGGAGGAACTCGCATATGGGTGTTTTATTCCGAGTTTCACGAAACTACTTGCATCAGTACAATGAAGATACCTAGGTAGTTGCTACCAATATACGACTGCTTTCTTTGAGTTCATGACTATGCGTAGAAAATAAAATAGGCAACTATGTCGAGAATCGATAGGTAACGCCACAACGCGTGCTTTCTCAACTGCCCAGTGAGCGAATCCCGGTTACATAACCCAGTTACATAATAAGTCTATAGTCAGCATTCAATCTTCCAATTATTGAATCGTAAGCCATAATTGGTCAGATTATCGAGCATGGAATATTGAATTAAGTGCTTTTAGTTTATGCGAGATTCTGCTAATTTCGCGTTGGTAGATGAAAGAATGACTCAGAGCAAGCAGCAAGGAATATTGTGATATCGTGATGTCATTTGTAATTTACCCCAACGAGGTCCGCGGAGCTGAGTCTAACTGACCTGTTCGTTTTAGCTACTGCGCAACGATATTATTGTGATGTTTGTTACACTCGAATATTAGGTACCTATTTGGTGTGATTGAGCAGAATATTCATAAATCCTTAAAAACACTTGAATTGAAGTATCAGGTGTGTCCTATACCTAGTACTAGGTGATATAGGGCTGATGACTAATTCGATCGAGATTACATATGCGGGGATCGTGAGACCCTGACCAGACAGTCAGGCACGACGGCTTCGGCCCGCTGACTCAACTAAACATTGTCATCCTACTCCATTAACGGACATCGATCCCCGACCCCTGAAATAGTTGTTTACGTCTATGTTGTTGACTGGAGGAGTTTACGAGCATCTCTTGTAAACATATCGAATATAAATACCTGCAGGCTGCTGTACTAACCTTCATCTCATCTGTTTCTTTACTCCGACCATCATCTTCCGTCCGGAGAAAGAAAGAAAAAGAAGAAATGCACCATGGAAGCCCGTTGTCAATGTGGCGCCGTCTCGTTTAAGACACCCCTGGACAAGCCTCTCGCGCTGTATATTTGCCACTGTGCCGAATGTCGTCGCCAAACAAGCTCCGCCTTTGGCACATCAGCTATCTTCCCCCGGTTTCCGTTGCCACAGGCTGAGCTGCTGGCTTGCTATACGTGAGTCTTCGGAAGATTCGTACACACCTGTCCAATTAAGGGGTTGGTTAAGTGTATATGAATAGTTCTTTGGCTAATTGATATTGTGATAGTCGACCAACACACACAGGACATTCGTTGTATTGGTAAGTTTCACATGCAGCCCTTCTGTCTCATTAGGTGGCGTTCTCGAGTTAATTAATACGATTTCCATTAGTTATTTCTGTCGCAACTGTGGTACAAGGCTCATCCACACTACGCCGGTGAGCATTTTGCATGACCTATATGATACAATTGCTAACAGCGATCAAGGGCAAGAATGTCGTCTCTGTTAAAGGAGGGGTATGTACACTCTAGATTCGTCACACCCTATTCGCCCCTATTTTAAGCTTGAATCGTTTGAAGCCCGAAGTCATAAGAGAATCCTTATAACCCCAAACCGCCGTCATTGCCATCCTTGAACCTTGAATACTAATCACAGACACGACTGAAGTGCCTAGAGGGACTCGATTGGTCCCGCGCCATCCATATTTGGACTAAATCTGCCATGGTCCCTATCCCCGAGGGCTCGGAGGCTTTCTCAGAAGAGCCTTCAGAATCCGAGTATTGCACTTCGCAGGAATCTCTCGACCAACCTCCCGATGCCCCCGGGATGCTCGTGGGAACTGGCGGCTGGCCCACCCGAGAAAACATTATGGAGAAAGCTCCGAGTTCGAGTTCTGTAAAGGGCGCTTGCGAGTTGAGCGGTAAATTGGATATAGTAGGAGCTCCTATCTAATATCTTTCTACACCGGTTGTGGTGCCGATACCAAGGGTCTGGAGTTACCGACGCGGCGATTGATGGTAATTTGTACATATCTCCGGGATATACGGGCCGTAGATTAGTGAGTCATGATTATGAATATTTAATGATTTTGTTCCCAAAATGGCTTCCCTCGCCATTAAATTTACAAAGCTGCTTTTGAACGACTCAAAATCTTCCGATCGTCTGTACCGATAATAGTCTCATCTCGTCGCAGGTTGTTGTTTTGCGATATCCGAATGCTTGGCAGGGTCAAACACGTATATGGGAAACTCGAGGAATACAGTCCTCTTGGCGAAAGTAGGAAGCTTCTCATAGATCTGAGGAGGAAATGGAATAAGAATGCTAGTGCGATTCAGATACCGCTGGTAAGCATCCCAACTCAGACCATTCTCATAACGCTTCTTGGCTCCAGGGCGCTCGGAAAGCGGAAGGCCTGATACAAACATAAGAAGGATGGTGAGGAAGAACGGCCCCAAAATCGTGGCGTAGAGGGCTTTAAAGGCTTGTCCGCCGACCGAGCCGTCTGCCGCGGCAGAAACTGCTATCATGTAAATAGCTATCGTTGTCAGCACACATTACCGGTACCACAAGCCAGAAAACTCACAGAACTGCATAATAATCTCGCCAAAATAATTCGGATGCCGACACCAGCCAAAGAACCCCGTATCGCAAAACGCGCTCTTATCATTCTTCGCCCTAAACACCATCCTCTGCACATCGCTCACACTCTCCATAACAAATCCAATCGCAAACAAAACCACGCCCGCGATATCCCGACCTGTCCCAAAAGACGCTTGGGGAGAGTACTCCCGGACAGCGGGCGAATTCAACACCGTGACGGGCAACGACACAATCCACACCCACAGCATCTGGAACACCCAGAAGCCGAGGAAAGGGAAGAATTTATCGCGCTTGTCGTCGAAGCGATCGTCCTTGCCCGTCTTGAGCACGCGATATAGCAGGAAGAGCGAGAGACGCAGGCCCCAGGCCATGATGAACACCGATGCGACTATCTGCCGTGCATCGGGGTTGCGGCTGAATGCTAAGGTGATGATGGCTAGGACTACGAAGTTGGTGCCTCCGGCGAAGTCTACGGTTGGGTTAGTGGTGGCAAGAGGTATGTATATTGGGAAGTTGGGAGGTGAACCTGTTAATTTGTCGAATTTGAGGCTGAATGCGATTGAGAAGAAGAATAGCTGGTATGCGATTGTAATAAGTAGTGTGATGGCGAGGTAGTACCTGTCGAGGACGTGGATGCCGTCTACCATGATTTCGGATTCGACGTATATGAGAAACTGTCTTATTATTTCGAATTATGTAAATTATTTTATTTTAAGTGGAAAAAGCTTCAATTTCTATGATTTAGACGTGTCTAGGAAATAAGGATAACGAGAATGAGGATCAAACGCAATAGAGAATTATGAAACAGTTGAGCCCTGTAGTTGGGAATGAAACGGTGGGGTGATATATCTATTCCAAGTTCCCCTTTCCTTTTTACGATAATCATTATCGATTCCAATTTATGTAGTTTTAAATCAATAAGGGATACATGGCTATGATATGATGAATCATGAAGATTCTCAATGAGACAGATCACGAGATTCGATGGCGGTGATAACAGAACACCCCGACAATCGCTAAAGTTCAGCACTAAATCCCTAGCGCCTGCTAGAGTTTAGTCTCCGTACCACTGTAATCCAGCCCCGCGACGTCATCATTTGGCGCTCTCTGTTCGCATCTAATCAAGGCCTCATCCAGCAAAGACTCATTCTACTCAACTCAACCAAATTTAACACCAAAAAGTCAATTCTCAAGCCCATTAGCAGAACGATAAACGTACAATCATGCACCACACTCTCGCCAAATCACCATATCACCAATCATCCCGCCCATCGCCCATGAAGAATGAACATAAGAATCGCATTTACCAGAGCAGCCAAAGCGCAGCCTGGTAGCAATGCGACCGGACCCTAGTTAATACAGAAAATTACTTGATACAGAACCCCCCCAACTCCTATACGTGTCTGTCTGCCGACCGATCGTGATGTAGCGAGAATGGGACAGTAATAAAAAAAAAGAACCACCCAGAACTCCTGTCTCGACTGGAGACTTCCAACGGGAACAAAGATGCGCGCAATCTGCAAAAACAAGCTCATTCCACAACCCGACTCCTCATTCGTGCATGTCTTAAATCCACCGCATTTATACAGTCATCATGGAGAATTCATCGCCAACTGCTTCCTCTGTCCCTCCTCATGCTACCACCAGCCATCGCCGAACTACCAATAGTAATTCGACGGCCACGGCTGCTAGTAGCTTCCATTCTCTCCCTTCTCTCGCTCGGGCTTGCGAGTCCGCTCATGCCGCGCACGCTACTGCTAAGGTTCATGCGTCTAGCCTGGCCGGGCGTAAAAGCCTTGGACTGACCTACGCCCATATCTTGCGGCGAGCAGCTGATGGGAGGGCTCCTACGACGCTCCGCACTACCACGTCGTAATCGCGAGATGCCGTTTGTGCTTGATGCGAGGGGACCCGAGTAACTAACGCTGGTCTTGTGTGCGCCGGTAAGGGATCCGATTGACGACACTCTTCTAGAGGCCGAAGCGGCGCCCGTTACGCTTCCCGCTAACGAGGATAGACGCTTTGGTCTCTTGCTCGCGTGGATCGCCGAACGTAGCTTAGACGTGTCGATGATCGCGGAATTTTCTGAATCGGATGAAGGGGGGTGGTTCTCGTCGTAAGACGAAAATGATGATACACGAGGTGCGGGTATTTGTGAGGGGCTTAGAGAAAGGCGTGTCTTCGGAGAGTAGATATTAGCTGCTCTCGAGACATCGAGATTTCGCAAAGGGCTAGGCTTATCCTCGCCCTCAGAAGAAGATGATGTGGGGTTTATGGAGATGGTAGGTGGTGTGGGTGAGCCTCCAGCATCCGATGGTCGAGCTTTTGACAAGAATCCTGCCTGAAACCTGTTAGGCTTCGAGACGGGGATGCTTGATATCTCTGGAATAGTAAGAGAAGGACTTGATTCCTCATTAGCACTATCTGTGTTATCCTTGTGAAGGATGAGCGGGATAGCAGAAACTTGCGGTATCGCCTTCTGTGGTGAGCTGCGTTCCGGCGAATACCCGAACTTTTGAGGAGTCTTTTCGAAGTCTGCTAAAGTGCCAGATTCGCCATCGTCGTCGCGCCATCGCACTCCACGTTTGGAAGGCGACTTCTTCTTGGAAGGGGTAAACGAGACGCCTTTTCGTGCGTTGAGTGCCTTACGGCGTCGAGGTGACCCCTTAAATGGCGACCCAGGCATCGGCTGTGGCTGAGATGCTACAACAGCCGCCAAGGCCGGGTTTGGTATCGGTTTAACTGCCTCTTTGCTGAGGTTTGCCGTCTTCTTACGTTTCGGGGTCCCGCGTTTTGTAGGAGGGAATGCTTCTACTGGCATTTTACCTCCGTCAGGTTTGACTACTTGAGCAGTAGCCGTAAACCCGGTGTCGAGCAAACGGTGGATAATATTCTTGGCGTGGGCAACCGCCTCTTCTTCGCTCATATTTATGGTATCCGCGAGGGATGAGAGGATTTCGAATTGCGCCGTCAAGAGGACTTGCATAATGCCCGCATCACCTGCGCGATCTTGCTCGAGAACTTCGCGATCAGCTTCTCGAGCAAAATTGGCTTTCCATAATTCTGCCTCTCTTGTTAGACTTTCGACCTCGCCGTTGTCCACTGCATGTCCATCACCCGAAGGTAGTTGGCTGATACTATGTTGGAGAGCTCCGTCAATAGCGCGCTCCCAATTCATCTTGTTCAGCTTTTGGTGGATATGCTGTCGGCTGTCCTCGAGTTCTAGTTGAATGCCTACTGCTGTTTTGCGCATGGTTGTAAGGTTGGATGGCATGTCATCCTCGTCTTCTTTCATATCACAAACCGTATCAAACGCCGCAATCCATGATGATAATAGTCCAATACGGCGCTCGATACCGCGTTGCTTCTTCATAAGGTTAACCTTTTCTTGTCGCTCGGCCTGTGAATTCTCATATGCTGTTTGGATCCTCTGAACACCTTCTTTTACAGACCAACTCTTCTTCTCCAATTGCTTCTGAAACTTGGCGAAAAATATTCTCTCGGCGTCCTTCTGCTGTGCCTTGAGTTCGTTAATCAAGGCCATCTGTTCGTCGATCTTGACCAAGAAGTCCTTGACGTGTCGATTGACATTGAAAACGTTCCGCGTCACCTTGGTCTGGATGTTCTTTGCTCGGTTGGCATATCGTAGAGTGTTTTGCGTCTCGTCAAAGTGGGCGCTAGACGGGCTAACACAAACTATCATGACCGTCTTGCAGTTACCTCCCAATGAGAACTTCAATAGGCGTGTCAGCTTGCTGTTTCGGTAAGGTACGTGGTTTTTCTTTCGAGGATCGCAGAGCGCATTAATACAGCTGCCTAACGCGAGCAAGGACTTGTTGATATTTGCACCCTCCATGAGCCTCTCTCCTCGATTCTTGGTGGCGCTGGCTCGCTCGCTACCTGCAAGATCAATGATGCTCAGGGTTGCCATAGTGTGGGGTTCATTGACGGCTGCGTTGCGATCTTTCTGGGCGATGTTAATCTGAAGGACGGCGTGAGATCGAGATGAAGTTGCATTCGCCTCCGTAGGCGATACCGTCCGGTACTCGTTTCCCTGGACGATCATGTCCATAACTTCTTGTACGTCTTTTGGATGATGACTTGTGAGTCCGGACACGGTGACGCCTGCGTTGGAATCCTCGCGGAGCATCAATCCTTGCTTGCTGCCGCCGGGGACTAGCAGATCTCGAATAGTTTCGTTGTAGATCTCTAAATATGATAAGGATATCTCAGTATGTTTCTCGTCGCTACGGTCGGAAATCTTCTCGAAGAGCTCTTGCATCGTCAAGAATATGATTCCAGGCATCTGAGAAGTTCCGGTGATTGTATGCGTCTTGCCGCATCCTGTGGCTCCGTACGCAAATACAGTCGCATTGTAGCCGTCGAGGACGCTATCTAATAAGGTCTTTGTCGTAGCCTCGTATACTTCTGTCTGGGAGGTGTTCTCGTCGAATATTCGGTCGAAGGCGAAGACTTGGTCTTTGACTTTCTTGCCATTCGGCACTACCGATCTGGAAAACTTCTGCACGGGGTTATCTTCCGGTGGATCGAATACTCTGTGATAAAGATGTCAGTTGTCAGCTATTAACCGTATGAATTTTAATGATCAAAGATGTATATATGTACATGTGTATTTATAGGGGCGTGTAAACATACAGGCATCGGTCATCGACTACTTTAATAACGGAGCGTATGCCACTTTGCTTAAGCTTCGGTTGAGGAGCTGCTGCTAAGGAACCATCTCCTAGGAATAGAGTGCCGTCATCGTTGCGTTGCCTGTGGTTATCATGTTAGAACCGTGGTCATTCATATCAATTCGTATATTGGGCCAGGCTGACGTACAATTGTGCTGCTTCTCTGATTGTGAATGGCCGCACTCGCACTTTTAACATCTATATTAGTACCGTCTCCCCTATCTGATGTAGTTCGGCTATCTTACCTGCGACGGTGATGGACGAAGCACCCGGATCCTTGAATGAAGCCATGCTGGGCGCCTATGTAATGGTTGCTGCTGTTGTTGTTATATCCCCTTAATTGAGCTCCCCCTACAAAATCGTCATGAAGTTAAAGTAAAGCTGTCGTCATAAGCAAGAGCGAGAAATAGTGAGTGCTCGTGTAGGTAAGTAAAGGAATCAACAATCGCCGTGTTTTCTAACGCCAAATTATAAATTAGACCAACTGTTTTTGTTAGTATTAGGGTAAGGCGTCGTCAAGACCCGTATGATTCGTGATTCATGTGGAAGATGTAGGAGGTACGGTGTAGTCATCAAAAATTTCAATGTTGTCAATGGGACAATTGCTGCTAAGTATTATTGTATTAAAACATTAAAACCCGCTAAAAAACAGTGTTGATTGTACCCTACTAAAAGTCACCACAGCAACCGGCAGCTGCCTTGTTTTTAGCCTTCAGCCCCGATGTAAAAGTAGTGGAGAACCAAAACACACCCCCTAGCTGAGAAGCTTTGGATTGGCTGTTAGCAGCTTCGCTAAATTAGTGCACCCCAGAACATTTGTTTCAATTAGTTTTTACCCAATCAGAGACGATTTCTTCATAGGGGAGGTACCTTAGTATATCAACACCAAATAATTGTTGTTCATATGATGCTGTATTATAATAGTATTCCTCAATACAATCTTGACAATAATAATCGAATACTCAACACATTGTAATCCAGTGCAGAAAGACCAGAATTAAACCATTGTATAATAGTTAGGTAGTTGATTTGTATTATATGATGCTATCATGATTAAAATAGCAATAGGGCTTTTACCCTACATATCTATATGCGTCCGCGAAACTAGTCTGGTTATACACACCAATCTCGTCCCTCCCCAGAAAGAAGTTCTCCGGCGGACCCAAATAACTTGGTCTAACACCACCTAAATCCACAATGACCTTCTGCACGATGACGCTCGGTGCTAGCCCCCAGATCCTAAGCGTATAGGCTCCTTCCTGAGCAATATTCCACGTCGTCGTCGTGTTGTGGATCGGTGCAAGCCCCCAAATAACATCGGCTACTGCACGACCCCAGCCAGGTGGCATGTCCACCCCGACGCTGTCACCGACGAATTGGACAACCTGCGGTTCGGCCTGCTCCGCACCTGCAGGAAACAGAGACACAGCAAATTCGAGAGGCGTTTCGTCTGATAGATAATTCTGTGTCGGCGAAAGATGCAGCGTTACGTTAGCCTTCGATATATTGGTAAACAGGTACAAATCGTATTCAAGAGCTGGAGCGGTCTCGGGCGTCTGAGGCGACGTGCTTTGCGGCCATAGAGTTACTCCACCAAGCGTGCGCCCGTAGTTTTTCAGAGTCTTGTAAGTGATACCCGAGTCTGCAGGTACGTTTGACGGTGTATGAATACGTTGGTAGTGTGGTCCTTCGATTGCAACGTGCTTGTCGGACTCGACAAAGCCCAATGAAAAGTTGGATGGAACTGTCCGCAAGTTGATAGGAAGTTGTACGATCGGTCGACCGTACCAATTCGAAAACCCTTGACGACCGCAACCAGTCGAGAAATTAATATTGGCTACTGTGTTGTTGACGATCTGTGGTGCATTTGCCCAGTCTACTGAGACGAAGACTCGGCTGTCTGTACCATTATCGGGTCCTACAGTTCCGTTGTATTGTGACAGTTTTACCCAAGGCAAGTCAGTTTCTGCTTTCCAATCACAGTTAACTTTACCCCTGGAAAATACGTCAAACCAGCGTATTACGGGGCCATAAGGATCCAACGACGGGAGCACGAGGGTATTCCCGGAATTCGCATGGTATTTGTCGTCTCCCGGAATACTGGCATTCGATCCTTCGACGGCGATTCCTACGCTGCCTGCTATTGAAGATATCGCAGTCTGGACGTAAGCCATAGCTGGAAGAACATTTCGCATTGGCTGCTGCCAGTAACCATCGTAGCCAAAGTGGGTTTCTATAAAATTAGCAACCTTCAAAGACATGTTTAAAGAATCAAGAAAGTACTAGGGAGTTTGACATACGGTCTAGCATGTGCTTCCATTTCCCATCTAGCAAACTATCCCACCTAATTGTGAGCTCAGCATCGGCGTCGAAACTAGCTAATACTGAAGAGATCATCTCATTTGCTGCGTTTCGGTGTTGATTTGCGTAAACCATATTCCTTGCGGCGCCAATATGAACTTGGTGAATGATCTGGCCACCAAGGATTGGGTGAAGAATCATCTCAAAAAATGCTGGTTGGTGAGCCTCGTCTAGTTGATCATAGATTGCTTGCGCGTCTTGAGCCAGACCCTGCCATTGACCTAATACCGCATCTCCTTCGTTGTAGTTGATAGTCGAATAAACATAAGGTTCAACTAATTCGAATTTCCTTCTTGCGGCAAACATGCCAAAACGCGTCATGATTTCCGTAATTGACGAGGCGTATTCTGGGCCAAATTCGCGGGTTGCCCAGGCAAGAGTCCAGTTACTAACGTCGTCTACTCCCCATTTATTAATGTCGTACGCCATGTCGAGGAAGTGAGTGAGCGGAATCTCTAAAGGTTTCAGATCTCCGACGTTGACAATCCATATACGGTCAGCACCGTGAGCGTATGCAAGTTGCATCTGTTCTGCCGTCTTCTCTAATTGTACCGTATTGATCCACTTGTAATTTCTGGTGTCACCAACATAATCGAAGTGGTAATAGACACCGGCACCTCCAGATCGCGTCGTTTCATTCCCGATGGGTACTCTCCGAACATTCCCCCAGTTGTCATCCGCCCATAAAAGGGTGATATCTTCAGGGATTGTCAAGCCTTGTTGTATATATGACATAACCTCCTTGTAAAGGCACCATAGCTGAGGGGCCTCTTCAATTTTGACATCCAGCACATCTTCGATGATGGCTCGTTGGTTATGAACGAGAGCTTCCAGCATGCTGACAATAAACTCCACACCTAAACCCTCAATAGCAGTATCTCCAGTCCCCCGCATACCCATAGTCCATAAACTATTCCGAGCATAGGGCTTGGCCCGTTGAGCACCGTAGACAAAGTACTCGTCGATCGTCTTGTTATTCAGATTGTACGCCCAAGGTCCAAGACCTTCATCAATATAAAATGTCCCAAACTCGTTCTGGGCACGCATCATTGGTTCCGTGTGCGAACTTCCTAGGACAATCTCCCATGCGTCAGCAAGTGGTTGGCTTGTCGGATCATCAACTTCAAACATGGTTGCCCAAAGAGCCGGCCATAGGTAATTCGCCCGCAATCGAAGTAAAAGTTCGAACACGTTCGAGTAAAAGTCGGCGTTATATCCAACTCCGTAAGGAGTGTCGGGGTAGTTCCATCCAACCCATCCTGATAACCCAGGTTGCTCGTCATTTATGAAAAAGCCACGATATTTGACCGAAGGGGGGCCTTGGACTTTACCATCAGGCAAGACGTAGATATCCTTAGATTGCTTAATCGGAACATCCGCCCACCAATACCACGGACTAACGCCAATCTGTTCGCTGATGTCGTATATTCCGAAGATTGTGCCGCGAGGATCACTACCTACTATGATCACTGCTTTGGAACAGCCGGCTATCGGGTCCTGGACAATGCTAGTTGTGAATGATTCCCATTTCCCCTCAATATCCGAGGTATTTAACTTCCCGGCGGCGACAAGGTCATCAATAACTTTAGAATGACCTAATGTGCCAACAATTATGACAGTATTCTCAGCTGATGGGTTAGTATACGCGGGGCCGTGAAACACCTGCGTATTATTGACCTCATACTATGTTTGATATACTAGTTAGCAAATGATAGTTCTAAGGCATTTTTACCTTATCAATGGTCCAATTTATGTTTGTATTGTATCCCGGTGGGTTTGATGCTGTATAAAAAATTGGATGGTTCAACTCACATGAGTATAATTCCTTGTGATCGGTTTATATTCGTATACTGCTGGTTCAGCTCCAGCTTCCCCGTTGCTCAGCGTGAAGTTAGTTCCGGTCACTCGACCAAAGTCCTTCGTAAGATCACCGGCCGCTCGAATAACTCCCCAGTAATCATTACTTGAGACGAGGATCTGTGGCTGGGCAATCGATCCACCAGCTATTTGGAAAGCTCCGTCGCTATTGGCAAAGCCAATTATCTGCTGTTGTCCAAGTGCGACTACGAAAGGAGCGAATCCAGTTACAGCTGCTAGGAACTGGCATCTAAAAAGCGAGAGTCGCATGATTGATGGCTTGATTTGACAATCTGCCCCAGAGAACTTTTCGTACTAGAACTGAGTGTTCTAGTCGAGCCTACTTCCAAGCACGGAAAGGCAAGGAGGAATACAATCACATCGTGAATTGAATATGGAAACAGGAGAAATATATAGATACCATTAAATCAGGTTCGGAACCACCCGGGAAAAGCTACCCTGACGGGCCCTGGTTGATAGCTGAAGTGGCCCGCCATCGTGAAGGTGGAACAATTGACCTTGTCTCGCCGAATTCACCGCATACCTTCACTAGACATCTCGTATGCATCTCCTAGACAGTAAGGAGACGTAATATCGGGAATACTACCCAAGATCTGGTTGATTGCCAAGTACCAAGGTGCCTGAATTGACTATAGCGTATAATCATACTCCGCATTGGGGATCTCGATGGTGAGTCGAATGGTTGAAGAATTACAAAGGATCGGTTCGCGGGTAATTTGAAGTGAGAATCAAGTTGGCAACATTGAGACTTTACTGCGTACAAGGAGATGATGCGCTAACATTTCCCCGCATAGTGCTGGTTCCACTGTAATTAGCGCCATTGGCAAGGTGCGGGGGTCCCTTACAGCGAAGTAACTCAAGTAAATCGTGCCTGCTCGTGCAATAAATTAGTAGGATATGAGCCTCAACGCCGTCGCAAATTTTCACATTTAACCGCAGCTTTATCCGGTCAATCCCGGTCAGGTCTAGTACTGTACATAAACTTCGTCACGATAGAATCGAATCAGTCATGCCAACTATTGCTTACGTAGCTACCTAAAGCATAGATAGCTTAGGTCTATTCTGTACAGTAAAGTTCCTAAGCCGTGGTTAGGTTTTGTTTTCCCAATCTTTCTCATTTTCCATTAGTTGCCGATGTCGGTATTCAACGAGTGTCCTCGAATAGAAGCACCGCTAGAATGAAAACCCCGATGGACTTGGGATATGTTGGAAAACTAACCCATCACCTCCAGGCCGGTTTTACTCGAGGGCCAGACGCCTTTAATCGAATTGGAAAGCTTCGAATCGTTCGAAACGACTCCTTGGTAGGAAGGAGATGGCCAGCTTGGACACGCCCTTTAAACTGCGAGCTATCCGTAAACCTAGGCCGATCCTCACCTTCCAACTAGCCATCAGCTCCAATTCATCCTGATGCGAGGAAAGTGATTGTCTACGAGAAGCCCGAATATTCGAACAGCCCGAACCTAGTGCCGATAGCCTTACTTGAAGTAATAAGTTGGTATGACCATGGTAGGAGAAACCAATTTCACAGCGAGGAATATAAAAAAAAGAACTATAGGCACTGATGGTGAATGCAATATTACATAGCGCGAACAAGAATCATGGCAGTGCCTTCAAACATACCTAGATGCCAGTCAGCCTTGGAATAGCAGGCTATGCTGGTATATGGAAAGCCGTTGTGTTGGTAAAATAACGCGACTCAAGTCGGAATCCATGATGATTAATGCCAGGGAGGCATTGCACTATACATGATTCGCTGGTTGAAAGGGAGACTAGAAAGGTAACATTTGAACAAAGGTAACAGCAAACTACATTAGTGCGGTCATCCTGGGAATTGATATTTTGGTCCCAACATAGCAAATACCAAAGCTCTGGTTGGCGCAGCTTGTTTTCAAGTGATTTGAGATTCTTTCCAACTCTACTTAATACCCCTTATCAATCCTGCGAGGCTACTACTCTTTGGGAGCTCACTCCTGAGTTCACTCTCGCTTCTTCCCTTTCCCTCCTCTATTATTCCATCGCCAGATCTTCATTATGGCGCCCGCGGTAACTATCGCCCTCGGTGGTATAGCAGCTACTTACCTGTTTCTTCGCTTTCTCCTGTACCTAACCCAGGATGCCAGGGAACCACCAGCTATCGAGACAGAAATTCCCTTTTTTGGCCCCCTGATTGGAATGTTTAGAGAGAAGTCACACTTCTATCTTCGATTGAGGTTTGTCGATTATGCTTGAGCAGCTAGTCCCATTGTGTAACTAAGATTTTGAACAGGGACACGTACAAGCTTCCAATATACACCCTTCGCATGCCCTTTTCACGGATGTACATCGTGAACGCCACCGGACTTATCCCCGAACTACAGAAACAATGGCGTACTATTAGCTTTGCCGCGATCGCAGCCGATGCAGGAAATCTAGTCGGGATGAGCAAGGAGGCTATCAAGACGATGCATCAGGACCTAACAAGTGAAAATGGCTTCAGTGCTAGCTGGCCCAAGTATATCACGCCTGTGATGGGACCTGGAGCAGACCTCGATGCAATAAATAGGAGGTCGATCGAGGTCTTTTCAACTGACATGGAAAACTTGCGAGCACAAGGAACCGTGCAAGTAGGTCTGTGGCAGTGGTCACGTCGAATCATGGTTGAATCCACGACAGAGGCAGTCTGGGGGCCACAGAACCCATATCGGGATCCGGCCATTGCCGAAGCCTGGAAGTAAGAGCGACTGTTTTGATATTCCTCTTAGTTCTACTAAATCGCTAACTATCCCTATAGGACATTTGAGGCAGGCTTCTTGACTCTCTCGGTCTTTCCTTTCGCCTCATTACTTTTTCCCAAACTTGTTCAGGCACGTGAGCTTGTGGCCGATGCCATGCTTAATTACATGCGCAAGGGCGGACATGAAAAGGCCTCTGGCCTGGTGCGCAAACGCCTTGAACATCATCAACAACTTTTTGGCCTTAGTCTTGAAGACGTGGCACGAGGGGAGCTTGGGAACACCTTTGCAGTGCTGGGAAATACGACCCCTTGTGCTCTATGGGTCCTCTACCACATCTTTTCAGACGAGCAAGTATTAACTGATATCCGCCGAGAGGTTTCTGCCCTAGTACATGAGGAGGAAGATGAAGAAAATGGAATCATTAACACAGTTGACTTGGCTGGCATTCGTGAATCCTGCCCTATACTTCTAAGCACCTTTCAAGAAACACTACGTCACCGTGCCGTGAACCCAGGCCCACGTGTGCTTCTTGAGGATGTCCTCTTAGATGGACGCATTCTTCTTAAGAAAGGCAGCATGCTCATGATTCCGGCACCGGTGCAGCATACGGATACCGCTGCGTGGGGTGAAGATGCTAGGGAGTTCGATCATTTACGTTTTGTGCGTAAACTAGCCCCCGGACACAAGAAACCGAACAGAGTAGCATTCCGCGCATTCGGTGGCGGTCACGTACTTTGTCCCGGTCGTCATTTTGCAAGCACTGAGATAATGGCACTTGCAACACTACTAGTACTTCAATTTGACGTCACGCCTGTTACTGGTAGGTGGGATGAACCCACGTGGGAAAATTCGCCGGTCCAAGCGGGCTTTCCCGTCCCGGATGAGGATATCAACGTCGAGCTTCGACCTAGAGACCCGGCAAGGAAGTGGCATGTTAAATTTACAGGGTCAGATAAGGCCATGGGTATTGTAGCTGAAGATAGCATTCCCGACAAGAGTAGTATTTAAGTGACAGGAGCTACCAAATTGTTACCGGAACTACATAATGACAGGTAGCAAATATCGATGAAAGCTGAAACATATATGCAGCTGGTCTACTTCCGCCGGCCTCCGACTTTTTGGGTAGATCTACCTAGCAGGCATACACACCCGGGAGGCGTGCGATTAATGAGTATCATTTCCTGCAGGCTAGGTAGGTATCGATCGACGGCATTCACTTTATATGGTCGTAGTGTTGTACAATCAGCTTGGACGCGACTGGTACTAGCAACGAGGTCCCCAGAGATAGGTTTCTCTATTGGCACTAAGCCCAACCTTACTAGATAGGTAAGTACCTAGGTAAGCTGTTATATAAACTTAGAATTCCTTTACTTAAGAACTGTCAGATTGAACCATTTAATTGATGAAGAGAGATGTATCTTTTCTAACTCTATTCTTACAAACAGAAACTCTTAGGAAAAGTTCTTCCTGCAACCAGACTTTGACTGAATAGCCATTTAGCACAGACCACCTAAACTGAACCTAATTCCATGTGACAAGAAAGTATTCGAAAGAAGAAGATACTTAGAGGGAAATGTGTATCTGACAAAAACTTAACATCTCATCAATATTCACCAAGGACTATTTATTAGATGATGTATAACTTAGGTAGCTACATGATAAATGTCGGAGCCCCTGATTTCGACGAGAATAGTCTGACTCTTCTTAGCTTCGTTATCTACCTAGGTAACTATAATTACTATCTTATACTATGACAGTTCTTGAAACCTCGCGTTTAGATATATCTTACCCATGCTCTTGATATGCGTTGAATAGACCCTTTAGGTTCTTGCTTTCATTTGTGTGTGTACCCTTTACGTGTCGGACATTAATATTGTTTTCTCTTTGCTTCGGTGTTCGGCTTGATTAGGTAGTTTCCGGTAGATCTGTATAGGTAGGTACCCACCTATTCTCAACTCAACTCAACTCAACTTGCCTGATAGCTCGTTAAGGGGCCTATTGAAGTTCATAGAGAGTACCTAAGCTTCAATACCCTCAGATTGGAAAGTACTAGGTAGATATTAGTTTAGTTAAGTCTAGAAGTTCGCGGATTTGTCAAATCAAGTTGAACCAAACCAAACCTCGGCCTAATCTTTTGAATGGACATCCCAAAACTGGATCCCTGACCTGTGAAACCCCCATCACAGCAAGCCACTAACTCGATTCGTCTCTGAACCTGGTATCGGAAATCTCCGTCCATTCAAGAGCGGAGTTAGCAAGAATCTGGCATATAAGCCGGCTCAATGACTCGCAAATCAAGCCACGATCGAAGCCTACAATTCGATTTCCAAGGAATACGATTCCTCCGTGGCGCAATTGGCTAGCGCGTCTGACTGTTACTTCACATCTGTGATAGCAATCAGGAGGTTGACAGTTCAAGCCTGTCCGGGGGAGGAAAGCACCATCCAGGTAGTTACGGAGCTCCGTAACTACCCCGAATTTTTGGAAAAATTTTCCCGTAGCTCGAATTGCGTCTTTATTTTATCACTTTGAGCGAATAATATACCTCTACATTACAGCAGATTCCAATCCCTAAGTAACTCGCGATAGCAGAATCTACTTATTAGTTGACATCGCCATTAAAGTTGTGACAATTATAAGAGTCCTGCGACAAGTACGCTGTTGTTGAGCAACTGCTCTGGTGGTTGGTCTCTAGGCTATGATACATAGCTGATCCAGGCGCTCGGAGACCTGTAACTTTTCAGATTTCCAGTTTTCAGCTACAATTAACTCTTCACTTGTCAACCCGACGAATTATCTGTAGCTAGATATTGGTGCTGTGAGTGGGAGTTTCTAAGTTAATCTCATGTGGCAAGCGTTTACGACTTCGATTATAGAGGCTTTATGCATACATTGCTAAGTCTATTATGTAGAAGCTAAGCGGCGGTAGGCAGCAAGAAGATTCGTGATAAAACTAGACATTCGATTTTCTATAAAGTTAATAACTTAATATTACCTACGCCTAATTAGAAGTTTCTCAAGTACCTACCTAATTTAGTTCGCAAGAAGCATGATATTACTTAAGAAGGAATGGGTAAAAAAGAAAAACGTCGTTGCAAATTTGTATTTATATGCTACTTTAGGCTTCTAACACTGTTCCTCATAGATTTCGACCAAAAAAATAGCAAAAAACGCGAAAAATATATGATCTACTCCCCCGGACAGGCTTGAACTGTCAACCTCCTGATCGCCTCTGCTTTGATACAGTAACAGTCAGACGCGCTAGCCAATTGCGCCACGGAGGAATGTGTTTGATCCATGAACGATGCCTCCCACCTACGTGGGCGGAGGAACCCCCTCTAGCCAATTGCTATTTTGGGACCCATTGTTGGGAAAAAACGCTTCTTACAGTAGCCTATAATGCCAGAAGCCAAGCCCTAAAGAGGTGCTTTCTTCCGTAGTAACCCCGTTCGGACGTCCGAGATCCCTTGGTCAGACAAATCCGAGTCGAGTGTCACTTTTCTAGATACCCGTGACCTACTAAGTGACTAAGTGACCTACTAAGGACACCTACGGCGTTAGCTTTCTTTAGTTTGAGTTTGGAGGCCCTCCATAAGCTCCAGTATGTTGGGAGAAGTTTCATTGAAACATGAGCAAGGTTTGAACGGTTATCTTCATAACCCAATTTAAGCTCAAGAAAATGCTCAATTGAATCTTTTTATAAGATAAGAACTCACTTTTAACAATCCAAGCAAAAGATATTAATGTTCATTTGAGAATGAAAAGCTTCTTTTATAAAAGGCATATTGATGGTTAGGAATTATAGGTATACTATATCTCAATGAAGGGGGGATTCACAGATTCATTATGTAATCCGCACCCAATGTTAAGGTTCAGCCTCCATGAGCCGCAAACTTTCTTAACGTCAATGCATATTACGCAGTCGCAACTTCCTCTTCGCGGTGCTTTTTATAGAAGTAGAATATGTAATATCCAAATCTCGCAGGTGAGTGGGAACCAGTTCTTCGTGCCAAGAACACACAACTTCGTCGCTGTTGCTCTCCGGCTCAATTGATTGATTAGTTAACCAGGAATCAATCAATTGCGTAATTAAGACGCCATTTTTTGGTATATACCTAGTAGGTACCTAACCACCCAGTACTCATACCTAGATATCCTCATAGACATTGGTCTTAAATCCTTGAAGTTGTGGTGCTGGCCATAGAGATACCGGGAACCGGTACATTGAATCTGTAAGAGATCCCATTTCATCTAGTTTCTAGACAGCTTACCTACTAGATAGTTAAAGATACTAGGCACCCCGTGAACCACTCTTTGGTGAACTAGTTTAGTTTCGGCCTTCCGTTGAACCCTATAGAGGATGTATTCAAAAGAAAATTAAATACATATCACTTAGGAAAGTGGTATCGTCGGGTCAACCCGAACCTATCCGGCCATATGTGGGGGGTTGTTCCGATCTAACCGTTCCTCCCATTCCGATTCCGGCCGGGTGGAGAAGGAACTACCTGCCATTATTATAACGATATCCTATCCGCATGAGAGGAATCCATTACTCTTATACCATTATGAATTATCGGCGATAGAATATTGCCATATAATTCAACTTCGCTTGTCGTATCGACCTAACCCCTGAAATGGACCCTTATCAGTTAACGGCAACCCAAGCTCTTACTAAACTCAAAGATGGTTCATTAACAGTCGAAGAATATGCTCGCTCGCTACTCGAGCGGATTGAAAAGAGGGACGACGACGTTCAGGCCTGGGCATATCTAAACCCTGAATATGTCATCCAACAAGCAAAGCAACTCGACTCCTTACCACCGGAAGAGCGAGGTCCTTTACATGGAGTGGCCGTTGCAGTCAAGGATATCATGTATACCAAAGGTGTTTCCCGTGGTCACTCACTATTCATTGTCATTGGGGTTATATATTGACTTTCGTAGACATGCCAACTCAGCACAATTCTCCAATATACGAAGGAGATGACCCAAAGCTCGATGCCGCGTCTATCATTACATTACGCCATGCCGGCGCATTGATTCTTGGTAAGACAGACGCTCGTGGGCCATAATACTTAGAAGGTATAATATCCGTATACTGAATTGGAATAGGCAAATCAACTACGACGGAATTCGCGTCAATTACAACTGGTCCGAAAACAAGGAACCCTCATGACACGACACGCACCCCTGGTGGCTCATCTTCTGGATCTGCAGCTGCTGTGGGAGACTTTCAGGCACCTATCGGGTTGGGAACGCAGACTGGAGGAAGCACAATTCGCCCAGGTTCATTCAACGGTATCTATGCTTTCAAACCCACATGGAACTCTATCAGTCGGGAGGGTCTGAAGGTGTACTCTCTTATCCTCGACACGATCGGGTTTTTCTCTCGAAGTGTTGATGACCTTCAATTGCTTGCCGATGTCTTCGAGCTCGAGGATGATGTGCCTCCGCACAATGACTTCTCTATTAAGGGGTCAAAATTCGCTGTTCTGAAGACGATGGTATGGCCACAAGCGGGTCCCGGTACCGTTGCTGCATTAGATGCTGGGGCAAAACTGTTGAGAGACCATGGGGCAGACGTTGAAGAGATTGAATTGCCTCCTGAGTTTGAAAAGTTGCCGGAATGGCATGGCATAGTGCTACGCAGCGACGGGCGACCAACCTTTTTACCCGAGTACCGCGTTTCCAAGGACAAGCTAGCGGGCGTGTTAGTTGGCCACGTTGAAAATGAGTACCAGATATCGCGGGCCGCTCAGCTCGAGGCATTTGACGGCATCGCTTCTCTAAGACCTAAGATTGATGAGATCGCCGGCAAGTACGCTGCCATTCTTACACCAAGCGTGGTAGATGAAGCCCCTGTAGGTAGGGAAACCACCGGAAGTCCAGCATTCAATGCCATTTGGACGGTATGTTATGATACCCGAATAGTTGGGGAGTGGTTGCTTATTGATAACTCTAGGCCCTTCATACACCTGTCACGAACATTCCGGGCTTCAAGGGGGAGAACGGGTTGCCAGTGGGCTTATCGTTAATTGCACCGAGATATCATGATAGACACCTTCTTGAAGTCTCTAAAGTTGTAGGGGAGATATTTGAAGCTGAAGGCGGATGGACACGGCAAGTATACCAATGATCATGGGGTTATTATCGACGAATTTTACCCTCAACGTTCCCGATGTTCCCAATGTTCCCAATGAATTAATCGCGTCGTACAATAAAGGAGAACAGTATTCTAAAATTTAACATATACCTACACGGGAAGAGCGAAAAACAAAGGGAAAAGACTCTAAGAAAAACCGAGTAGGGGCTGTAGGCTGGTAAATTTTTCGAAAAAGCAAGTATACCCCAAATTCCAATTACGCACTTCGGCTACCCGCCTTAGACTAGTGACGCTATTTCAAGCATCGACGCCACATTTCTTCTAGCTTCTAGGCAACCTGGTTTCGGCAGAAAAAGAACTCGCGAGAGTTTTAAACTAAGTACGATTCTATCCAAGGCAACTTGTCAGCTGTGTATAGTAGCCGATTTTGCTTCCTTCGTTCGGATAGAAGTGGTATGACAATCAACCCATTGTACTGGAACAGAAAGTATTCGGCAAAACCATCGGGTGCCTAAGTGTTCGGTACCTGCCCAGCCTACGGAATGAAACTCCGCATATCAATGTCTCACTTTACTTTCCACAGAGGTGAATGACATCACCGTAAATCAATCCGGCCACCAACCCTTTCAACCGGGCTGCCGCGAAGTTATGAAACTGTGTACCTACCCTAGACACGGGCAGCATCTCCAACCATGCAGGGACTTGCGTCTAGGCTGCGGGGAAGCGTGTCGGCTCGATCGTATTAACCCGACCTACTGCTTCGGCAAGTGTATGGACTCGCACTAAAGTCGGGGTTCAGATAGCACACCATGTAACAAGGGTTAAGCAGCTAGGTAAATGTCGACGATACCAAGAATGAGCTACCCGAAAATGAACCACCACGTTTTATCTCATCCCACCCCGCGTCTTTTCCTTGCGCGATAATTCCTTTTCTTGATACCTCGAGTAGAAGCAAGTTATTTGTCAGGAATCATGTCGCATCCATTTGAAAAGGTATAACCACTCCTCCTTTTCGAAGTTCATGCAAGAGTTAGTTAACGCGAATGGTATCAGGTAATTATCGTGGGAGCTGGTCCTTCGGGTCTACTCCTCGCCCTCCTCCTATCCAAGCACGGGATCCCGGTGGAGATACTCGAAGCGTCACATGAACTAGACAAGCAGCCGCGCGCGGCGATCTACGGATCCCCCGCGATTCCGGATCTGCGGCGAGCGGGCGTCATCGACGAGATTCGGCGGCGGGGTATGAGTCCGACGTCGATGTGCTGGCGACGATTCAAGGACCACAGCCTGATTACCGGCATGGATGCGCAAGTCCTAGAAGATCTAAACGGCGAGGACATGCGCATGGCTTGTTTGGTTTTGGATGAATTGGATGCGCTGATGCTCGAGGAGTTTCTTACTAAGTACAACGGCAAGATTAGCTGGAAACACAAGGTTGTCGGCACTGGTCAAGATGAGAAACAAGCGTGGGTAGACGTTGAGACACCGGAGGGCAATAAGAAAATCTATGGCGACTACGTTATTGGATGCGATGGTGCGGGAAGCGCTGTTAGGAAATCTCTCTTTGGCGACGAGTACCCTGGGTTTACTTGGGAGAGGCAGATCGTGGCGACGAATGTATGTGCCCGAACTCCCTATGTTTCAAAATCGTATTGGATACGTTCAATGGCAGCTAACCTGAAATTTAGATCTACTATGATTTCACCAAGTTCGGGTTTAAAGACTCTAACTTCATCTTACATCCCGATCATTTCTATGTGAGTCTTTTCCGAATGACTTATAAATAAGACTAAACTTACATATAAACGCGCAGATGGCGGCCAGACTCACGAAAGATGGGCTGTACCGAGTGACATATGGCGAATCACCTGGCTTAACCTGGGAACAGATGCAAGAGCGACAACCCTGGAAATTCGAGCTGATGCTGCCCGGCCACCCCAAGCCGGGCGAGTACAAGATGATTAGCATGTCACCCTACAGAATGCACCAACGATGCGCGCCTAAGTTTCGCGTAGGTCGAATCCTACTAGCGGCCGACGCGGCGCATCTCTGCAACCCGTGGGGCGGCATGGGAATCACCGGTGGATTCGTCGACATTGGCGGTCTATACGATTGCCTCTCAGGGATTTGGGATGGGAAAGCGGATGAGTCGATCTTGGACATATACAGCGAGAAGCGAATCGAGAAGTGGAAGACAGTCATCGACCCCGTCTCCCAGAGCAACTTCCGCCGCGTCTCCGATAGCGATCCGGACACACTGTTGGAGCGCGATCCCGTCATGCAGGCATGCAAAGATGCGGAAAACGACTTGGAGAAGCAGAAGGGGATGTACCTGAATTTCTTTGATATGAAGTACGATTTTACTCAGCATTATAAGACGGCATGATAGAGTACTAGGTAGAGATAGGATTAGTATACGGTCAAAATGTATCTTTATTCCATCAGCATGCGTTAAGTCTCATATGTTTGCGCATAGAAGATTAAATAGAAGCCAATAAAATTTCAAATCATTGCCATTGCTGGGTTTATTCGATTCACGATGTTCGACCCTCAACTCCCGCCCGACAAACCAATTTTGAGCATTAGATATTTTAAATGACAAATAACAACCATCAGACCTATAAACCAAAATAAGAGAAAGTAGGGTATCATTTTTTGTCCCGGAGTAATTATACAAGACCCAACAACAATGCACACAGAGTTAGGTGGGTAGGTGACCCCAAATCCCCTATAATTGGGGGCATAAAGGGGCGTTTAGAATCATTGCGGGGAAGGGATAGGCACCTAGAAATAGCAATTCACAGGCTTGCTTTCCCTCTAGACTCAAAAGGTAGAGTACCGACAAGAAGTCCTGCCGCGATGAACAGTGCACCACTTGTATAAACCGGCGCCGCCGTCTGAAGGTTCGCGAACATTGCTACAATAGGGGCCATAATACCGAATATGCGGTTCGACGTCGCCGTAAGCGCATTCCCAGTGCCACGATCCTTTGTAGGGAATAGCTCGGGCGTAAAAGCGTACAAGACGGCGTACATGATATTACTAGTGAAATTGTACGCGCAATTCCACCCCAACAAGCTGGAGGAACTTGTCGCAGTTGTCGAGCAGTAGAGAAAGATGCCTGTTAGGATCGTGCTTAAACTCAACGCCCCTCTCCTCCCAAAATGAGGCAGTTCGACGAGAAGACCACCAAGAAGGGCGCCGGGTACACCGAGTACCGCGATGATCAGCGAATTGCGATACGTAATATAAGTAGATCCATCTCCAAAGTCGACGCCGCGAGTACTTTGGATATATGGTAGGAAAGCGTTATATAAGGGATATCTACGGGAAAGATTAATTATCGTGAAATAGTAAAAGAGAAAAAGGGGTTAGCCTTCACTTACCCGAGTCCGATGAAAGCCCAGACCAACATTAGGGCGCCCGTGCTGTACGCCAATTTTCCCGTCGCAAATAAAGATCGGATGTGGGAGAGATCAATGGCTTCTAACTTGCGTTTCACAGCGTCGCCTGCAGTAACCCGATTCTCATATCCTTCCGGCTCGCACGCTTTTAAATCTTCGATGGCCAATTCCGAAGTCTTTTTATTCCGTCGAGCAACTTCATGGACTATGCGCACTGCTTCTTCATCCAATCCTTTGCCCATGAGATACTTGGGCGACTCGTAGATGGTGAAGCAAAAGAAACGAAGAACGAACATGATGAGCGTCAGTCCTCCCATCGCAATCATGAAATAGCGCCATCCCATGTTCTTAGCCCTAGTGCAGTCCGTGTCGGTTTGCTGACAGGTTCGATACCCTAACAATGGCCATCCAATCAAATTGGCTATGACTTGTGCGACAGCCCAGTCGATAGAAAGAATCGTGAGGAGGTATTGGTGAGATCCAGGAAGAAACTCGAGGAAAATAGCAGAGTCAACCGGGAGATTACCGCCTACGCCAAATGACCAGAACGCCGCAAATATCCCGATAGCAGCAAAATTAGGTGCAGAGGCAGCTATCATACCCCATACGGCGGTTATACCAAGAGTCAGATTGAAAGCCCATCTCCGACCGAAGATGTCGCAGCCGAATCCCCAGAACATGGCACCGGCAAGTAAGCCGATGTTCTGGGCAAGACTCAGTAGCGGACCCCGAGTCGGATGAAATTCGTTTAAGATGGGCGTGAAAATGAGAGACGTGATGATCGGCCAAAGATTATCAGATGCCCAACCAAACCCTACGACTATGAATAGCTGCCATTGGTACCATCCCATACCAATGTCTTGAATCTGCCATCCTCATTGTTAGGCTAATGATCAAAGAGGAATAATTTCCAGAAACTTGGGAAATTTACCGCTCTATTCAGTACCCTCGCCTTTGCCTCGTATACCGGATCAATTGTGCCTTTAGGTATCGTGCTAACATCTTCGATCCCGATGGCGTCTTCGTCACCTAGGTGGTGCTCATTCTCATTACTTGCTTTTCCGTTTTCGGTCGTATCCTCTGCCATGATTCGCTCGCTAAGCTATCAGATCGGGCGATCGGGTTGAGACAGGGAGATGAAAATGGAATCCAAGGGTAACAACGATAACAATTAAAAATAATACACCATTGTGTTGTTATTGGGATGGATAATAGAAGCTAGGTAAGCTGCCTATACTGATAATTATCTAGTGACAATCGGTGGTCCGCAAGTAGAAAGCTTGTTCGCTTTAAGAAGAGAAGTCCGGGGAAAGCTTCAGCTAGCTCCAGCCACGATGAAACAAAGTAAGCTGCTAATGGCGTGCTAGAAAATCTTGGAGAATCCTTGTCTCGCTATAGCTGGCAATCATCCTTTGTTACTGGGATCAAGCCTCTACTAGACTGCTACAGGGAACTGAGACAGCGGAAATCTGCAATGACAGCGCCTGCGGCTGCAGTAGATCGACGCAAACTCGGGCATCCCGCAGTGCCAAGATCGACAGACGGGATCCAATCTGGAGATTACCGGAGAATCGAAGACTAATGAAAACCTTCACCGGTCTTAAAGTGTAACGGTGGTGTAATGACGGTAAGTATCAAATCCAAAAATAGTCTTCGTGTCCATGGCTGTCCATGTAAGTACCTGGTAGATAAATGTCTACCTACATAAGATCATACTAATACATCTGAGCACAATTTGCTCCTTCGAATTGGAATTAATGTTCACATCTTAGTTCCTTATGATGTCTTTGGATATCTTCAGCAATCGGCGCCGGTGAAATATCCTTTCCATCCCCAAAGCTCATCCTCGGTGAATCTTCCTCCCCCCTTACCCCTCACATCGCCCGACCCAGCCACTCAGTCCCATCCATCTGGAGCACCCAATCCTCCATATCCATTCTACCCGAAGGCAATAATTCCGTCGGGTCCATATCGAACCTCGAATCGTTAAAGACCACCCTGGAGCCATATTCTCTAGTACCTAGGCGTTTAGCAAGCGCGGTCACTAGAATGACTATGGCGTGATATGAGAACGTTCTCGCCGTTGGACATTGATTCAGACCGGCGCCGAATGGCATATACGCATCTTTCATGTCTGCGGTCCAGTCCTGGAACCGAGAAGGACGGAACTGCTCGGCATCCAACCCCCAAATTTGTTTCTCTCTATGGCACCACTCGATATCCGCCTTCACATTAAACGGACCATTTCTACCATCTGGGATATTGCGATGGATTCGCTTTGTCGGGGGATACAATCTTAGTCCCTCCTGCTAAGGGTCAGCATGCAAAATTTTTGGAGGTACGTATGTGAAAGAGGTAGGTATATATTGACTTGCCTTGGCAAAATTTATTGACATATCGCTTAGGATTCTGTTACCTTCCGTTGCGCAATATTCGTGGACATCCTGAGAGACCTTTTGGAACTGCTGAGTTATTTCTTGGCCCACATCTCTAAACCCGACAGAGACATATGTGAGCAAAACCACCCGCCACATTGTCTCGTAGGCGGGGATGATGGTGTTCAAGGGTTGATTCTCTGAACTGCATGGGTAACGGTTCGGAAGCAAACGTCTCAGGGCATTCTGAAGGCGATCAAGCTCCTGGCGCAATTCTGGCCCTGCTGCTTCGAGGTTCTTCGAGTGTTCCCAAAGGTTATTGATGAGACGCGTTGCCTCATCGGCATCAGCGAAGTTGGTATCATCAAGCCTGACGTCGAAGAACTGGTATATAATGGCCGAAAAAACGGTAAATCGGACGGTGGCTGCTAATGGCAACGACTGCTGAGATGCTGAAAGAATATCGAATGCCTGACGAACGGCTGCTTGCGACACGGCAAAGAAGGTAGACCATTTTTGTTGGTTCATGCTAAGTATAACTGCTTTAGCTGAGACTATGAATCTTTCATGGACGCCTCGATCAACAGTAGTGAAGGAATTATTTATTCCGAAGGCTTCAACTAGCCTTCGGTTAGGTATGGCTCTAGATGTGAGCTTGTCGACAAGGCTGTTTATTCCCGGAACGTCAAATTTAGCGATACTTCGATGTATTCTTACACGATTTAGGGCAGTTGCTTTTGAGTTATTGGAGAGACTTAAAGTAATGAATATGAGGCTACCAAAGAGACATATTACAAGGATAATAGGATTCGAAGTGATGTATCTGAGAATGAGAAAGAAGGCGGGCATTAGGCAAAGCTTGGCCGAGTTGGAGATGAAGTATGTAGAACACATTTTTATAAAGAATTTAGAAACCGATTTTCCTACCTAGGTATGAGTAGAATGACATTGTTACCGGCGAATAGTCTTATATATAGGCGCGCATCTCTTCGCTATGGAAAAACTAGAACGCACCTGCAGGCTCTCAGTTACAGTCAGCGTAGGTGCTCGTTCATCTTCCTGTCCGAGATCGTCCTCATAATCTCATTCTCGAACTAGAAAGAGCAAACAAGATCTCATCGAATGACCTAGCAGGATCTTACTTTTTTGCTTCTAAGATCTAATCAGTTTGATGCAGGTAAGTACCTAGATGATCGACCTGCACCGAGATTCTCATATAATCCCCGGTTTGTCGTTCCTGTAAGATCCCGTCGACCTTAAATGAGGTTGCAAACGGAGCTTGGCCAACCACGATTCTCAATTCTTGACAATACTAGAAAAGTGAGGCTTCGATAGACCTACCTTTAGCGAGCTATTTCAAGGTGAAACTACAAACGCGAGGATTGGCTCTAGGATCTTAATGTGCGTCGGCGGCAAAATCTTCCCGGTTATCCCGATATGCAAAACGGGAGCGCAACGGTCCGCGTCTGTGAAGTGTACTTTGTGACGATGACCGGACAAACATTCGTAGGACACGATACTCAAATAGACTTGTCATATTTTAAATTTACTCCCCACTAAGTACGGAATATTGGTTATGATCTGATAACAAGTCATGACGTGTCGAAAAAGCGGAAGGGCGCGTTAGCCTTGCGTTTAGGGGGGATACTTCACATCTATGATGTGGAGCTAAGCGAGAGGCGTATATTAAGATTGAAGATGCTGTAAGTATACTTAGGTACATAGTGCCATTGCAACCCGTGAATTAACGTTTTGCATTATACGTATAATTAAGGTTGCATAAAACTCGTACTTTATATTAAAATACATGTATTATTTATAACCTTTATAAAATACGTATTATTTTAAATTATTCACCGGAACCGGAATAACTTTATTCGAGTATTTTTTAATTATACGGGTTAATTATATAAATATTTTTAATTAATAATTATTATAAAAAAAAATTTTAAAATTTATATAATTTATATATCGTTAAAAAGTTATTAAAATATTATTTATTTATTTATTTAAATAAATAAATATATCGTTTTTTACGAAAATATTTATATTAAAAACGTTATAATAAAAGTAATTTTTAATTATTTAACGTGGTTTATATATTTTTAAAATATTTAAAATTTATATTTTAATATTATATAAACCGAATTTTTAATATATAAATTATTTATTAATCCCGAAAAAAATTTCTTTAATTTTAAAAAATATATTTTTATTTTAAAATATTTTATTATTCGCGAATAATACGATAAAATACGATTCGATATTTTTAAATATATAATTTTACGTATAATAAAAATATTATATAATATAATATTATATAATTTATATTATATTATTATATATATATTAAACGTGTATAATAAAATATATAATATAATATTAAAATTAAAAACTTTATTTAATCGTATAAAATTAATAAAACATAATAAATAATACGAAAAAAAAAAATATTTCATACGTAATTCGAAATTTAATATAAAAATTTTTTTTTTATATTTTTATTTTATTTTAAATTTTTTTTTTATTTAATAATTATTATTTATTTTTTTATATAAATAACTTTATAATTTAATAACTTTACGTTTATTCACGTGGTTTATTACGCGTTTAATATAATTTTTTATTATTAAATTTAATAATAACTTTTTTTTTTATTTTTTATATAATACGGTATAATAAGTTAAAAACTTCATTATTTTAATTTTTTTTCCCGTTTATTTTTTTAATTTAATTTTTTTCCCGTTTATTTTATTTAATATAATTATTTTTTTTATTTATTTAAATCTTTTATAAATTTTAAAAAAAAGAATTTTATTATAGTAATAAATTTTTTAATTATCCCGTAATATTAATAATTTAAACATATTTAAAAATTAAAAAACTATATTATTTTATAAATTTATTTTAAAGTTAATTATATACGAAAATTTAATAAAACTTTAAATTTTATTTAAAAAACACGTTAATTTATTTCGCATTTATTCGAATATAACGCGAAATAAATAATAAATATATATAAATTTAAAAATAATTTCGAATATATTTTTTATTTTATTATAAAATTAATTATTAATATTTTATATATATATAATTATTTCGTAAAAAAAATCTTATTAAATTTTTTATAAGTTATTTTTAAAAAAATAAAACTTAAATTAAAAATTACTTTTTTTTTAAATATACTTTTTTTATAATTAAATTTATATAACGTAAAAAAATTAGTTTTTACTTTTTAAATATTTTATTTAATAAAATTTAAAATAAGTTTAATAAATTTAAATATTTAATAATAATTAATATAATTACGTTTTATTATAAAAACTTATAATCTTTTAAAAATTTCCACGGATTTTTCCTTTTTTAAAAATCCATTATTTTAAAACTTAAAATTTTAAAACTTTAAATTATTAAATTTTATTTTTTTATTAATTTTTTTATCATTATATTTTAATAAATTAAAAATTATTTTTTTATTACGCGTTAAAAAAATAAAATTTAATAATATTTTTTTATCGTTATTATTAATTTATATATTTAATATTATATTAATATTAATTTTATAAATTTTATAAACGAAATTATCGTTATCGTTTATTTTTATATTAAATATTAAATTAATATTTAATTTTTAAATTAAAAAGAATATTTTTAAACGTTTAAAACTAAATTTTTCTAAAATTTTCATTATTTTTATATTTTTAAAACTTTATTTAATAATTTTACTTTCGTAATAAATTTCCACCTTAATTATAAAACTCATTTTTAAAATATTAAATAATATTAAAGCCGTTATTAATAATGTAAATAACGGAATAATTAATATAAATAATTAAGGAAATTAATAATAAAATTTTCCTTAATCTTTAAAAATAATATTAAATAAAGCTACATAATAATAAATTAATAAAATAATAATTATTATAATAATAATAATAAATATATAAATAAATAATAAAATAATAAAAAAAATTATTAACGAAATAATTAAAAACTTAAATTTCTTTAAAATTTTAAATAAATGCGTAATATTAAAAAATTAAATTTCGAATATAAAAAGTTAATTAATTAAAAATATTAAATATTTTTATTTAAATATAAAATTAATTATTATAAAATTTTTTAATATTATAATCGTGGGAAAAAATACTTTTTAAAAAAACATGAATTTATTTATCAAAATAATAAATATTATAAAAATTAATTTAAAATAAATCGAAATAATTTATAAAAAATTCCCGTAAATACTTTAAAAATTCACTTAATAATAATAAATAAATATTTTAATAATTAATAAAAAAATTAATTATTTATTTAATAATAATTAAGCTTTTTAAAAACTTTAAAAAAATTATAAAATATTTATATATAAAGTAATATTTAAAATTTAAAACGCGAAATATACTCGAAATAATTATTTATAAAATATTAATATTAAAATTTAAATTATGAAATTTTTTCGTATATATAAAGTTACGAACTTTATAAAATTAAAACATTAAATAATAATAATTTAAAATATTTTAAACGTTAATTTAAAAATAATTATATTATAATTAATAAAATTTATATTTTTAAGTATTTACTTAAAATATTTAAATAAAAAAAAAAAAGCTTAGAAAATATAATTATTTATATTTAAAATTATTTTTATTCTTTTAAAATTAATTAAAAATGTTATTAAAACTTAAATAAAACTTTTTAAAAATATTTTATTTAACGAATTTATTATTTTTAAAATTTTAATTAACATTATTTATATAATTAATTAAAAAAATAATAATCCCTTAATTAAATTTAATGATTTTATAAACATTTATTAATAACGAATTAATTTTCGTTAATTATATAAATATTAAAAATATAAATAACCGTTTAAAAATCGTTATAAAACTTAACAACCAAGTAATTATAAAATAACTTATAATTATAATCGTTTTTATAATTATTCGTTTTATAAAAATTATCGAAAGTATAAACGTTTACGTTATAATAAAAATTAATATAATAATAATTACCGTAAACTATTTCATTATTAAAAATATTAAATAAAAAAAAAAAAATAAAAAAACGGCATATATTTTATAAAGAATAAAGTTTTTTATATAATTAATAACATAAACTTTATTACATATAAAATTAACTTTTAAAAAAAAAAATATTTTTTAATAAAAAAAATTAAAAACTATTTAAACATTAAGAAAATTAATAATAAATTAAACGAATATAATTATTTTATAACTTTTAAAATAAATAATAAATAAAAATTTAAATATTCGAAATATGGAAAAAACTTTAATACGAAATTAAATTATTTTAAATATATATTAACGAATAAATATATTTATTTAATTATGTTTATAAAATAAATAATTAAAAAAATTAAAAAAATATTTAAATAAAAAACTTATAATTATATATTACCCTTTTTTAATTTTAATATAAAAAACGAAAATTTAAATATAATAAATAATAATAATTTAAATATAAAATTAATATTTTTTTATATAAAATTATATTTTTTATTTATAATCGAAAATATATTAAATGTTTATTTTATAACTTTATAAAAAAGAAAAAAAAAATAATATAAAATTAAATTTAATAAAAAACTTAAATTTAAAATATTAATTAATATTAAAAATATATTTTATATATTTAGAAAAAAATTAAATATAAATAAAATATAAAGTTATAATATTTTTAAAATATATTTTTTAATTATATTTATATTTAATATTAAAAAATATATTAATATATTTATTAAAATTATTAATGATTAAAGAATGAAATTTTAAATATATATTAATTTAAAAATAAATAAAAAAATAATAAATAAATAATAATTAAAATAATTTATTTAAAATTACGAAACTTTTACTTTTAAAAAACCATTTTACATTTAAAGAATTAATTTAAATAATATTAAACTTTATTAAAAGGCTTAATTTTATATTAATATATTAAAAAAAATAAAAATAAGATAAAAATGTTTAATCCATATTTAAGTTAAAACTTAAATTTATAAAACCGGTTTTATTATATATTTTATTATAAGAAATAACTTTTTATATAAATATAATATAATTTTAAATTATTTTAAATTAAATATATTTTTAAAATTATATTTAAAAATAATAACTTTTATTATAATTAAGAAAAATATCTTTATTCGAAAAAAAGTAAAAATCTTAAAAAAAATAATAATATTTAAATATATAATAATATTAATTTTAATAAAATATTTTAACTTATCGAAAAAAAGAAATTTCTTATTTATTTTAAAATATTTTAATATTTATAATAATATTTATAATTATTTTTTAATAAAAAGTGTTATTATTTTAAATAATTTTAATAACGAAATAATTATTTTAAAAAACATGTATTTTAAAATAATAATTAAAATTAAAAACGAAATATTTTATAATATAATATAAAAAAAAGTAAACGTAATATAAGTTATAATTTTTAACTTTTATAATTTAAATACGATATTAAATTATAATAATTAATATATTTTTACCGCCGAATTTTTTATAAATAAAGATATTAATATTATATTAAAGTTAAAAAAAATAAGATTAAAAGTTATATAAAATTCTTTTTAAAAAAAAAAAAGCTTTTTAAAATTTAATATTTTATTTTTAAAAATTTTAACGTTTATAAATACTTTTAAAATTATAACGAAAAATGAAATCCATTATTACGTTATTAATTCTTAATTTATAAATAAACTTATAAAAATAACCGATAAATATAATTATTAAAAAAATAAAAAAATATTATAAATACTCGAAAAAAATAAAATATTAATAAATATAATTAATAATTAAAAAAAAAAATTAAAAATAAAATATATTTATTTTTTAAAAGTTAAGGATAAAAAATTTCTTAATTAAATATTTAATACCATACATTTTAAAAATAAAATAAATTAATAAAAAAAAATAATATTATTTAATTATCCGTATTTTATAATTTAAAAATTAATTAACGGTAAAAAAAAAAAACATGTAATTATCGACTTAAAAGTTTTAAATAAATATATTTTATTAAATATATATCCCTTATTATTATAAAACGAAATTATTTAAAAAATATAAAAAAAACGATATTTCGTTATAATAAACGGAATAACATTTTATTATTAACTTTTAATCGTTATAAAAAACCGTAATAAAATAATAATGATTTTATTTCGAAGTTTCGAAATTTTAAATATCGCTTTAATAAGTTTTAAAAATTTTCCTATTTACGGATAATAATATATAAATTATTTATTAAAATTATTAAAAAAATTTATTAAAGCTTATATAAATAATATTATTATTTTTTTCGATATAAAAAAATAATATTAATAATATTTAATAAAACTTTTCCGTCGTTACGAAAATACCGGTTTAATTTTTAACTTTAAAAAAATATTTATAAAATACTTAATAATTATATTACTAAAATTTATAATAAACGGTTTAAAATTAAACGTCACGGAAAATCGTATTTTAATAATTCGAAAATTAAAAATATTAATTATTTTATTAAAACTCGAAACTTATATTAAATTTATAAATTTTTTACGAAAATATATTTTTTATTATTAATAAAAAATAAAGCCGTTTTAAAATAAAAAAACTATATTATTAAATAAAAAGTAAAAAAATTAAAAATTATTAATATTTTTAAAAAAACGAAAAAAATATATTATAAAAATAAAATTCGAATTAACGAAATTAAAAAAAAAATTATTTTTAATTTTATAAATATAATTTTATAATTCGATAAATTTAAATTATTAAAAATATAATTAATAAGTTTTTTTAAATATTAACGCTTCGAAATAAATAAAATTTAAAGTTATAATATTTTATTTAAACGAAAAATGAAATAATTAACCGATAAAAGTCGATAAAATAAAATTAATGGCTTATTTTTTAAAAATCTTAACACGCGTAAAATCCCGATATAATATCACGAAATTAAAAATAACATATTTAATTTAACTATATCGTTTTAACCGTATTCGTTTATAATTTTACACGAAAATTATTAAAGTAATTATTAATTATAAATCGATACGAAAAATAATAAATTAAATATCCTTAAAAATAATTAATATAAATAAAATAAATCCGAAATTAATCGTTATTTTAATTTTTTTATTTTAATTTAATTTAAAAATATATTATATCGTTAATAAACTTAATTTAATATTAAATACTTTATTAAAACTACTTACGATTTATAATGCTTTAAACGTTAAAAAAAAAATATAAAAAAATAAATTAATATTTAAAAATATTATAAATAATATTACGATAAATAATAACAAAATAATATATTTAATATTTAAAATTAAAATATTAATAAAATTTCGTAATTAAATCATAATAAAATATAAATATAACCGAAAATTAAAAAAAATAAAAAAAATTTTAACGAAAATAAAACGAAATAAAAAAAACATAACTTAATAATATTAATATAAATTAAAAAATAATTTAATATATTATATTACAACGAACGGTAAAAAACGTTTTATAATTTTATTAAATTATACTTAAAAATTTTTAATTTTAATTTACGATGCGAAACATTATTTCGGCTTTAAACGTATATATTATAAATTAAAACATATTTAATTATAAAATATATCGAAAAAAATTTAAAAATATATCGCTTAATATTTTAATTATATTAAAAATAAAACGAATAAATTTAAAATAAAAAACTAATTAATCTTTATAAACTTTTTAATAATACCGTATTATATAATCGTTTAAAACTTTATTATTAACTTATTAAAAATAAAAATAATTTTTTTATTTTAATTTATAAAAAAATATAAATATTTTAATTTTTTATTTATTATTATATATAAATTTAATAAAAAAGTTATTTTAATATTAAAAAATGTTATATATAAAATCGAAAATTAAATATTATAATTATTAAAAACATTATAATTATATAATTAAAAAATATTAATAAAAATAATATTCGATTACGATCCGAAATTTATATTAAATATATAATAATTTTTTTTTATAAAAATAAAAATTAAACTTATAATAAACATTACGTATTATTTTTAAATAAATAATTAATTAAAAAAAAAAAATTAAAAAATTAAATTTACGTTATAATATCACGTTATAATAATAAACATTTTATAAATTAACATTATTTTAATTTTATAACATAACATTAATAATATTTATTTATTTATTTTTAAAAAGTTATTAAATAAAATCGTTTTAAGTTTTAAATTAAAAATAACTTTTAATTTATTAAAAATCTTAATTAATACTTTTAATTACGAAGTAATTAAAAAATAATATTAAAAAAAAACGAAAAAAACGATTAATTATATAATTATAAATACGAAAACCCGATATAATAAAAAATATAAAAATATAAATTTTAAAATTAACGAAATAATATATTTACAATTATATAAAAAATATTAATTATTAAACGTTAAAAATAAAAAATTTAAAATTTAAAAAACCGGACTTTTAATAATTACGAAAAAAATCGAAAATATAACATACGAATTAAATATTTTTAACAATTAAAAAATTTATAAAGTTATAAATATATTTTAATTATATAAAGTTTTATAAAATTAAAATTTTTATAAACGTCGTATTTTTACGCATAACCGTATCGTTATTAAAAAAAACATAAACGAATAATAATTATACGAAATAAAAAAATTATTACGATAATAAATTAATAAATAAAAAAATAAAATAATATTAAAATATTTAATTCGTTAAAAAAGTTTTTCGGTTATTTACGATTAATAATATACGAAAAAACTTTTATTATAAAACGTTATAAAATTAATTTATAAATAAAATATAAAAAATCTTATAAACTTTAATAAAATAAAAACTATAAACCCATAAAAAACGACATAAAAAAACTTAATTAAATTAAAAAAAAAAATTCGATTTATTATTAAAATTACGACAATTCCCGATGTTAATAAATCTTAATTTTTCGAACCTTTATTTTTTTAAACGTTAAAACTTATATTACTTTTATTACCATTTAAAAAAAACAACTTTATAATTTCATTACTTACTCGTAAAAAACTAAAACGAAAATTAACGAAATGTTAATATTTTTATAAAAAGCCGGAAAATTAATAAAACATAATAAATAATATAAAAAAAAAAAATATTTCATACGTAATTCGAAATTTAATATAAAAAATCCTTTCTTATATTTTTATTTTATTTTAAATTTTTCTTTTATTTAATAATTATTATCTATTTTTTTATATAAATAACTTTATAAAAATAAATTTTTTTTTATTTTATAAATATTTACGATATTTTAATTAATTTAAACTTATTTTATAATTATTTTTATAATTATTTTATAATTAATTAACTTCGTAAATAAATTATATAATAATAAATATATTAAAAATTAATAAATTAACGTATATTAAAAAAAATACGAATAAACGCGTTTTTTAAATTTTATTAACGTTTAAATTAATCGTATAAAATAAAAACATATATTAAATAAATATATAATTATTAAATTAATTAAAACTTTATTATTATTTTAAATTTATATTTATTTTTATAATAATTAAAATAATTAATTAAAAATAATAAAATAATTAATTAAAACTAATTAATTAAAATATTTAAAATTATTTTAAAATAAAATTATATATAATATATAAATAACTTTTATAAATGCAAAATACTTAAGTATATATAAAGCCGGAAAGTTTCTCCGTTCCGTTATACGTATAATGATTTTATTATACGATATTAATATAATACATTATGCGTATTATGCAGTTTTATATTATATATTGCAGAACCTTATCGTGAATACTTAGCTAGGTACTGAAAAATGGACATAAAAAATAGCTGAGAAATACAATGGGTGGTTTACCGATGACATCGGAGAGTCCTAATGAGCTTAGTTTAGGTAGGCAATTGGTCACGAGGCTAAGAGCAACGACCACAGAAGCCTTCTAGCTCTCAGGAAAGCAAATTGTGTAAAATTCGCTGAACCCTTCGCTATCCAGCGGGAAGAACCCCTCTGGTTCCATTTCTATGATATCTAGTAGTCGTCGAACCTCCTATTTCAAAACTCGCTCGCTCTCTAGTCCCCTTATGTGCAAGCGAAAGTCAAATTAAACCTAACAAGCCGAAAACGCCCCTATTATGCATGCACTAATGCATCTCCCTAGCTTCTACCAACCGGGTGGATATACATTTTCAACCCTATACCCATTTCCCTCCTGAACGCCGGCCTAATCCATTAATGCCATCAGTGGTATCCTCTTAACCCTAGTCTGACCTGTCGACGACGTGAAGACATTCATCTAATACTTAGGAGATTGTGTCCTCATGCGGATAGTCCTAAGGCGAAAGTTCGTCGTTCTAGTGTCGAAAGTCTCCGTCTTGGGATCCCAGAACGCCGTGGCATCGATTGTGATGAAAGCGCGCGGCGTGGTGATCTCAATAAGCCCGTTTACGTAGATGGAACCTCGCGGAGGGAGACCCTGAATAGGTCGCCAAGATTGACCGAACTTCTTCTTGAACTCCATCCAAGGTCCTTTCACGTGATCTTGAGTATGTTCTATGCCATATATATCCTTGACGCTCTTTGGCTTATTGGATTCGACGCCGGAAATGATCGGCATAGGGCGACTCACCCCGGAGCCGGGAGAGGCGGTTGATTCAGGAGGTGGGGATGACCCGGGGGATGTAGAGTCACTTGATGGACCACCGGCTTCTTGGGCTTTTGCGGAAGAGGAGGGGTCAGATGCCTTCGTATTAGGTTCGGAGGCGGGTTTCTTTAGCCTCTGTTGGACCTCTTCTATAGTTTGCTGCAGTGAAGGAGGAGTTGAATCGGGATCAGGGTCGTATCCGAATAGCCTGGCAACGTGCAAAATGTTCTGCTTCACTAGCGCCCCCGAAAAGCTCCATAATGATACGGAGACTGCGTAGGGCCAGAGAGCACGCTGTATCCAGATAGCTGTTGTAGTGTCGATAGGTTCCTCCGTAATAGCAACTTCGTCACCTATCGATATCCTATAGAGCCGGTTAGTTTTCAGGATTAGATATACGAAGCAAGGCGCATCGAGGAGTCGTACCCTTTATGGACGAAGGTTGGCGGTGGTCTAGTGGGATATATAATATGAAGCCAATATCTACTTAGCGACATATCATTACCACATCTCTGAACAAGCACCGTGCTCCGCATTGCGGTTTTGCGAACAATCTCAGCGAGACCATCTAAGACAACAATTAGCTATCCGGTCGATGCGCTCTCGTTCTTCCCTTTCCCGAGTCTCCACCAGCTTACCTTGTATACTCCTTACCAGTTTTTGATCTTTGTTAATTCTGATAAATGTCTGCCACTCTGGATCGGAACCCTTGTACGGTGGTGACTCAATAACCCTCGTGGTGAAGGGGATCGGGAAAAACATAGGCTCGAGCATATCTTCTTCTATCTCTTCCCGTTCTTTTCTAGTTAAATGTTTCTCTTGCTCGTCTAGCCAGGCGGAAAGGGTCATGAAGATAGCCGAATCATAGACTTGGTAACAGACGTAGTAGATAAAACCGGCGAGCATGAAACTCCTGTATAATGTTGGTTAGTATGTGTGATATGGATAATATGGACGGTATTCGGATTTCTGATCTCTTACTTTGGCTTGAACCATTTTCGCCGAATCCTCACCCTCTGCACTCGCATAACTTGAGGCGTAGGACCGGTAGATCCATGGACTCGAGAAGCGAGAGTAAAAGGATTCGGTCGCGATCGCAAGAGTCGCAACATGGTGGATAGGCGATCGAGGCGCGCCTAAAATTGGCGGCCGAAGAAGGGAGGGACGTGGCGAGATTTCGGATTTCTATGTAGGTAGAAATTTAGCGATCGGTGGTGTAAATTACTTAGGCGTACTGGGCGTATCGGCGGTTATAAGTGATGTATGGTACGCTTTGGAGTTCCCATTTCATGAAAACCCGACATCGGAAATAACGGGAGGAATAAAATGAAAGTTGTGAAGCTTTCGGTCATTTACAAATAAATTGACTTTAACTTGTAAATGACAAGGCAAAATCGTAGCCTCTAGACGTGGAAGGTGTGATAGACGATTGACCATTTGCTTCTAGAACTTCGACACCCCCCAATTAGACAGTTTCTAGCTAGAACTAATACTGTATAGATTACCTAAGATATCCACATATACATCTTATCAGATCTTCTTACGCACGTATTACATATCACGTGTTTATTCGAATAACGTGAGTAGGAAATGATTCTGTATATACATATTTCTGCATCACTTTGCCGATATTCATCCAGTCAAATCCCCTAACCTCTTCGTCGCATAAGCTCCAGCTAACGAACGTCGTCTTCGCGATCTCCATCACAATCAAACAGCTTCAGAGTTACCAACCTTAACAATATGAAGCTCCAGGGCTTCTTGTTACCGGCTTTGGCTGGTATTACCACTGCCAAGTCAGAAGAGCAATTGCAAAATGCAGAGGTCTACATCATTAAACAACAAGAGACCAAATTCTCGAATGTCCCTTCGATACCGCAAGACCTTGCTCAAGCTATCCTCCTTCAGCGTCTCAGCACGTCCGAGCAACCATCGATTTTAGGCCAACTACCCGAATCAATCTCCCAAGATGAATCTATACTCTATCTCAACCAGTACGCGAAGACGCCTCGGCCGTTATTCGAAGAGGTCGACGCGAATGAGCCTAGGCAGCTAGTCATCGCGTTTTCCGGCGTTACGACCCAGAAGCAGAAGGATCTTCAAGCCGCTCTTCCGGGTGTACCTCTTGCTTTTACGGCTCCTGGACTGAGTCGACTTTCTGCGAAGGGGAAGAAGACTGGCTGTGCATTTGATCAGTCGATCAACCCGGAAAATGCCAAATGCTGGAAAGGCAAGACACAGTATCTCGAATACAATGCTGCTAAGGTATGATTCACTTCCTTATTTGCGTCATATGATTGAATGATGGGTATAATCTAACACTAAGTAGGACAAGAACATAATCAAACAACTGAGCCAAAACATCGCAACCCTCCAATCCCGCGCCCAATCCAGCACCCTCGAAACCACTATCCTCCTCCTCGCCGACCCCAGCTCCTCCCCTCTCCGCCGAGACATCCTCGAAGACGAACTCGTCATGGCCGAAGACATCCCCACAGCTGACAGCTCCTTCAACGCCGACGGCACTAAGAAGCCCTCCGACCCATCTAAGCCCTTCCACGCCTTCTCCTCCAAACCCACCAACCTCGCCTCCCGCCCCGGCATCCTGCCCTCCTGCTTCACTTCACACAATGCTTGCATCACAGCAACGGACAGTTGCTCCGGCCACGGCCAGTGTCTCGACAAGTGGAGCACCATCGACAGCGGCGACAAAGCGTGTTTCTCTTGCCGCTGCATGAGCACGAATGAGACGAATGCGGAGGGTCACACGAGCCTATACCACTGGGGCGGGTCCGCCTGCCACAAGCGGGATATCAGCACCCCGTTCTGGCTATTCGCTGGCACTACGCTTGCCTTGGTCGGCACAGTCGTCTTTGCTATCGGTCTGCTGTTTAATGTCGGTGAGGAGAAGCTGCCGGGTGTTATCGGGGCTGGTGTTTCCCGGTCTGGGAAATAAGTAGGTGTCTACCTAGCTTATCGTTTAAATCGACTAGGTGGTTCTGTGTAAGTTGCCTAGGAGAAGAGTAGAGAAGTCCGGAAACTGTATGGACAGATGAATAGAGGCAAGGACTGCCACCAAGGCTTACCGAAGACATGGCGAAGAACGAGAGAGAAAGACTGTCTCAATGTAGACGATAATGCAGATGTATCATACATGTACTGATACCGGGGACAAACAAACAGGCGCTGGTTAGCATATCTTGTTTCTCCCTACCTATAAGGGAGTTTTCGCATGGTATTTCATTATGTAGAAGGTTCAAGACAGACATTTTACAAGGTTCGTCGGATTGACTTGGAATTCTCTGTGATTCCTCTATCGTGAAGAGTCTAGTCGAATTGAAAAGAGTAGACTATAGGTACTGTATATGTAGTATGGGGTATCAATATCAAGTAGTATCACATTTCCATTTCCATGTCCGATCGTTGCCTCACCGGCGTCGTTCCTAGACTTTCTAATCCCCTCTGCCCAGGCGAATGAATCCCACCTCTAGCTTGGTCAAGAAGCGCTCTCGCAGCCGCCACGTTATCTTCCGCGCTTGCCCCAACGACTCTATTCCCATTCCCGTTGCTACCACTCTCATTCTCGCCATCGCTATTGACAGTCTCAGTCTCAATACCACCAGCCATCAAAACCCGATACCGCTCCCCTGCCTCATTAAGCAACCTCTGTACCTCCGGCTCCCTTTTCTCAATCCCGTCCCTCTCACTCTTAATCTCCTCGATCCTAACCCTGATCCTTTCCATCTCCTCCTCCTTCCTCCGCACCTTAGCTTTGAACTCTTCCACTAAAACGCTTAGATCCGGTAACGGCGTAATCTTCGGTATCGCCGCGCTCTGCGCCCGCATAGCTGCGGCGCCGAGTCTACGCCGCTGCTGCTCGCGCTCATCGGCTAGCCCGTCCATTCCTGCGCGTGTCTGCGCTGCCTCGTACGCGGCCCGTCGCTCTGCTTCTGAGTCGTCGGATTCGTCGTCCGATCCACCTTCTGCCGCTGTGATCAGCGACGCCATCTCCGCTCTCCGTTTACGGCGCGCTTCTCGCTCTGCTCGCTTGCCTAGCGAGAGCCCGCCGTCCTCAACGAACTCGTCGAAGCCTTCGCCTAGGTCCTCGTCTTCGGCTATTAGACGCGTGTAGTCTTTGTTCTTGCGGTCTTGTCGCTGGGAGAGCAGCGTTAGGTATGAGTCCCCGGGGCCCCGACTATCGTTGTCGTCGTCTGAGAGTGAGATGAAATCGTCCGTGTCCCGGTTCTGGCCTTCTTTGGCTAAGCGAGCGCGGCGGGATTTCTTCTCTTGGATCTCGGCTTCGGTTAGGATGGATGTGGGTTTGGAAGGGGCGGGTTGGGATGTGATGGTTTCGACGATTAGGGCGCCTTCGAGCTCGGACGGGTCGAGGCTCATCTCGTCGTCGGATGTGGGCTGGAGTTTGGAGAGATCCTGAGGGGTGTTTGGGGTCGACATTTGTAGTTCGGATAGGTACTCTTTGCTATAGCGCGGTCGATCCTCATCGGTGTCTGTAGAGCGCATCGGTAGTCGGCCGAGAGGTAGGTTCTTTATTCCCCTCCTGTAGGCGCTATTCTCGACTGCGGCATGCGCAAGCGTTGAGGATCGTTTTGGCGTAGAGACTTCCTCCCCTAGTACCATAGAGTCCTCGTCCGTTAAAGCTTCTTGTCCGGGACCACCAAAAGAGAGGCGGGAACTCGATGCTCGCTTTTTTATCTTTGTAGATCCTGGCCTCCCCATCGGTCGGATCCGTAGAGGTGCGCCCCCATCTTCGTCATCTTCCGTCTCGTCTTTAGTCTTTTTAGCCGTAGAGGTATCATTTTCGGTCTTATCTACGTTGATACTCTTTCGCAGAGATGAGTGTTTGAATGGTCGGCGATTTGTCTTGAAGGATGGTTGTAGCGCAGGTTCTTGTGGTTCTTCTGGTGGATTTAGGGAATCGGTCGGGATTATATCGTCATCGTCATCCTGAACAGTAATCTTGCGAGGTTTTCGTTTTGCCCCAAACGCGCTCATTTTGAATAATTATATGTCCAATTACCAGTTTAAGCGAGGGAAATTCTTGTTGAGGCAAACCTCACGTGTCTAGGAAGTTGAATGTTGAAGTGAAGAAGGAATCTTGAATATCAGAATCCACTATTATTTACAGGTACCGCTGGGGCTTTAAATTCCTTATCGATAAAAAGCTGTCGCGCTATCTTATCAGGCTACCCGCAAGCTTGGTACTTCTTTTAGACCATTGACTTTCAATGTTCTTCAATGATCGCGTTCAATTCAATCTTGAGCTCCTACCATAATTCAACTCGATTCTCGTTAAGATGGCGCCCGCACAGCCAGAGCTAAAGAAGGTATGTTCCCGATTTCCCTACGATATTTGATTTCACAACACTTAACTAAACAAATAACACAGTATCTCGACAAGCGACTATTCGTCCAACTGAACGGTAGCCGCAAGGTTCTAGGCCTTCTCCGAGGCTACGATGTAAGCAACCCAACCGCATATTCTTTCTTCATTTACGCGTCGAGATTATATATATCTCTATTAAAAATACCAGCTAACAATTTTCTAGGTCTTTCTAAACATTGTGTTGGACGATGCCGTAGAGGAGAAGGATGGAGGCGAGAAAGTCAAGCTAGGAATGGTTGTATGTCTTCATGAACCCCAAGACCGTCAGTATTGACATCAACTAATAATTCTTCAGGTTATTCGAGGTAATTCTGTCGTCATGCTGGAAGCATTGGAGAGAATTGGCGGAGATCGCGACAAATGAAGACAATACGACACGAAATATACAACCTTGGGAACGTCCCAGCAAGGCCTTTAGTTAATACCCACGCGAGAACCAAGCAGAAGACCAGATTTTGTTCGCTAGTTCAGAGACCAAAACTAGCTAATGGCGTTTTTATGGATGGCAAAAGTCTAGGAGAAGAGGGATCCGTATGTTTGGACGATTCCCCAACTACGTTTACCAAAGGAACCAGATACTCCTAGAGAGATCCATTTCTATAGCCTATATGAAATAGGCTCGGAGTCTCAGAGTCTGCCACCAATATAGTTCATATTGGATTGCATCCTTGACACTTCTGGCATCAAATAATGATGTGGAACTGAGCTATCATATCGTGATTACCTAACATCAAGTTTTATATGTTGAGGTATACCTCAAACAAGATCTAGATCCCCTAGTTTAACGTTGAATCTAGCCGATAACTCAACCAAGAATCCACCAAAGCGGGCCCTAGACCACAAAAAAAATAGTAAAAATGGACAAAAAGAAAACTCAAGAAATCATGTCCTCGGTGAGACTCGAACTCACGACCTTTGGATATCCCAATCTTTTGAAGAATGGGTCATATCTCTATGAGACCAACGCTCTAACCAACTGAGCCACGAAGACTGATGAGGCCAAACTTTGATGAATCCTCGGAGGAGATTGGCCACTTGATGCGATTGGCTAGCCTAGCAAACCCTATATGGCCGGCATGATTAGCCGGTGTGGGCTCTAGATCCAACGGAGCGGATTACCCACTGTACTATTAGGATAATAGTATAATTGCCGACCTGTAGGCCCCGATGGACTATCATCACTTCTCTGGTTGAATCGAACGGCGCATCCCTTCGGCTTTCCAATAGCCATAGTTGTAGCTCACAGAGAAAGATGACGAAGGGGGAACTGGCGTTTCCACCTATACCTTCCCCTTACCTATATAACAACGATCGGACCGGTCTCCTGAAACTTCAAGGCTATCTCAAGACTTTAGTAACTAAGATATACCGATGTGCGCTTATCAGAGTAAAAGATGAAGATGAGAGCTTGAGATCCAACTCTAAAATAGGTGCACCTAACCTAAGTGGTCAGCATGGTGTCACCAAGTCACCAAGTCAGGTGACCACAGCACATGTAGGTGCATATTATTAAGGTTATGCCCATACTTGACTCTACCTTATGTAATTCTCTCAACAACATCATTCCAGCAATGAGGGTTGCCGATAATGAAGAGTAATCGATACAACATTCTAAGGCTTCTCAATTTTCCCCATATATGCCTATTTGTCTTCTAGCAACCTTGCTGATGGGGTATGGTAGCGACAGTGGCTGAGTGACCGACCCTTGGAAGTTTTCTCGAATCATGTGCAGAGGGCTTCGACGTCAGCAAGCTATTTAGTATGCCTACCTTTTCGAGGACTTCCATTGGTAGGCCACCTGCAGCGAGGCATCCGCTACGTGGCGAGGTAACCCCGACCTGTGAGATTTATACACTATAATGATTATGTTGCGATATGCAACCCGTCCACAGCCTCCAAGCATGTCACGATACCTACCCAAGTTAGGGAATTAAACTTAAGCATCTGTCGCTCACACTGAGCTGTAGAGTTCGAAATACCTCTAACTGCCTTTTATGCAGTGATTCGGTCTAAAAACACCTCTGTGGCAAGGGTGAATTCAAATCGCTCCTTTGAATGACTTCGAGGTGCTTGGTGGCACCCGATTGAGAAATCCGGGGATGGATCCTGTGTCCGCCTTTGGCGTAGCCGGAACAATTGTTCAATTTATCGGATTCGCGACAAGCCTAGTCTCTAACTCTTCTGAGATTCTCGAATCGGCAAATAATCTTACGAAGGACCTCGACAATATTGACACGGTTTACGGTACTTTACACAACCTCAGTGTAGAGCTAGAGACCGCTTACAGGTTCTGTCACGACAAAATAAAAGGAGAGCTCCTGCAACTTCTATTAACATGCCAAGCCGATTGCGCAGAGTTGTTAAATATTACAAAGAAGTTGAAAAGCCAGGATGAGGGAAAATCCAGATATGGATCCTTGCGTACGGCGATAGGAGTAATGTGGAAAGGATCCAAGGTTCGACAACTTGATGAGCGATTACAGAGGACCCAAATGACTTTGGTTTTGATCGTCTGTTCTATATTAAGGTACGTGAGTTTTAATCTAATATGACCTGTTTAGTTGCTGAGATTAGCCATAGCGATTTTCAAAAACAACAAAATCAGGGGATCTTGAGGCTTCAAAGAGACGGCGAGCGACACCAACTAAACCAAGAACGGCAATTTATCGAGCTTAGACGAATCATGAATTCCATCGATTCACGAGTGGCTGACATTCGTCGTCCCGATAAATCAATGAGAACTGTGCATCTAGATGATATATCCGTGCTCGCAGAACATATGCAAAATCTGTGCATGACTGCAAACAACATTCAAAACCAGCAGAATATCATAGACAGCCTAAGCTTTGAATCCCGACCCGTACGACATGAAGCTATCCGAGAGGCCCATAGTGGAACCTTCAGGTGGGCTTTCACTTCAGAAGATGAGGGTTTGGATGGTGCCAAGAGACTCTTGACTTGGCTGAAAAGCGGCAAAGGCATTTTTTGGGTCTCGGGTCGACCAGGCTCTGGCAAATCAACTTTCATGAAGTACGTAGCAGATAGCCAGGAAACCCGATCTGCGTTGCAACATTGGTCGAGTCCATACCAAGTCGTGATATCTAGTCACTACTTCTGGATTTTTGGTACGTTGATGCAAAAGTCGCGAGAAGGCCTCCTGCGAACACTTCTCTACGAAATATTCCGACAATGTCCTTCATTGCTCGAGGCTTGCAGTTCTAGATGGTCGTCAGAATTGTCTAGCTCGGAGTCGAAAACATGGCCATTGAGTGAGCTACGTGAGGTTTTACATTCAATCGCGTATCAGGAGAAACTCGATGCGAAAATCTGTTTCTTTATCGATGGGCTTGACGAATTCGATGGGGACCATCTCGAGATTTCCGAGGATCTTACCAGGCTTTCGCAGTCAGACAACATCAAAATATGTGTATCAAGCCGATCTTGGAACGTTTTTGACGATGTTTTCGGGCAGAATATATCGCAAATGCTCTATATTCACGAGCTCACGAGAGCTGACATCCAGAAATATGTCCATGATCGCCTCACGTCGCATCCTCGGTGGAATTATTTAATTTCTTGGACGGAAAACGCTGGGGAGCTGATAGAGGACGTAACAGCCAAATCATGTGGCGTGTTTCTTTGGGTATATCTTGTAACAAATCTACTCAGAAATGGATTGACAAATGACGACACATTATCGGATCTATCAAGAAGGCTAGCCAGCTTCCCATCGGATTTGGAGAGCTTCTTCGATCATATAATGCACACCGTTGATCCTTTCTATCACGAAAAGATGGCAGGTATGCTACGCATCGCGAAAAAGTCAACTGAACCGTTGGACGTGATGTTCTACGAATTTCATGACAGAGAGTATGATGATCAAGATTATGCCCTCCGAATTGCCCCACACTACTTTACAACAAGCCAGCACCAGAATATCATAGCTCGGACCCAGCGTCGCATTAACGCGTATTGCAAGGGGCTTCTAGAGGTTCATGAAAGTCGTGTCGAATTCCTGCACCGTACGGTGGCTGATTTCCTGAACAATAGCGACATATCAGATAAGCTGATCGCAAAAAGTGCCCCATGGTTTCAACTCGATCTCTCATACGCACGAGCGCATCTAGCTTTTGTTAAGACTTCAGGACCCTCTCTGCCCGAGCGCCGAAACCCAGGTCGCTATTCCAACACGACACTGAACAGCCATGTGCTCTCGGTAATGGTCTATGTCTCTTCACTCAACAGAGAAAATGCTGTTTCGACAGACACGATTCAATCTCTGTTGGATGAAATGGAAGCATCATTATGTTGTAAACTTGCTGCAACGGCCACAGAAAACGGCGAATGTATGAGCGGGCGTGCGCGGCTCTACTTTCGTGAGTTCTTAGTTCAATATGAGTTCCCAGATTACCTAGAAACGGCACTTTCGAGGGATCCTAACTACTTTGACGACTTTGATTGTCCACCTTTATCTGTTTTGATGAGCAATGGATGCCCTAGCAAGAATTTGAGGACATTCCAACTCTTATTGGAGCATGGGCAAAACCCGAATCAAGAGTACAAAAACTATACGTCCACACACCGCATCCATAAACAGACTCCTTGGAGCTTATTTATCCCCATCTTGATTCATAAGACCCCTTTCACACTGGCTTCATATCTGCGGGAATATTTTCAGCCTTGCCTCCAAGCAGGGATGTTCGAACTATTCCTTCATTATGGAGCAGATCCCAATGCTCAAGTGTACCACCACGGAATAGGGGAAAAAACAACGGCATGGATTGACTTCCTTTTCGCATGCTTCAAGATACGTGAATCTGACGAGACAGCTTATTTAAGGGTATTAAAAGAGTTTCTTTATAATGCTTCCATAGAAAAGCTAGCCCCGCATTTGAACGAACTCCTCGATATTACATACGACAGGCCTGCCTGCGAGAACATCTTGAAACACTTCTTAGATTCAGTTCGTCCTCCCGGCCGACCTAAAAAATTCATAGTGCAGGTCTTCGAGCAACTTGTGCGAAAGGCTCGGAGCGCCGGGTGGTGTATAGACGCCATATGGCCCGAAGTTCGGAAGTCTCTTGGAGAGCGCAATCTTTTGCTTCTAGCGAAGATATATGATACCGGTGATTAAGCTTACAGGCTTTTACGTTAACGGAGGAAAATTCGCCCTCTGGGCTCAGCTTCGTAGCAGCTACCAAATCCATCATCTATGTACACGGCCCGGCCGCTAGCAGACCAGATATCTCATAACCCATCACATCGTCCATCCATCCATCCATCTAACATTTTGCCAACCTGTCCCTCTCGCTTTTCCCAACACGCACATGCACACACGCGCCATTAAATAGTAGTCTCTCTTCGCTCCGGCGGCACAGTCCCCACTAGTGCTGGTTTCGCACCGTCCATCTTCTTCGACACAGCGCCCAAGACAGCCTTAACCATATCATCGGACCCAAAGCTCGCGGGCCAGCCGCGCCAAGAGACAGTATCGACGATATCCCGTGTACCCGCCTTCTGCCACAGCTCATCATCCGCATGCTCGAACTTCTTCCGCGCCTCCTCATCGTCGCCGAGCTGGAACAGCATGACGCCTAGCTGATGCAGCGGCGCCTTCATATTATCGAGTTCCCTCGCAGCCGTCGTTAACGGGCCGGCGAAGTCATCGTCGGAGATACCCGCCGTGATGACGATGATGTTGAGGGGAGCGCGCTGCGGGTCCGCTTTCAGCTGCTCAATGTACCAAGACAGCAGCTTGCCTAGGCGCGCACCGAGCTTGCATTTCCCTCCCGGCTTAACGTTCCGGAAGATGGCTTGCGTGCTGTCCCTCTTGCCGCTGTCGCTGTGCACCTGGCCGATGTGGTTGTACCCGGACTTGCGGACGTGCATGCCCGGGAAGTACAGCGTCGGTCTATGGTTGATGAAGTAGATATCGATCCCGTTCTCGTCGTATTTAAGGCAGATAGGCGCGACGGCTTGGATTAGTGATGACACGTCGCTCCATTGACGCTTCATGTGCGTCGAGTCGTCGATTATGAATAGCGTCTCGAAGTATTGCAGGAATGAGAGTAGCTCGGTGTGCTCTTCGCCTGGGGCTTGCGGCACGCCGGCGGTGTCGTCATCGTTGGTGTAGGTGGCCATGTTTGTGGCTTGACTTGTCTTGGCTTGGCGCTGTCTTACAGTTACAGTTACTGTTACAGTTCAACCCAACGGCGGTAGATGATGTAGGTTGAAGGTCGGAAAAGGTGTTGCAAATGTTGTTAATAAAGTAGAACCAGTGTTAGTTTTATAGGCTACTCCGAAAAGCGACGAAATTGCGATGGGTACGATACGGTTTGACAGCTCATCCTGAATTGGGTTGAGAAGGTGATCTTGTGGCAAATCCCCCGCATCACTAGGGAGTTGTCAAGGGTCTATCGATTGTTATTGTGGGGAAACAGTTGCGCGTTTGACCGACATTTTGTGATACCGCTTTCTACAGGACGTGCGGAAATCGGTTTCATGGGGCTCGTTAGGTCGTCGTATTGGTTACCAGTTTGATCTGCCCCTGAACATGTGGGGCTTCCGTACGACCTGCCGGTACTTACGTATGTGCCTAGTAAAACCAGCGGCGGACGGGGTATTCTAAGGTGAGCCTCATGTCGAACAATAGTACTAGGTGAACAAGGGCCTTATGCTTATGCTAGATAGGATACGACATGGGGAACTTAGAAAATTGAATAATCTTGCATCTTTTTACCCGAATCTTCACTTTTATGTGGGGAAAGGGATCCATCTGGCCATGGGCGACTTGAGCTATACGGATGGCGAAGAGATAGGTACAAGAAACATCGATGCGGTGTAAACCCTACCTGCCTACCTCAACAATTAGAAAACTGATGGCATGTACTTAATAGGTACCTAAGTATAGGCACATGTCATTTCGTCCATTGAAATAAACGCGGTTGGGGGGAAAGGCTTAGGCATAGGTGAGTGTGAGATCAAGTTCTCGAACGCGGGGGTTGATCTAATATGTTCGCCTACCAGACATGTTCAAGCTACGAGATCGAGGAATCGATTCGTGGGGTCTGCTGTTTTGGTTAAATCCAGGGGCATTGTATCACCACACATAGGCAGATAGGTAGCTTCCCTAATCCCTGACTATAAACGCCATTTTGTCTATGTAAGACAGCCTCTAGATAGTCGCACCCCACCCATACTTTCGGCGACAAGGTCTCACTCTGGGCTTGGCCGTCGCGGGGCGGTTTAAATGTGCTAGAGAACGCCACGGCTTCGGACTTTTCCTTTCTGCGTCTCGATCCTATCAATCTGCCCAAGACCCGGGATCTGGATTGAGAAGTAGAGGACAAGTTTTGCTAGAATTCGTTAGCCCTGGGTGCGAGATGAATCTATAGGCATGGCCGATACGGGCTTGTAGTAGCTGTATTTCATGAAGGGAGGAAATTCTTGGTAGCCTTGATGTTCATTGAGTCAGCGTAGGGTAGCCGGTTGGCGACGAAGGTGCCTTCTAGGTCGCGTAATACGATACGCCTGGGGATGCTGTGATACAAACAAATCGTTTCGTGTTACCCGATTTGGAATATAATAATTATTCACCTCTAAATCTCTAAGGAGTATCGTGTTCGCGTCGTCGCGATTATAGCGCTCAAGCTGAACATCTCTGGTCATAAAAAGGTAGTACTCCGTCTTCTGCTCGGCCTGGTCACCCAAATATTTCTCTAAGAGTTTTTCCCATGAAGCGTGTAGGGATTCAATATTATTTCATTTTTTAGCAATCCCAAGATCACGATCAATTGGTCTAGGGTCACCGTGCAGGCGATGAAAGCTAGGTGTTATGGCTGCAACGGGAAAAAAAGGAGTCCACGTTGGGACCCTCGAGGATATATGTCGCAGATGGGACCCATGACCGTACCCGTAATTGGTATTAGGCATAAACATAGACTGGACGAAAAACACTTCCTGGAGCTGCCTTAAAATTTCGCGAAAACTGTCTCGAGTAAAGGGTTGAGAGTATAGTGATTAATCTTGTGTAGTTTAGTCACGATGTCCTCGCCAATGACGATATTAATAAGACCCACGTGACAGGGATCGTGAAGAGTCTTCGCATCGCAGATAAATTGAATTACCTTGTTAATGCCGAAGGTATCGGTGTCGTTCACGTGAATACAATCGTGTTCGGGGTTGATATAAAGAATACCAAGTATTAGGCGCCGTTCAATCACCGTGGATGCAGCTAATCAGCAAGGAATATGAACCCGATAAAATGCTAAAGCAGCGTATCGCGAATCTCTGTTGACACAGAATAGCTTGCTAACGGTTCAGTACCCATTAGAGACCACGGTGTAGTCCTCATGCTGGCGTTCGTCAGGTCTGGTCCTATTCTGTTAGATGCGTTCCCGCACCAATGAAAGATACCATATCATGATACGCGATTCGGGTGGAAGGAAAGAGAACAGAGCGAATTTCAGTGTAAATTCTATCGGTGTTGCATCACCAGTGTTGAATATACTTGCTGATGGCATTTTGCTGGTTTTCGATGCTTACACACTCTGTTGTAAAAGAGAGAAAATGAATGGAGGAATAATAGGTTTATATATAGGTAGATTTACCATTTTTACTTATTTGAAGAGGACCAATTGTATTTGCCTCATGTACAAAGAATGGAAGGTACGATATGGATTTTGTAGTACCATCTGATGTACTAGTGAAAACTTAAGTACATGTATGGTGCACGAGCCAGGTATGGGTACCTAGTATTCACACAGCTGTGTTGCTATGAAAGCCAGTATGTGATCCATGTAGAATACACAAAATTTCAAGATTGTTCGGTAAGTCTCTTCATACGGTATATCCATTGCCAAGAGGGTAGGAGTAGTCTTATATGGATATTTTTATAGGTGTCATCTGTAGTCTGTAAGGCTGCCAGGGCACACCGAGGTGTGTGGGGTGTTGGTCTTGGAAAGCTTAATTTAAGCTTTTTTTACATTAGCGAGTGGGGATTGCTTGTTTGTCGGATCGCGGATCGATCTTGTCTAAATTTCATCCTCGCTCATGAACCTTTGAGCTTTGCAACTTCGTAACTTCATAATCGTTATCTTCGCAATCTTAGCCCAACAAATAGGTACTAATATGCAGTTAAAACTGTCAACTGTATTGTCGATTAAACTTCGCGTGCTCTGCGGCCAGTCTTTCAGCGTCGTTGCTCTCAAAACCAAAGTTCCAGATGTGGCTCGGCGTCATAGTACCATACGTGCCCCTGAATACACCGTGGCTACTCTGACCGCCGACATGCTGCATCACAACCGGTGTCAGCGCCCAGCGTAGTCCCCCTGTCTCTTCCGCATACTCTTCTATAAAACTGTCTGTCGGTACTTGAGACCACCTATTACTGCGGAAATGAGGTAGCAGTTCGTTGGTCACGGTTGTCCGCGGGAAGACTAACCCCTGGCCGCAACATGCGTTCTTTGTCATAAGATGCACGCCTTCAGGTTGCGGCATGATGCAATTGCCTCCCGCGGAAAAGAATAGGATGATGAGAAGGGGTGTGAAGACAAGGATGGTGAGGAAAAATACGGGATGGGTTAGATATTGACGCGCTTTTGGCATGCATCGTCGCACTAGGAGCAGTAGGCAAAGAACGCTAATGGCAACTGCTAGGGACGATCCCAAGTACGCCAGCCAAGATTCCGAATTCCAACCAAGCAAGCCTTCATAGTAGAATAACCGTAGGTATAGGACTAACTCAACAATTAGTTAGGCCGCCCCAAAAACAGTAGTAATGCGTTGCCGAGCTTACAGTCGGTATGTCCCGCCGCCCAAGACTTGGTGGTGACGGTATCCAATGCTTCTATCGTTCGGTGCCTCCATCCATCTAAGAACACTACATCATCTTCAACCACCAAGATATACGGAGCACTCGTCTTTTCGCATTCCTCCATGACGATCGAGTAATCGAACTTGGCCTTTATTCCGTGACTTTGGTTTCGTTCCATCTGGCGAGCAAGAGCTAGATATTCCGCGTCGTCGTGATATGAAGGAAGTCTGTCCGCCATATTCATAAGCCATGGTTGGCCATAGTCTGGGTGTCTTTCTGGGTCGGTATGTGCAAGAAGTACGACAAAGCGAAGGCTTGCTCGTTCTTCTGCGCTCAGTCCGTGTTGGAGGGAGCCTAAAGTCGACTTCAGATATGATATGCCATCTCTTCGCACCGAGGGGATTCCTATGCATAGTTCGGGTGGGGTTGTCCTATTTGCCCCTTCTAATTGTTCAACTCCTGCTATATCGGCATATTGTACAGCTTCCTGAATTCGATGCGCCGAATATGTAGGGGTATACGCCCGTTGAGGTTGAAAGAACTTGGATGTTGGGTCTTTCCAACACGACGACCGTAGATGCCCTATGAGTGAAGTGTACTGCAACGTCTAAGTATTAGGTGATATTCTTCATTTCTCTAGGTATTGCTAGGCCTAAGGTATGGCCAAGTAAACCCCTCTTATACTGGGAGTTCATGTATTCGGAGAAGTGCAAATGAGCATCAAATAGTGATTGAAGTTGCCAACACCTACGAGGATTATAAAGCCCAAAGTAAGGCCTATGCTGGTATGCATATTAACATTCTATGCTTGATTCAAAAGAAACAATCTCATGAAATGATTTCCATTTTGAAAAGACAGCCCTAAAAAGCAAGGTCAAGTTGGTTTCGTGGATGTAAAACATAAACTCATTGTAGAGGAGACAACAAAAAGGCTTTCCGGCGTTGAGAATGGGATCGCCGGGCTGAAAATAATCAGGTAGCCAAGGCGGGAGTCCTTTAAACCCCGTCTCAGAAGCCAGTCGATTGCTTTTTGGGATCGTAAGACATAAGTAAGGGAGTGTGACTTCGGAATTAGACTGTTGGTACTTTTAACTGGCTCCTTTGTCGCGTGGCTGAATGCCTCCGCACACAGCAAAGGCTTTACAACGCTACACAGACTGAGGGATCGACAATTTAAATCTGAGATAGGAAGTGTAACACGAGCTTTCAACACCTTGCGCCTTACCTGCAAGGTTCCAGCACACATGTTGTCAGGAGCTACCAGTACACACCTAGCTTTACTAGTCAGGTTGGTCTTTCCACCCGGGAAGCCGGGGCAGGTATGCCAGTGGCTTTTCCTAACACAATACATCCATGATGTATCTCAGCCCGTACAGCCCCGTAGTCTTGGCGCTTACAACCTATATCCTAGTATTTTAAGACACGAGGTGAAAACACTGATAGGCGGCCCCCTGCACATAGGCAGTAGGTCAAGTACTACAGTAGGTAGGTAGGCAAGTATTGTAATTATATTCAAGTCTTTCTTAACTACCTAACACTTAGTATATATTTTGAAAGTATCGCACACCTTGGTTAAGTGGGTGGGTTAGGTATGCAATCATAGCCTATCGTGATATATTCGTCCTTTTGTTACAGCATATTTGAGCTAGATGGCTCTGTAGGCGGTACCTACCTACATATACGAGGTTCGGCAGTAGAATATGCAGGTGGCTGCTACCTAGTAACATAAATGGAATGGGAAAGAAACAAGCGATCGGCATTGATGTAGTACGGTAACTTTCAGCGTTACGTAGATGGCGTCAACTTATGGCTTACTCATGCCAGTATTTTTATAGATTTATTACGTCATCTTAACTCCGAAGCCTTCAGCACTTCCAGGTGCTACCTTAATCAAATCCTACGTTCACGTGCACGTTAACTACTACATACGGTACCTACCGCAATCGGTACTTCCAAATGGAAAAGTTACCTAGTATAGTTGCAACTATCTTTCGAATAGTAACAATCTATCCATGCACCTGGGCAGCTATGATAATCCGCGATTAATAATCCTATATTAATTACAAATAGAAGCGAGTTTTCCTTGGCTATCTAGGTATATATCAGCGGATGGGTAGTGTAAATGCTTAAATCTGCAGTCTCGGCCCCAACAAAGTCGCTACCTATCCTGGGAATAACAGCATCCCCAAGTTGAACAGTTTACCGAAGTTTAGTTCTTTTCCCATAATCCGCGATTTGTGGCGGGGATGCTGAACGGAAACCTACCTAGGTAGGTAGGTATCTACTTAGTAACCGAGGTAGATATGAAAGGTTCCTGCGTCTCAGCGAGGAAATTTCAGTTGTACCAGATTCCTACATATTTCTTGTAAAACATGCGGTTGATGGGCTCATATCATCTGTATCAAGTCAACATATTCGGCTCAATTACCTCATCCTGACCGACTACCTAGGCATCGACCAATTAACCGTGCACGATGGTGAGCTGGTAACTCTTGAAGGATCATGCGTACAGGTAATTTTTTATATTCTAGAACAGCGGTAGTGGCTTGTGTAATTGTGAGTGAAAATGATAGTTGTGTCTTTCCCACATATTCAAGCTCATAATGAGATGCTTACTAGGTTAGGTACACAAGCTTCAACGATGATGCTTGCTTCGTAGCCTCGTGTCGAAGCCGCGCTCATATATCCCACTTTAATGTAAGACGGCGTTGACCACTTGAAGCTGCTTTCACGGTCTAATACTAGGTAGTTTCAACGTCAATACCATGCAAATGAATTCAAGTGTACCGTGCCTAATGCCCAAATGCTAATCAAGAACACCCACAATGGGCCACTCTATGGCGATGCTGACTATGATGATGTATTTGTATGTATGCAATTAGGATAAAAGTACCTAGATAGTTATGGAGGGTATGGCATTGAGTGAACCAGTAATTAGGTAGGAATCCTTGAATATAAAGGAGGCCCATTCGAACTGTTGTTTGAACCATTCTATATCACCATCATCGGATTCAAATTCTCATACTATTACACATAAACAACACTACAATACTCTTACTAAGAAACCACTACCTAGGTATCTATCAGTATTTTCACAATGTTCTTCACCAAGACCATCGCTATCTTCGTCGCGGTTGCCGCGCCCCTATCCTTTGCCATCCCAGCCGAGGATAACACCGAAGCCTATTGGGCCCAATTCTGTGACGACACAACATGTTCCCAGAACTGTGGTGAATCCGTTAGTGTCGCCAACACAGGCTGCCTTAACGAGCCTGGCCGCAAATCCATCAGATTCCACGGTAGCAGCGGCAGCTACTCTTTGGTTGGCTCCCCCCAACAAAATTGTCCCTGCCAGAATAAATGCTCTTCCATTCCCTCTGGCATCGAGTGTTGGGATATCTCATCGTACTCTGGCGATTCGTCGCTCCGCTTCATCTCTGGAAGCTGCAACGGCAACAACTGCTAGGTATCTTCTAAGGGGAATCAAATCCGAGATCAAGGGGTGGGTACGAGTGGGTACGAGTGGGAATGACATCAGGTTACAATAGAACCTACACTCTCTTAGTTATCCTTGTGGGGTTCCATTTATTGGTCGAAAACATGAATAGGAAAGAGGTTTTGGTGGTGGGAAGGGGTACATTGAACGGATTTCCAATAACGATATATGACTATATATATGATGGGCACCTACCTAGGTACCTATTTATCTCTCTTTAAATAAATATAACCTTCAGCCGCCGACTAAGTCATCATGTGCCCAGATGGCTAAGTGACTGCCTGCCTAAGTGATTACTTACCTAAAAGCCTTATCCATCCCTCATGAAACACTGAATCAATATCATTCTCGTCCCATTGCAGCTCCCCTATACACCGCTTAGTACAACTGATTTCGTACGATGAGTTATTGGATATGAGAAATTTCTTTGTTTAAATGCATCACTTAAACCCTCACGAAATGGCATAGAAGAATGCCGCAAAATAGCAAATCCAAGACGGAAAGTCAGCTACAAGACCTCTAATCCGATTCATGACGGCCAAATCTGCCATAGCCGCCTCGTTATCCTTATCCTCATCGCCGATGCGCTTCAAGATAGCCAGATCGTTCGGACCGAAGGCAAAATGAAGGGCGCTGAACATGGCGCCGGCAATGTAAAGGTAGCCAGAGGTGCGCCGATTGTACCCCAAACCCCCTGATAAATCTAGCTTGCGACTCCCGCGAAGGAGGAGATTGGCGATGGATGTACCGATGCTCAAAGGGTACAGTACAAAGATCATCGCCAGCGCAGGTGGAAACCATCGGGCCTTATAGGCTGGGACTGTGAAAAGGGGAGTCAGTTATTGCCTCAGGTAACTTTTAACTGACAGGACCTTGCGCGCTTACTCAGTCTGTTGGCCTCAGGCCTCAGATCCGACCTGAAGTTTCCGAAAGGGCGCAGGTATATGTCCTCGGATAGAGTGAATGTTATGTAGGATGTTGAGGATAGAAGAGGTGCTGCCCGAAGGAGCGCGAGGCCTGGTGTTATAAATGGCATTGCTTCTATTTTAGCGACGTTGAAGTTGAACTCCGGGCGGGTTTTGGAGAAATGAGTGAATGAAAGAGGGACAGATCAGAAAAAGGATAGACGAATCAAATAAATTCATTTTGATCAATACACGGAACTTTAACCTAACGCCGCTCATGCAGCTCGCTCAAGGACCTGGTACCAACAATCGACGATCATATGCAGGTCGACCACCCCCACCAAGGGGTATGTATCGCGACCATCAGAAGGGGAATATTGAAATGGGGTCAATAGATCGAAACCTAGGATTCGAACATGGAGATGAAAGAGTACCTGGTAGGTAGGTAGCGAGAGATTATAAAAGCCTTTTCTTTTCTCTTTTTTTTTTTCTTTTCCTGGGAAGGATGCACCCAATGAAAACGTTGACAGCGAGAGAGTGTAACCAATCAAAAGCGATACAGACTTACTAGCGCGCTACTTAAGTACTTAAGTAGTTTAGCGGCTTTCAAAGTGGTCAATGCATTCAAGGACATGATAAAAGTTGGGGATCTCAATATTGAAGCTATTTGTGACCTCATTGGCGCCGCGTGCATCTATGGATTCTTGTCTCAACTCACATAGCTTTAATAATTAAAGCCATTCCTAACGCTGTCGACTCGTCTAAACTTTGAATAATTTCAATTAGTTCAACTACCAATCAACACTTCAACCAATCAAGGTTCAATTGAATACCTACCTAAGCACCTATGTATGCCAGGAAGGTGGCTAGTAGGTAGTTGAATATAGATGGTCGGTTGGCTTTTTACATGAAGATAGGGCTGTTAAAAGAAAAGAAAATTGTAATCCTCCTGCGGTGCTTATGTTAGACTTCTTCTCGGGGTTACGGGGCGGTACCTAGCTCTGAACCACGCCATATTTATAGAGGGTTTTAGTGATGAAGTACGCTATTGTTGCAGGCAGCTTACAGCCCTGGAGGTATCCATAAAATACAACATATTGAATCGCTAAAACCCCCTGTAATTATAGCGCTCAATTACAGCTTCATCAGGTACCTAGTAGGTACCTAGTAGCTGTGCTTGGGCCACCTGCCGGAGGATAACCCAAGTCAAGCTAATCGTCAAGCTCCCAAGTAGAAAATTATCAATTAACGCACGGATAGCTATGTGTAATGATTTTCCAATTTCTGAATGAAAGACCCCCCTAACCCAAGCCCCAAGTCAACATCTTCCCCGTCCTTATCCGCGGCATACTACTACCTAGACTGGAGTTCAGCATCACTGGTAAAGTGGGAGCCACCTTCACATCGATAGCCTCCATCCACCTGAGTCCAGTTATACCCATATTCGCATTTACCCATCTTCTTTAGTTTGTCCTGAATCCTTTTTTCTTCCTCCTCGCGTTGGCGGAGTGCTTCCAGCTTTTTGCTCAGAATATCACATTCCGCGGAGAGACCCTTCATTTCCTCCTCTTCGCTAGTGTTCACCAATTTATCTCCGACTTTTTGTAATTTTTCCTGCAAGTCATGGATCTGGGCCTTGCGCTGAGCATCCTGGACTTTTGTCTCTGTCTCTGCCGACTGTAACTTCTCCCAGATATCATCAGACACCCCATCTTCCCGTTCCACATCTTCATGTTTCTTCCTCTGTTGGTTGTGATTTATGGCTATTCTAGGCATTTGTGCATCCTTCGTGGCACTTTGTGTCTTTGAGGAGCTAACCTGGGTCGGCTGATTATTGCCTCTTACTGCAATGTCAACGTCGGCGTTTGTGAAATGACTATGCGCGACCCGACTCGTACTCGTATTGGAGGACAATCGCTGCAATGAAGGCAATAGCTGTTTTAGATCCGGCCAAGGCTCATGAGGGCCAGGAAATGCTGCATGCGGTGATGTCCCATGGATGGTCGTGTTTGCAGTAACGGACCGAGATTTTTGCCGTGCGAAGACTTGCGCCATGCAGCTCGTAGCTTGGGTTACAGAAATGGTTCGCATATCTTGGGTTTCGTCGTCTAGTTCAAGAACCCTTCCAATAATCTCATTCGCTAGATTTTTCACATCGCGAGCGTTGCTCCAGTTCTGTGTTGTTTGCATGTTACGGAAGTGCTCCCTGACCTGGCTATAACCTTCCGAGCTGGCATTAGTTAAGAAGTTCGCTTCACTCACGAATCCATTGCATTCTAATTCTTTGTTGAGAAGTGCAATGCAATTATCCGGTGGTATATTTTCGAACACGATCTCCTCTGTAAATAGGTTTGACAGGGCGGGTCGCTTCATCAATTGGTCCATTCCAACTCTGTCACCCGCGAGAATGACGATTATTTTGCACTGATTCGCCGGCTGGCTTAGATACCGAACTATTTCATCCACGGCTTCGGTGGCGTATGGACCGGTATTAAGACGGTTTGCCTCGTCGACGAAGAGGATTCGTCCCACGGCTTCCTGGAGCTTCCTTCGTGTTTGAGGGACTGCGTGGCCGACGTATTGTCCTATAAGATCAGTTGCAGAGCATTCGATAACGCTTGGCATCGAGAGGAATCCCATATCGTGGAAGAGCTCTGCCATTGTCTGGGCTGTCATAGCTTTACCCGTTCCTATATGACACAAGGGTTACCATTGTAATTACTTAGTAGAGTAATTCCTTACCGACACCGTAAGAACAGTTTATAAATATATCAAGAAAAAGGATTAGAAATACCTGATGCCCCTTTGAACACGAATCTCGTAGGAATGATACCTCTTGGGCTAAGACCCCGTTTGATCGCCCTCATGTGCCGCCTTTGATAACCGACAAGCTTGTCGGTGACGCTACTATGCACCAGGTTCTCTAACGTATTGCGTAAATCGAGTATAGGACGTGTATGGAAGTCTATGTCGAAGTCCACTGCCTGAAATTCGTCAATACTATCATTCTCAGTAGTTACCTTCGGTTTTCTCCTCATATAGTTCATCTTCGCCACCCCCAAGACCTCATTTACCACTCCTGCATTTGTGAAGTTTGGTCGCATCAATGCTCTTTTGAAGGCTTCACGAGCCACATCGATGGCTTGACTCGTGCAGGCAAGATGCTGCTCTTTTAACTTGAGCCGTAAGATCTGCTCTAATTGGTTTACATCGAAATTTTCGAAGCGAAAGGGTTGCTCGACAGGAAATCGGCGTGAAAAACCTGGGTTTGCGTTGTGAAACATGTTTTGAATCCTGTCTTCGTAGCCAACAAGGATAATGCATCTATCTTCTCCAGTCTCTCCATGTATCATTGATATCATAGTATCAATTACGCCGGTCTTGAACTTGTCTTGATCCCTACTAGAATCGCCCGGGTCCAACATGTATGCGTCGTCAATTACCAGTACTCTTCCAATAGAGGCATCAAGAATCTTTCTGGTGTTCACTTCAGATTGCCCAAGGCAATCACCTATGAAGTCCGTCGGGGTTTTTAATACCACTGCCCAAAATGGGTTAGCCGGTTAAAGGGGAAGAAGGGCGGGAAGAGGAAGAAGATGGAAAATGAGTTTTAAGGGGGGATAGGGGCAAGGAGAACTTTACCATCACCTCGACTGAGGTATCCCAAGTCAGCCAGTATTTGACCGTACAATTTAGCCACTGTTGTCTTTCCAGTACCTGGCTGCCCAACAAATATCTGGTTCAACTGTAGCGCGATAGGTTTGTGTCTTTTTAATTCCCGACAGTAGTTCTGTTGCAGTGTATCAATCATGATCCGCACACTATCCTTCACTCCTTCCAATCCGATGAGCGTGTTCAATTTATTCCACGCTGTAGTAGCTTGGACAGTGAGTGACGGTTCGGGCCCGATCAAGTCCTCTTTTGTGAAGAAAAAATAATCCACCCGTTTGCCTTCCTGCCGTTCGATTTCTAGTCGTCGAGCTTGTCTCTGTGAAATTTGAGCCAGGAGATTGTGAACTGCATGCGCATTGCCAAAGCCTCTGCTGCCACGGCCCCGGGCTAGACGGTTGACAGCGATTCCTATGTACAATCCTTCCAGACCGCCCTCGACTTTCATGCGCTCACTATATTGGCTGTTGATTGTTCCACAAAGGATCTCCTTGAGCTGGCGGTTCGTGAAATCTTCGAAGTTGACGATATAGGGGATTCGGCTGCTAAGACGGGGGTTATATTCAAAGAATGATTCCATGTCATCCTTGTACCCGACGAAAATAACAACAAGCTTTCCTACATTATTCTCCATCGCCGTAAGTATGAGATCCAATGCTAGCCCAGGGTTGTTTGTATTTTGTGAAACCAGTCGGGAAGCCTCATCGATAAGTAGAATTCCACCGTCCATTCTATCTACCAATTCCTCTAGCACCGTGTCGATGTCCCTTGAGGACTGAGTCGCCATGATCATGCCGGATCTCTCCTCTACGTAGTCTGATTCCAGGAGCCCTATGCTGCAGAGGAATTTGGCGTATAAGCGAGCAATCGAAGTCTTTCCTATGATCCCAGTTAGACCCACAACAACAAGTAAGGAGCTGGCCTCTAACCTGTTCCCGGGTTTCCCAGGAATACAGCATTAAACCTCTCAGACTTTAAATCTCTGCCCTGTTCTCTGTAGGTGATAATCTTAGACAGTATGTCTAAGAATTGTTGCTTGACAGATATGAGCCCCTCGTATCCCATCAGTTCGTTCAGGATATCTTTGGTCTCCCTATCTAGCAACTTTTCATACCCCCCTTTCTGAGATATTGATGGTGTCCACCCAAATAGCTCTTGTGAAGATTGGGGCGTTCCTGGAATAAATCAGCGAAACGACATTCTCTAATCTTTGGTTAAATTCCATGAGGTCCTACCAGGAGAATGCGGTGATGGAGTTTCATTGTCACGAGGATAATCAATGTTAGTCGTGCCCGTGTCCGAACCAGTAGCAACCGAGCTAGATACTCGCGGGGTGACGAGTGACTGCATGGAGTTTGGTCTCGTAGATTTTCGAGGCAATAAATGCTCGATCTCATGACCTACCTCGCCGTATCAGGCGAGTCGATGAATAATAATGTTTGAAGTTCGTAGGGTAGGTACTAGGTACTAATAGTAGCAGAGGTGTTACTTAATACTTCCAGCTCTATTGTTGCTACGTACTAAGCTAGTAGTAGACAATGCGTCGGGGTATGGTTATATTTAACTTTTTAGTACCCGTGATGTCGATGTATAGCACCTCATCGAAGTCGCCACTGGGTGAATCAGGATACTGTTTGACTAAATTGTGCCTTGACACCCTGTCGTCGAATTATTATCATTAACATTCGTGCTCGCCTCAAAATATGTGGATAAATTAAGTCGTCACCACTTAACAACGAAGGACAGAGTGAGGCTAAGTAGGATATGGAGGAGCTGCTGGCAAATTAAGATATATTCACTTATCTATTGGAAGTCCCTATGACACGTCAACATGAGTACCAACCCAAGGGCCAAGCTCGGTGAACATGCTGGGCCATGTCTTCTCCCACATTCAAGAACACTGCAGGCCCAGTGAGGGTCATTGCTACCCACATAGGATGCATAAATCATACGCCCACTGGAATCTTTCACCGGCAACAATATTTCAGCTAGCATCAGTACCTAGGTATATTCGGGTGCATGTAGGCTGTTGAAATAGATGCAGGTTATGAGTATCATATGTGTTAATTAGTTGGTTAAGTTACTAGTTCTAGGTAGTGGTTCGTAGATAGTACATATATACCCCTTGAGTACAGGGCGTAGACTTCCAGCCACCTAATATTCCAGCATAGGCCGTGGTTTCGGACATGAATCCAGATTAGGTATGCTTAATCTTTGACACGAGCCAAGCCATTCATGCCTACAGACGGCGGCATTATACAAAGTTGTATTTGTGGCGTGACGAGAGTATGGTACCAGCTTAATTGTCAAATAGAAAAATTAATTAATTACCTGGTGGGTAGGTAGGTAGGTAGGTAGGTAGGTAGGTAGGTAGGTAGGTAGGTGTAGGTACTTTTGTGTTGTGAACCTAGGTACATGCCAGCCAAAAATGGATAGGAGCCTATTCAAAATAGCAAGTTAGGTAATTTGCCAACTGTGCGTAAGGCTTCTCGCCTTTGATTGCAAAAAAGTTGTCTTTTAGAAGAATAAATCCAACTGTCACGAGATTACCTAGGTGTTTGACGGTGGTCGATACTACAAGGAAACCAACCGTGCTTTTAAAAGTTGACTGAATCCATGATACGTCCACGTCTGTTGTACAGTTAATATACCTGGATGGTATTGTACTACCTACCTAGGTAGGTAGATACCTGTATTTCTTGGATTTACTACCTACCTACTTAGGTACTAAATATCAAGGTACATGTAATTTCATTAATACCATGGACAGTACTCCAAGTTTGTGTCCAACTCTATACATCCTAAAGCAACAAGCATCATATCCATATAATTCCATCTACTTACTTACAGGCCATAATTTTCTCTATAGACACTCTCTATCTTTCCGTTTCTCATTCCATTATAAAACCATCCAATCATGGAGAGCGAGCTTGGAGATATCTTCCCACCTTTTCCAACAATAACAACACCGGATACGGATCTAAACGGTTTTCACTCGCGATTTTCTAGGGCTTACACACTTTTCGTCACAGTCGCACATGTTCTCCAAAGCATTCTGAATGATCTTTGTACAAGAGAACCTCTTCGACTTGGGTTTATCAATGGAGCGATTCAAGATTACTTCGAACATTCTACGTTCAAACATAAGTACAATCAGTTATATGAATTGTTTGATAAATTATCCACTTTACAACCATCTACAGATTGGGTCGAGTTTGATCCCAGCTTCCACTATGTGGTAGAGTTTCTCATGCAACGTATAAAGTGGGAAGAGCAGGATGAATCCTATAACTTTGATATACCCCAAGGCCTAACCGAAATCGCACAATCGACTGTTTACGAAATAATCAATATATATGACATTGACTTCATCCCAGAGACGAGCTTGGAGGAATGGCATCCAAGCTTATCCAATATTCTTCATGTCCTCTCAATTGTCCACGAGAAAGCTATATATTCCGAGGTGCGACAACCGATAAACATCAAGAAATCCGAGCCCACAATTATAACACAAGAGGAATCTAAGAATCCATATACAAAACCTCTTGACCACTCTTCTAAACAGATCCGAATTCTGAAGATTTTCCCTGGCACCGGTTCATATATCCGATGTAGTCTCGAACAGCGCACTTTGGGTCCAGAAGCCATCGATATGGCTTTATCATACGTTTGGGGAAGAGGTGAAAGAAAGAAATGCATTTGGATTGACGAAGCTTATTTCGCTGTAACCGAACGTCTCTATGAAATACTTCTGAAATTACGCGACTTGGACCCTTCTCGGACCATACACATATGGATAGATGCTGTCTGCATAAATCAGTCAGACAGTGAAGAGAAGACGCATCAGGTCCGTCTCATGAGGGATATATATACTGCGGCGAAACAAACAATCATTTGGCTGAGCTATACCTTGCCTGATGCGACAACCAATCCTAACGACTTTGATTTTGTACTTCCAGAAGGGCTCGAAGAAATAACCGTGGACCGATATGACCTTTGTAGCATCATTAAAGAACTACAAGACTGCCCTTCACAGGTGCAATCGATTGAAAAGAAGACGGCGCTTTATCTAATGCTTTGGTGTTGCATACAAAATATATTGCTACAAGAGTGGTGGGAGAGAACATGGACAATCCAGGAGGCCGCTCTGCCTAGGTCTCCGCCGATTTTCTATTTTGGAGAGTGTGGAAAGTTTCAATTCTCGTTCGATGACATGATGCTTGCAATGAACATGCTTTCCGAGGTGAACGAGCTATTACGCCAAACTCTCCATGATTTGGAAAATGGCCAAGAATACAGTGAGTGACTACCTTATAATGTTACCCAAACCTACGACTGTCATTAGGTATATTTGGCCCTTTGTGCTAACTTCTTGACTTACCAATCAGAGCCAAGCAATGCATTGTCAACTATGATTACCCGAGCCAACACGATGCGTCCAATTCGAAGGCCGTTATTATTTTATCTCCGTCCAGGCCTCGCGAGGAAAGAGATGATTGGGGAGGAGAATCTCCATACATTCGACAGCATCATACATTTCACAAACGCCTATAAAGCCACCAACCCCCAAGATAAGATTTTTGCGTTGCAGTCTCTTCTCCCTAGATGGCTCGGACAACTCATACATATAAACTATGCTGAGACTTGTGAAGACACCTTTACACGGGCAACGGCCCGTCTCTACAATAAAGGAGGCATGGCGGTTGTATCAGTGCTCAAACTTTTAGTTGAGACCCGAACGGATCGCAAGGCGACCCCAACAGCTCCCTCTTGGGTTATAGATTTCACCTTTTCTGAAGCGCATCGCTTCACAAGTGATGACGCGAAAATGGCAACACATCATGTGACGCCCGACGGATTCATTTTCTCAAGGATCCGTTCACATCCTGCCCGTAGAAGGCCTATCGGCAGTAGGTGTTTTGCTACCCCAAGGTCTCTTTTCTGCTCAGGGATCTACATAGATCGAATCTGGAAGACAGATTTGATGAATGAGTATAAAGATGAACTTCATACGTCATTGCTCGGATTTAAAATAGGGAGGGAGCAAAGACAAAGACGGGGCCTAGGCGAATCATTCACGTCGTTTTCTGCAGAGGCCTCGTCTATTGTCTGCTTCATTGCTATGATATCTGGAAAGGTGCTTGAAGGAGATTTTTTGGACCTTCTTCAACATCGATATGCTAATATTTACAACGGTGATCATAGCTACTTCATTACAGACAAGGGACTTTTGGGAATGGCCACAACTTCTACCAGAGTTGGTGACAAAATTTGTTTATTGCAGGGCGTACCGGTTTATTTTATTCTTCGAGAGGTAGAAGTCCTTGGTGGGAAGCTAGAAGGGTCACTGCAACATCGTATTGTTGCTCGAGCAGCTTTAAACGACACTTTTGGGGACCTAGATAAGGTACTTGACTCTCTGCCCATCGACAACATCCGGATTGTCTAGGGGGAATTGGTAGGCATGTATATATAGGTACCTAGTTTATCACAGGTTTATTCTATATTGGTATGATACTTGGAAATGGATTAAGGGTCTTGTCCTTATTGGCTGACCTATCTGACGATCTACTTGAAGCTATTCACAACATCATCAGCCCGTCAAAGTTGGGAATAGGTAGGTAGCTTTATAAACCTATCAATAGTTTGACCATTCAATGCTTTGCTTACCATGGATATCAATGCATGTTGTCATTATAGGTCACTAAAAGCGCTATGTTTCAGCGCCTGTAAGCTACCTACCTGTAATGATAGCGCGTTTCATCGCTGAAGCCCCCTATAGTTATAGCACCTTTTAGAGCGTCGTACGCTATAAACAGAAAAATAAGCCAAAATAATTATGAGATTTCAATAAGTATGCATATTTAAACGACTCTAATTGGTTGAAAAACAAGGTACTATGGGAGATAAGTCTACTGATACGCCCAAAGATTAGGATTAACTGCTGGAGATCCACTACAAACCCATCCATACCTAAGTTCCAGTTGACTTACCTACCTACCTTGCAGCAAAACACCTTCTAAAGATACTAGGCCGAGTCAACTGAAACTTACGGGTTTATAGTGGACCTCCAGCGGCTGTAAGTTAGGTACCTAGGTATCTAATCCTGCTTATTTTAGATAGTTTCACAGCATATGAAGCCCTAAAGCACGCTATATATTAAGGGGGTTTAGTGATAAAGTGCATTATTGTTGCAGACACCCGTGGAGCTTATAAATGTTGAAATATAGCGCGTTGCGTCACTAAAGCCCCTTGTAATCATAATGCATTCCGAGCCCTGAGGTCTTGTTGAACCGAACATTGCCCTTGTTGATTGAACCGCGACGACTTCAAATATATTGTACCTACCTAGGTACATAATATCTAAATGTGGTCCTAATAAACCCTATAAACTCTGCCCTAATGTTTACCTCTCGTGAAAACAGCATTTCCAAACGCGCATTCAATTCATTGGCTGTAGCACCCTCTCATATAACTCACATAGCCTTCGTACATACCTATCCATTCAAGTCACTCTGCATGTAGAACGATGTTAAAGTCTTCATTTCCAACTACTTCTATTGTAATGAGTCCCTGATGAGTCTGGGTCTGATTCCGAGAATATACCTTAGTACAACTAGATCCCCAAATACGTTATTTTACCAAAGGTCCCTATTAAACTTCTTCATGACACCGTCAAACCCCCCAGAGCCGCATTCCTCAGCGTCCCGAAATATCCCACCTTCAACGTCACCATATCCTTAAACGATGACAAATCAACAGCTTCCACCGTCGACGAATCGTTGGCCAAGAATCGCTGAATGCGGTTTGCAACCCAGACAGGATTCTCGTCAGCTGTGTTGACAACCATGTTAGCGATTTGCACCCCAATCAAAAAGTAAACGAAAAAAAAAAAAAACATACCAAGCCAATGCCCTGCCTTAGGAACAACATCAATTTCCAAATCCCCCGCAACCGGTCCAAAAACCTGCTTCAGCGCACCCGGCAACCCCAAGCTCGCCTCCCCACCAAGCGCCAACGTCGGAATAGTCAGGGGGTTCGCACCCAACGTGCCATTAAAGAACGCATGATCATCGGCGACCGCGGCTGACGAGAACGGGCCGAGCAGACCCCTCAAGAAGCCCGGCTTCTGGATACTAGTCGCGTACCGATTAACCGTGTCTTCCGAGAACGCAGTCGGACCTGCGTAGCTGCCATGGTAGAAATACCATTCTAGAATCTGCCTTTCTTTGCCGGTTATTAGGAACTCGGCGAAATCCGTGATCTGGAAGAACGCGAGTTGCGGGTTCTGGTATAAGTCCCAGTACGCTGCGGGTGCGCTTGTGGTCTCGTAGCCGAAGCCCGGGAGGATGTACTCGGAGACGCCGAGGCGCTTGACGAGATCGCGGTTCTGGGCTGCGAGGGCCAGGGCCGGGCCGACGCCCTTGTCGTGGGAGAAGACGTACGTGGAGCTGATGTTCAGGAAGTCCAGAACACCTTTGAGGTCAGCGGCCATTGCGGTGGCACTGTAGTTGCCGTCGGGGGGGATGCTGGAGTCGCCTGCGCCGCGGTTGTCGGGGGCGATGACGGTGTAGTTCTGCGCGAGTATGGGGCCGATAAACTGCCATGTCAGACTGAACTGCGGGTTTCCGTGGACAAGAAGTATCGGGGGACCGGAGCCCGCGTATCGGAAGTGAATGCTGACATCTTCAAGAGCTACTCGGCCGTGATCCCAGTCGTCCCATTTCGTTAGGTCTGCTGCTGTTACCTGGGCCACGGCAGCTAATACTGACAGCGCTACTCTGGTGAAAAACATGATTAATGCGCTATTAAAGCTCCGAGTTTATGAGTTCTTGTCCGAGGATCTCGAGTCTTGGCTGAGGCTTGTCGACGGGAATATGTATTTCCTAACTGAGAAGGCCAACGTTTTTATAAGTCCTTATGAGGCGAGCTTCGTTCTGCATCACGATGACCTCGGTCTCCCGAACAAAGGGTCCTGGAATTTTGATTACATAGCATTCGGAGAAATTTCTAGGGTGTATTATTAGCGCCGTGATCTCTTAGACGAATTCGGCCGTAGAACGGCATCGCGAACAAAGCTCGACGAGCTCCCTTGATTAATAAAACGATATGCTGAGTCAGGATACTGGGTACCTAGTAGTCATTTAATGGTAAACCCCAGTGAAACTAATTAGTGATCTTCCAGACTAGACTCTATTCAGTGCAGGAAATTGGGTCTAAGTATGGTGTTAGGATTTCTAAAATTTTTGATAATGAAGTAAGGGTGAGTTTAAAGCCGAGTTCTTGACCACCCGGCAGCAAATGACCCTCATCGGTAAGGGACTCGAGCCGTAGATAAACACGGCCATATTCGTCCGGTGTTTGGAGAATGGATGTATTAGTAATGTCTATAATATCTACCTAGTAGGTAGTTGAACATTTTGGCCGTCCGACCGAGGGTCCTTAATTCCCTCGTCGGATTTAAATGTTTGCTCCTAAGACAATCATCTGCTTTCGGCTCTAGGTGTCGAAGCTCGAATACCTGCAGCATACACCATTAGTGATATGAATAAGCCAGAGTATAACAAAGAGGCCTTCATTCACTAGGTAGCCCTCGAAAAGCGTGGTATTCCCCGTGAAACTGAGCAGTTGGGTATATCAATTTTTTCTATCACTGCCAAAACCATGCAGCCATGACCATGACGCCTCTTATGCGAAAATTCGGAATTTGCCTTTTGCTGACTCCCCATTCGTAATCATTCTCATGTAGCAATAAAAGCCTTCATGGCCAACACCGCGTCGCCGTCGTGCGCCTTAAGCAGTTCAGTTGCCTTAACTTTAGTAAGATCTAATTCGTCGACCTATCACCCATCGCGAATTGTCAGCGACCGTACTTAAAAATTGAATCACAGGGGACGATGGGTAACTAAGGCCAAACTTACCAGCAATGAGACATCAGCAGCGTCTACCTTCACCTTCTTGACCTCCTTCTTATCAGCACCAGGAGTTCCATTCCCGAGACTCATTATAGCTTTGCTGGCAGCTTCTTGATCGACGGCGCTGCCCGAACCCGCATCATCTCCCCGCGCATCGAGGCTAGCCATTGCGGCCGCTGCCTTTCTATCCTCTGCCGACTTCGCGGTAGTCTGGACCTCATCTTCGACATCTCCGGCGCCTTCGTGTACGCTCTTCGGTTGTGGTTCAGCCATCTTGCTTGAGTAATTTACTGATATTTGCTGCTTTCAAAAGTTGGTTCGTTGGTGAATTTAATATTTTGTGAGGAAAGCTTCAATCGATGCGGGGCAGCTTCAAGCTTCTGTCAAAAGCCACATATCATCAATGCAATAAAACATTATAATACTATCTACTTAATACATATACTTCAATTCCTGCATACAACCGACGCCAAGAAGCCACGACGTACGTCAGATTCAGGGGTCCCTTGCAATGAACACTCATCCCAATTAGGTAACGAAAAACACAAAAAAGTGCATCTTATATCGGCGGCTTCCTCTTCTTCTGACTCATCTTCGACTTTCATACACCAACTAACTTCCTGTGCCACATGGATCGGATGTTAAAACCCCTCATTCATCATTTATAGTCTGTTAGTTCCGTCAGTCTTACTCAATTGCTCTCAATCCCCTCTCATCTCCCTCAAACACAATCGCAAACATGGCCGAGTCCGCCGCGAATGGCGAGTCCTGGACACCCTCGTCGTGGCGCTCCAAACCTATTAAACAGGAGGCCGTGTACCCAGATCCAAGCGGAGTGAAGCGTGCTACTGCAGAGCTAAGCCGTCTGCCGCCCATCGTGCACCCGCAGGAGATCGACCGGCTTAAGGCCAGTTTGCGAGATGTGGCCCGCGGGGAAGCCTTCCTCTTGCAAGGAGGCGATTGCGCCGAGCTCTTTGACTACTGCCGCGCCGACGCCATTGAGTCCAAGATCAAGCTTCTGCTCCAGATGAGTTTGGTCTTAGTCTGGGGCGCCAACAAGCGTGTCGTTCGTATCGGTCGTATGGCAGGGCAGTATGCGAAACCTAGATCCAGTCCCAATGAGAAGGTCGTCGTGGACGGGGTGACGAAGGAGGTTCCTTCATTCAGGGGTGATATCTTGAATGGCTACCACCTCGAGGAGCGACAATTGGATCCTCAGAGACTTGTTAAGTATGACTAAGACCTACCTTGTTGAAAAATAGAATATCTGAGAGCTCACAAAAAAACCCCTAGAGCATACCACCACTCAGCCGCGACCCTAAACTACGTGCGCTCCGCCATCGCGGCCGGCATTGCGGACCTCCACCGGCCACTAAACTGGACGCTCGGACACGTCAAGGACCCGCAGCTGAAAGCAAAGTACACAGAAGCCGTGCGATTCCTCCAGGACATGTTACGCTTCATGCACACCGTCGGCGCGGACAGGAGCCCCAAACTGGACACCGTGGACCTATTCACCAGCCACGAAGGCCTTCTCCTCGAGTACGAAGAGAGTCTCACACGGCTTGTTGAGAAGCCCGTTGTTCCTTTAGACGAGAGCACCATCACGCCTACCGGCGCGGAACCGAAGGCGAAACAGTACTATGACACCTCAGCGCATTTCCTCTGGATCGGAGACCGCACGCGACAGGTCGACGGCGCGCACGTCGAGTTCTTCCGCGGCATCGCCAACCCGATCGGTATTAAAGTCGGGCCCACGACACCGACTGCGGACTTGCTTGCGCTACTACGCACGCTAAACCCGGATCTCGAAGTCGGGAAAATCACGTTAATAACACGATACGGCGCGTCGAAGGTACGGTCTTTACTCCCCTCGCACATCCGCGCGGTCGAAGGGTCGGAGTACCGGGGGCGATGTATCTGGCAATGCGACCCGATGCACGGAAACACGCAGTCGACTTCGACAGGAATCAAGACGCGGAGTTTCGGGGACATATTCACCGAGCTGCAGGAGACACTGCAGGTACACCGTGAGGAAGGCAGCTACCTAGGCGGCGTGCACCTAGAACTAACCGGGGACGCGGTGACGGAGTGTCTAGGCGGCAGCGAGGGGCTAGACGAAGACGATCTAAGCACCAATTACACGAGCTTCTGCGACCCGCGCCTGAACGAGAAGCAGGCTCTCGAACTGGCGTTCCTGGTGGCGGATTCGTTCCGCCAGGAGAGGACAGATTTGGTCCACCATTAGAAGTGGTGGGTCAGAAAGGGGTTACCAATAGGGATTCCCGGGGCGGGAGGGGAGGGCCGGTGAAGGATGGATGGATGGGAATGAGATGATGGCGCACTCTCTGGGTGATCAGTTACCTATCAAAGCTACTCAGAGAGGTTATATGAGAGATGATTTGGGAAAAGGTCATTTAGACCACCTGCATGATTGATTGGTATTGCACTATCGCGGGTAGATAAAAGTACAAAAGTATTTGTATCGAATAAGCATCTACATTTCAATCAAATCAAGTTCAAACATAAGGCTTCAAGTGGAAGTAATGTTAACTATCTCAGCCACCTCTTCCAAGAACCTTTTCCTACCTAGGTACTAATTACCTCCAGTACAAAACCAGTCACATCACGCACCACTCATTAAAGCTATCTTTTATTATCACTAGGTAAGCAATACGATTACGTAGCACCTAGGCATATACAGCGTATCCACCACATAGTGCGTAGGTCGCCGAGCATTTAAGACGCCACTTCTGTACGCCCAAGCAGTACCGCGTTTACAAATAATCAGACAAGCCATAAGCCATGCCGCTCAGCCCTCGCAGTTTACATAGAACCAACTCGCAGAGGCGACGTGCGTGATTTTTCACCTCCCCAACCAACCCAGCCACCTAAACGCCAAGCAGAGCCTATTTTAAACAACGCAGAGGGGGTCGTCGTAGCCGCCAACGCCGGCCCTGCGTCCGATTCCCCATCTATAACGCCGGTTGCACAAAACGGATTTCGGGGGTGCTCGTAACCGTGAGATGGCGCTTTTTAAGACATTAAAATGCTCCTATCGGATAATCCAATCCTTGACCCGGCCCCGCCAGCCTTCGATGCAAGCCCCCTAATACAGCAAAGCAAAGCGAAAAGTTCCCCCAAACGCCTCTCGTCGTGACGGCATGTCTCGGATTCATAACTTCCTAGCGGGTGATCTACCCGGTGATCCCTTCATCCCCGTTTGTTCCAACAGGAGAACGTTAGCCTCTGTTAAGGAATCGCCTTCGGAGAAAGAGTGTGGCATAGACGTCTTTCCGGTATTCATATTATTACGGCTATCAGCAGCATCGATGAGCTTATCATCTCTCAATTGCATAGCTAGCTCATTGCTATCAAGTGACCTAGATGGCTGGGAGATCCCGAAAGAAAACGGGTTCATCTCGTTCGACCCTTTCCGCGTCGTAGTCGGCCGAGGTGTCGGAAGATTCATGAGAGGGTCTTCCGGAGAACCTTCTGGTTCACGGCGCGGCGAATGTTCCGATGGAGTTTTGGGATTATATATCGATGTAAACCCAAAGGTAGCAGGGGTAGGGATGCCCGTGCTAACGCATCTGTCTGCCGATTCCGAACAGTCCGAAACAGACTGGTTGGCTGAGGAAGAGGACATCGATTCTACTTTCCGACGGGATCTACTCCACCTCACTAGCATTCTTTCGAGCGTATGACTCTTAACAGGCTTAGCTAAGTAATCGTCCATGCCTGCCTTCTTACACTTCTCTTTATCCCCTTGAATAGCCGAAGCCGTCATAGCCACGATAGGCACATCGTGGGTATACGCTTTGTATGGTATGTGATGTCGTAGTATATGTGTGCATTGATATCCATCGACCACCGGCATCTGCACATCCATAAGAATAATATCAGGTTTTATTTGCTTGCCTTCCCTGCATGCCTCGAGGTGTTCGAGAGCCTCCTTCCCGTTCCACGCGGCGCAGACGTTAAAGCCAAGTTTCTTAATGGTCTTGGTTGCGATTTGTTGATTGACCGCGCTATAGATTTCATGTTAGAAAATCATTGCAATCGGATTGCCTAAACCCAGTAGGTGGTTAACTTACTTATCCTCGACGACAAGAATTTGAACCTTGGCTCTTTCCGACTTGGGAAGGTCTTCAATTTCGTAGGTGAAAGGCGCCAGCAGGTTAGATGGCCTCTTAGGCCGATGCCGTCTCGGCTTGTCCAATAGGCCCTTATCTGCGGACGGCGCACCCAAGAAATGTTCGTGCTCTGAACTATTACATGAGACACTCATCTCTGATTGTAACCGATCGGGTAAATGACCAAGATCGACAAGTCCATCCCGCTGCGGATTTTGCGGTTTATTGAACGGTATCCAAAAAGTTGCAGTCGTGCCATTGCCAATCGTAGACTCTAATGTTATTCTTCCACGCATCAGATCAACGAGGTTTTTCGATATTGTTAACCCAAGTCCCGTTCCCCCGAATTTTCTAGCTGTCGATGCATCCCCTTGACTAAATGGTTGAAATAGGCGCTTCAAGACCTCCTCTTCAATCCCAATGCCGGTATCCTCAATAACAAATTTGACCTCGAGGGTATCATTCGTCTCCCTCTCTTTTACTACCGAAAACTTAACGTAGCCGCCGGTAGTAAATTTAATGCTATTAGTGAGAAGGTTCGTAATAATCTGTCGGACGCGGCCGGGATCTCCGAGAACTACAAGATCGTTCTCGATATCCGCTGCTATATCGGATCGGAAGTCCAGGCTCTTTCTCGCGGCCGCGAAACTTAGCATTTTAGAAACATCTTGTACCACAACAGAAAGAGAGAACTGGACTTCCTCAATATCAAGCCGTCCAGACTCAACCTTGGAGAAGTCTAGGATATCGTTAATAACGGTTAGTAACGCGTTTGCAGATCGACTAAGGTTCTCTGCATAGTCTCGCTGCTCCTCATCAAGAGACGAATCTAGAAGAAGCTCTGCCATTCCTATCACACCGGTGATAGGCGTTCGAATTTCATGCGACATCTAATAAAAATTTTGTCAGAATTTACACGTACCCCTAAGATAACGAGAGAAAAGCACTCCACCTACGTTCGCCAAAAATTGACTCTTCAGACGACTCGCCTCTTTAGCTGCCGCTTCGTTGGCCTTAAGTTGCCTCTTCTCCTTGACTTGCACTTCGAGATCTTGCTCCCGTTTCTTCAACTCGGTAACATCCATGATGACGCCAATGGCACCTTTGATGTGTGACACGGTAATCTGGCCATGCTGCTGGAACTTATCTACGTGTGGCAAGAACCTAGTACGATAATAGCAATCGTCTAAATGATCATTAATAAATTCCTTCTTTAGTCGCGTGAGTACCTACCCAGCTTATGTTCATGTACTGTCTCTGACGTCTGCTCACCAGCCAACACGAGCTTCAACGGTTCGAGAAATTCGGGAAACTCATCTATGCGTAGATGTGGATTCAAGTTGGTGAATACAGTGTCGATGCTCTTTCCGACGTATGTCTCTGGGTCAGTTCCGTCCGGGTCATCACCACCTTTCATAGCGTTCCAGGTCAAGGCGCCCTCTAGCATTGTAACTTTGAGATCGTTGTCTACGGCGAATATCGTAGTCTGAGCGTGTATAAGGACGCTGAGAAGTTGTTCTCTCGTTTGCTTCGCGGCCATCTTCGCCTCGAGGGCCTCGTGAACATCAGTACAGGTACCAAACCACTTTTCAATCATCCCTGTGTGTTTGTTCCTCAGCGGCAACGCACGTCCTAACATCCATCTATACTCGCCATCTTTGCTACGGCAACGATACTCGGTGGTGTACGGCTCCCCGGTAGCTATGCTATGCTCCCACCGCTTCTTGCTCAGCGGTATATCATCCGGGTGGAATGCACACTTCCAATTGATACCCATCGAGTCTTCCGGCGACAACCCGGTGTAATCGTACCAACGGCTATTGAAGAAATCATGCAATCCGTCTGGCCTAGTAGTCCAGACCATTTGCGGCATTGTATCGCAGATGAGTTGAAACCTTTCCTTGTCCGCTATCCTGATTTCTGTGATCTCCTGGGCCATACCAGTTACGTTGCGACAGGTTATTATACCGGCAATAACGTCTCCGGTCTCATCGTCCGTAATTAGCTCACCTAACACATCATATACAAGACGAATATCCTTCTTCTTATCATGCATGCCAATTCTCCAAGAAGAGAAAGGCTTCCTCTCTCTTATAAGCACAGCAATAGGGATCTCAGACGGGCTGTATTTTCTGGTAAAGTCACCATCCCAAACTTCCCATCTAGGAAGTATATCAAATCCATCTTGATAAGTCCCACCTGTAGTCGACACAAAAAGATCCCGAGCAGCTCTATTCATAACAGGGGTGCTGCCATCTACCCACATAGAAAATATCGGCGTCTCGGTCTTGTCAAGAAGTGCATCCTTAATAATAGTCAACTTCTGGAGGTACGACGGAGTGCTCGTTTGAATTAGACGTGAGGGAGGACCGTTTGGAGGAAAGGAGGCCGACGAGACCGAAATAGAACAGGGACTATCGCCGAAGGACGGGGAGCTCGAAGAACGACCCGAGCCAATTGATGGGGGGTTGGAGTTAAAAATAGATCTACGTTCGGCGGCATCAAGCGTGGATGGTCGGGCGACACGAACACGTCTAGTTGAAGTCGTTGACGGAGGGGGCGATGATCCTGTGCTGGTGAATGTTAGGGTAAAATAGGTTTGTTGATTTTCGATCTCCCATATTGAAATGATCATCTTCGCATACGTTTGGTACTCGGATCTTTTCGATCTGGGAACTCCAGCAATGTCGAAATTCTTTGGTAACACTACCACGTCAACGACAGAATTCGTTGTCGGCTTACCCAAAACGCCACCGGGGGGCTCCGATCTCGCACCGTCTGCTGTAGGTATGGCCTCTCCATCTACGTTATTATTATTTGACGGCAAGGTGTCGGTATCTTGCTTCGGGCTCATCTCAAGTATCAACTCATCCAAGAAAGATTCCCAAGAAATCCAGACCGGTCTCCCATCCTGAACCATGTCAATACCAATCTGCGAGAGCGTTTGCCCTCGAAGGCTCTCGCACAGCACAGCCGGGTCGTCCTCGGGCGGAGGCGCATCACCGACCATGCCTAACAACTTCCCCATGGCCTCGTTTGCCAAGACGACAGTCTTTAAGTTATTTAGGACCAGTAGTGGTACGGGCAAGAACTGCATAGCCGAGTAGGCAAGTTGACCCGGCGTAATAAAGGGCATGGCCAGTCTCAGAGGACTTACGGAGGCAGAACGCCTCTCCATCATCGATGGCATGTTCGGCATATCTCGCAACGTGCGATTGGGGCTAAGGGAAAGAGGATCGCCATCCCGAAGACAAGATTGTTGGTCAATTGGAAAGATGGCGGGTCTGCAGTTCTCGTCCAAACGCTGGTTCGGGGGTGGGACGAAATCTGGAGCTGATGCTGGAGTAGGCGAAGATTCCGAGGTCATGGATATGGATATGGAATTCGGGACGCTCAAAGAGTTTGAAGACGTCATGTCGCCGAAGCAAATGGTTCGGATAGAGGAAAGCCCATGAGCCACAACAGCTACAAAGCAAAACGCAGCCTGTACGTCGGTCGTTAATCGTTAGGTAAAGGAATTAGAGCGAGATTTTTTTTTTCCAGTTTTCAGTATTTCCAATGTGTCCTAGCGAAAGATCCGACGAGAGGGTTTCTTAAGGTTCTGCTAATCGGGTGGCCATGGATCGATCGGTAATACAGTGGTATCAGTGGTATACGCAATGGCCGGAGGCAACGGTTGGCTAAAGGGTTGCTCTTCTAATGTCTAATGTCAGATCCACGCCGGACAGCGCACCGTCCACGGGACTACGGCAGACGGTCTCGAACGTTCGGTGACACTAGGCCTAAAGAGAACTACCAATGCCGTATTAAGGAATGACTTCCTTCGAAGAGGATTTAAGAAGTGGTAGGTTACCCGCAGCGTTTGTTCAACCCCTCGGGATATGTATGTGCGAACAACGCCGCGGCGGCTTGATATGATCACTGTCTCTGCTCGGGCAGAATGTAGAATAAAGTTGTAAAATAGAGGAATGGGAGAGAAGTTCAATTAGGTTAGATCTGTTGGAGTCCGAGTAAAAATAAAAATAAAAAAGAACGGACCTTTGTCGGTGTGCGGCATTGGATGAGCTAGACCGTACCTACCTAAATGCAGCTCACTCAGCTCACATGCCGTACCTGGTACATCCCTAAGGTACGTACTTGCACATAGCTAATCCTTGTATCCATTAGGAAATAACGGGGAAAGAGCTCAGAGCTTACCTGATACGGTTTGCCGGGAACTACGCCGTTATTAGTTAGAACCTTCTGATCTCGTGTTGTACAAGAGAATGCTTTCGGTTGCCAAATGCAATCTTTAAATTCAAGGTTTACAAGGTTTGAAGTTCATTCATATGTAATATAGTACAATAAGACCCTCGATTTTCAAAGCTGTCGATGTAACAGGTCCGATTCCAACGGGAACGACGGTATCAATTCAGGGTCCTACGCAAGCCATGTTAAACCATGTTAAACCATGTTAGGCGATCGAATGAGAAGTGTTCGTTGGGGGTTGAAAGTGGACCTGACAGGGCTCTAGGCAATCTAGGCCGCCTAAGACAACTACCGTACCCGGTACTGAATCTATACTCGATCGTATTCCCGCCGTGATTGGAAGATGAGACAGAAAAGGTTACGGACTATCGATAGTATCCATCTACCTAAATCCATGCAAGGGATAGGCCATACTGAACTAAAAAACTCCCTAAAAACTGCTAGATAATTTACTTAAGACGAAATAGAATTTCGGTGACTTCAATCTTATCCATACATTACACAACTTCGCCAACGGATAGCAACAGCATCGCAAAACTTGATGCGGTGACTTCCCTTCGAAAAGATTTATATCAAACTGCAGCCAATAGATAAAAAGTACATATACATCTATACAATTATCGTGCAGGGTTTAGGATTTTAGCGCCAGGTAGATCGATAAGCGGTTGCAACGGCCGCCATGTGGGATCAGCCCCAGAATGACGTCGTGGTACGATAATCTCCCGAACAGTTCCAGCTGCTCCTGCTGCTCTCGTGCTTCACACCGTCAGCTCGACTCGATTTCCCCGCCTAATTACTCCCTCAGCTCCGTTACTGGATTGCTAAGTATGTGATGAGATGCAGTGTACATACAGTCAGTACGGGGATTGCTAGATTGTTAGATTGTCCAGCCTTACGTACTTAAGGATCGGCTTTTTGCCTCACTCTACCCATTCTAGTCATCAGGGTTGTAATGATCCTGCATCATGATGTACATATCATCATAACAGACCGGTTAGCTGATATAGGAAGGAAGGAATTGTGTGCAGCTAGGCAGGGTCGAAGACACTTCTCGAAATATCGACCAGTCAGATTATCTCAGCAATGTAACCACACAAGCAGACAAGTTAAAAAGTGAACATGAGAAAATACCGTAGCGGGAAAAGGGGGGTTTTAAGAATTATTCTTCTTATAAAAATATTATTATGAATAGAATATTTTGACTCGGTGTAAGTACCTTCCCATACAAATTTGGTGAGAAGGTACATTGATCGAATAATTCATCCCTTAGAATCATTCTTCCACTGTACAATGCTTCCGAAATAACCTCACTTTTACTGAATTATTTCGAGAATCATTCCTTGCTATCAAATCATTATTATTAATAGCTATCATTCTATCGAATAATACTAGAATCATTCTTTAGATTAGAATCAAATCAGCAAATAAGGAAGAATTATTCCTTGAACTGCA